CCTCTGATTAATTGCTTTTAAAAAAGGCCTCTCATTGGCCGGTTTTAAAGGAGCCCTCTGATTGGTTAAAAGAAATGAGACCTCTGGTTAGCCAGTTTGAAAGCGTTCTCTGATTGGCAGAATAAAGGGAGACTTATCATTGGTTAAAGGAAATTAGGCCTCTGTTTGACCACAGGACAAGTGCTTCCTTTTTTTTTTTTTTTAACTCCATTTCACCTTCTGATTCTGCTTCTCTAAAAGCACTTTTCAAGCAACAGTTATAGGAGGGGTTTCTTTTGTGCCTCACATGAACAGCCCTGGATTTGAACCCTGAATCGTTCATCAAAAGGCAGATATGTTCACCACTACACCACAGGGAAGGCTGATCCTTATTGTTTTTGAAGGTCTACAGTTTTTACTTTTCATTAAGCACAGCTTTAAATGTGATGTGAGAACAGCAGTTTTCTCCATGGAGCACTGCTGTCCTTGAATAGAACCCAGAATCTTTTCATACAGTGGCAGCAGCCTTCGCCATTAAACTACAAGTTTGCTTGGCATTGCTTTCTTCTGTAGGTCCTTATTACATCCACTTTGGAGGTTCAAAACAGCATTTGAAAGCACAGCTCAAACTATATGATTAGGCCGGCATAAAGTGTGTCTGTTCTGGTTTTAAACCCAGGACCCTTTCATGGTTAGGCAGCAGCCCTCACTACTAACTACAGGTTAGCCTGGCCGTGCAGGCTAGCTTTTTTTGGAGCTTTTTACTTTTATTTTTTAATTGATAAAGTTTAAAACCACAGGTTTGTCATAGATGTTAGTCCAGGTTTCCTTTCTAGGCTCACAAGGTGACTTCATCCTGGTCCTGAAATGTGAATTCTTATCTCCTGCCACCCCCGTGTAGTGGGAGCAAAAAACTTAAAGTAATGAATCAAACAGCTTTCAGTGAAGATGAAGAGAGAACATCGTTTTTTCACAGATTCAGTCAATTTGAAACAAAATATTTTATTACCGTAGTATTAAATAATATAGCAGAACTAAATGCTTCTCAGACAACACGCATAAGTATTATGAAATACTTTGACTGTGTACTTTTCGCACTGGAGTCTGATTATTTACCATAATTGTCCTAGTTCATTCTTTAAACATGAGCTAATATGATTTAAATGCTTTCTTTTCTTTCCTCTCTTTGAGTGGTGATGTCAGGAACAGTCGGGTGGAGTTACCGTCTCCATCACCATCTGCTCCCCAAAAGAAGGAGGCACAGCAGTGCTCTCACGATGCACACCCACACACCAGCAGCCTACAAAACACACATACATACAAACACACACGAACACGCGCACATACAACTTTACTCCGAGGCAGAGGCCAGGATCCTGCAGACGCACCTTCATGAACACACACACTTGTGTACACGCACACACATACACACACAAATACATGCACACGCCAACACACGGCTGGCACCAACAGGAGCATTGCAGGGACATGCAGACTTCACCACCCACTCTTTCTCCAATGTGGCGTCCATCTGCTCACTACACCACTCTCTCCATGGAATTACATGGCAGAGTCCAGAATGTGATATGTTTGCTGTGTTTACAGTTCTACATGTGCATGTGTCTGAATGTATGAGGTATGAATACAAATCACCAAATGAATACATTTGCAGGGTCCAAGTTATCGACTGATTTAAGTTGATGTCGAATGAAGCCGAATCTGTGGGTACATCTGCCAATAAAAACAAGAAATGTGTCACAAAAATAGAGCCAGGAAAGATGGAGAAAGACGTGCCAGATAGAGCAAGGATCTATTTTGACAAATGTCTGAGATATTTTAGGTTAAGAAAATCACACTTTCATAAGTTTCAGAACATTTTTTTGTATTTTCTCCCTTTTGTGTGTGTGTGTGTGTATTTAGCTGCATACCTGAAGTGAAGAAAGCAATGTGAAGAGACTGCAGACATTGTTTATTTATATATACTTTATATTTAGCTGACTCAAATCAACAAGTGACTCATAGAAAAACATTTGTCATATTTTCCAAATCAAAGATACAGTGTGTACAATCTCATGACATTTAGCAGAAAAGACTTTTGTGATTTTCACAAGAATGTTGAAATTACGGCAAAATCCCCTGAATCTGTAAACATTGATTTGTTTTTGTTAATCTAGAAAGGGCCTTTTATATCTGCAGAAGGAACGAGCAGAAGCAGAGAACAAACAAACGAACAAACGAACAAACTAGCAAATGCATTGCTGAGTATTTATTGAGTGGCTGCACAAATACGGCGGTTTGAGGACAAAGAAGGAGGCAGTGATAATGGAGCATTTCAATCTAGCACTGAACTGCTAAATATTCCCATTTTTACACACTGGACCTTTAAACCGAATAAAAGAAAGTGTGCTGCAGCCTGACTTGAGCTGTACTGACAAATGCACAAAAGTCCTGCAAATTTGAAAAATGTTAGAGATGGGCTTCATGCATAAACACAAACAGCTCAAATTTTCAATCTCAACTCTGGTTTTGGGCCTGTCAGCCTCTGAAAAAAGTACCACATTTTCCAGACTATAAGTCGCACTTTTTTCATGACTTATACTCGGGTGCGACTTATATATATTTAAATATATAATATAACGTTTGTTGTTTTCAGGATGAAGAATTCGATGGATTTAGTGTTTTGGTGTGAGATCGAGAGTTTGGTAAACTTGTTTGTTTTATACTATAGTTATCTGAATAACTGTTAATATGTTACGTTAGCATACCGTACGTCTAATCAGCCTGTTGTTCTCTATTCTATTGTTATTATTATTACCTGCCTTTCAAGATGAAATGTCTGTTCTTGGTCTTGGATTTTTTTAAAAATAAACTTCCCACCAGAATTGCAACTTAAACTGTTACGTATACTTTTTTCTACTTCATGATGCATTTTTGGCTGGTGCGACTTAAACTCCGGAGCGACTTATAGTCCGGAAATAGCAGGAAATATTTGGGTAAATTCAAGTGAGTAAGCAGGGGTAACTCATGGCAACAGAACAGACGAGCAACAGGTTAAACAAACTCTACCGAGAACAAGTTGAAGAAGGAGGATCATCTTTAAGACAGAGAAAACAAAGGTTTCCATCCATCTCCACACAGTGTTGATAATATCAACCTGAAAACTGTAATCCTGCTGTAAACATGACTCAACCCGGGTCCAACACCCCTCTTGCTGGACAAGAGAACATCTCTAAAGTGAGGCCTAAGAAAGGTGGTCGCATTTTCTTTTATTAGCCAAAACAGAGCAGATTCGAGTTCATTTCCAGCGTGTCAAGGATCCCAGTCTGTGTGTTCACAGCATACTCGATGTAAATCATTAACGCTGACATTCAGGCATTACCCATTTTTAGATGTTCTTCCCTTCTGTGTCAGATAAGTGTCATATAAATCAGTAGAAACATACTTGAGGCGTGCAAGGGAAGGTTAACACAGATATTTTCAGTGGAAAGATGGCAGGCAATGCTTAAGGTCATAAAACCGCCTTGAGGCATGTTAGAGAACATACAAAGATCCATGAATAAAATATGTTTCTGCACTCTGAGCAGGACCTGAGGCTAACATGGTAAAATCTACACTTGTGTAAACATGACTAAGACGAAATACGCCAATAAAGAAAAGCTGGGTGAAGGATTGTCACATGTACGAATTTGCACGCGTGTAATATAAATTCCCAGAGCAATTTAATGTAACACTCAAAGCAAAGTGAGGCTGAATGCCAATTGAGAACAGACTACAGAGGAGATGAGCCCGACGGTGCACAGCTCCGAGCGCTCAGGTTGCTCACTGCGGCTTAAAACATCACTGATGGCTGTTTCACCCTCTGACTCACTAAATTAACTCCAAATCCATTTACCAGCGTTGCAGCTTAAGCCCTCCAGTTTGGTTTTGGTCTTCAGCGGTTTCTTCTAATTGAGTTTCTAGTAATTACCACAAGGCTAATGCATTGTAAGTGCCTTCTAAATCAGGGGTAAAGATTTTGTTTCAGACTACAAGTGCACATAGCAATCGTATGCAAAAGGATGTTGGAGAGGCTTGGGGAATGTACGTAGAAAAAGCAACACAGATCTTTGTGACAGGCAGCTCGCATCTCAAAGACGGGATGATCGTCTGTCAAGTGGCCTTGAAAGCCCTCTAACGCATACTCGTGCGCGCACACACTTTCCCTTAATCCGTGACTTTGATTCAGAGTACCAGGCAGAGGTAACCTGGCTGACACGCAGCAGAGCACCCTTTGATCTGAGCTGGCAAATTTGACAACAATGAGTGGGCTGACGCTGGTTGGATAAATACACTCCAAGCTGAACAAATTAGCTAGTTCCCTCATGTTACCCCGTTTCTTGATACCTCCAGAAATACAGAAGACTTTGTAGCGCCGAGGCAGGATTGTGTGTACAGTTCTTCAGGCCTTTCATTATCGGGACTTTTATTTTTCGTAAACTTTGTCGTGTTGGTCAGGAGGGAGTGAGGGACAGCTCTCCTGAGATGCAAATAAACACAGCGCTCCCTTACACTCATGAAGTTGCCCGAGACCTTCCCTCTTCCTGAAGACTCCTTTAATTAGGCTTTAATTGCCTTATTAGCTCTGGCTATCGATGGAGGAAGAGAAGCAGGGGAAGAAAAAAAAGGTCAGGCAAGGTAGAGAGAGCTGGAGAAGAGGAGGAGACAAAAGGGCAAAAAAGCAAGGAGAGTAAATAAGAGCGAGGAAGAATCCACCCTTTCCTACACAAAGACACGCGTGTGGAGATCTCCTGTAAAGAGGAGGCTACTGCTGGTGAATGTGAGGCCATCTCTCGTGGGAACAAGATGTCAGACACTGTAAGACAAATAATACACTGGACAGATGACTGCTGCTTCAAAAAAAAGAAGACAAAAAAAAAAAAAAACAGGCTCTGAGGTGCAGCCCGGGTAATTGACCCTTCACCCTGACCTCGGCGAGGCAGGGGGAGACGGGAGAGGGGTGAGAGGAGAAGCAACAAGGAGTGATGGATGTGGAGGATGTGGAAGAGAGGGGGATGCAAAAGAAGGACGAAGAAGAGGAGAAAAAGGGAGCAGTAAATACTCTTCACATGACTCTCAGCACTCATTCTTGGTCTCTCAAGTATCTCTTAGTGCTGTAATTGGAGTCACTGAAACTAAATCCAAGGTAATGAGATTAAATGAGCACATAAATGATTATCTAAATGCCTACTTTGTTTACTAATGATTTAAAAATGTCTTGATTTAAAAGTTTGAAAGTTTCAGGAGCTGTAAATGTGTCGAATCTATCTGTTGTCTTTCCTGTGCAGCTGCCCCGCGCTTTACATCCATGCAGCTTTTAAAATTCACGGCCCAGACCTTAGTAAATTTCAATTTGTCTATTGTTGACAGTGATCTTGTAAACATCATTGCTGGTATTTTGTTATTTTCCTTTTGCCCGTGGCTAGTCACATTCATTTTAACTTTCATTTCGACCGAGACAGAGAACCAAAAAAAAAAAAGAGGAAACTTCAAAGATGTGAAACTTAGCAGAGTCGAAGCCCAGCGCCCAACAAAACAGAAATATAAAACCAACATCTGTTATACAGGCCCGACACGAACAACGGCTGACGTTTTTTTATCACTGCTGTAGGCTTTACCAATCCATCTGTTGCTATATCCAACTCCACCTAGTGAAGTGATACTATAAAAGGATTCCAGTGGGAGGGCAGTTCTCACATAGGAGCATCTGCAGAGGCAATACAGCAAGTTACCTTTTCACTATATCCTCTTTATCTCCCACTCACTGATGCACACAGCTCCAACTTTACAGCTAGATTCAGTCTGTGTTGATTAGTTTGTATTTTAAACCTCAAGTTTGCCTGTCCAGCACGATCACTGTGCATTAGTTTGTGTTTTTTTTACCTGCGTTTGTTTGCGCATCTGCGAATCAATCCATCAGGGAAATGGAGGAGTGTTTCTTCCTCTCCAGCACGTCATTCCCCAGCCTCATTAGAACCCATTCACTCAATCAAGCATGAATCCCTAACACAATAACATGCAAAGTGCTTTGTCTGGGTGTAATTGGCCTTGCCAGAACTGTTTTTCTCAAACGGTTTGCTTCACTCGCCCCTTCTCTCTCTCAGACCGCAGCCAGTAGCCCTGTCCAAGAAACGCAGCTGGCAAGAGGAGGAGGAGGAGGAGGATGGCGAGGTGAAGTCAGGAGGAGAAAAAGGGATGGAGATAAAGGAGGTAGTGATTGAAAAGAGCAAGATGGAAGGGTGGTGTATGGGTTGTTGGCCTCTCTGAGTGTGATTCAGGAATACGTAGTGTTTGTAAAGCCTTTTAGGGAATTCTTTCTGAAGCTCTGCTCACATTTAGCTTCTGTTTTTCAATCTACACACATGTCTCTGTGTAAATGTGTGTGTGCGGTCATCCGGCGCTCCTGTCTGTCACAATCACACATGTTCCCCATTACCGTGACAAACCAGTTGACATCCCATTTCCCTACGCACACACCAAGTCCCATATAGGCACACACATGGAGATGCATTGTAAGAGATGGATAACACATGGGTGCAGAAACGTGCCCCCCCTCCCTCTCTGCAGGAGACTCTGTTTGTTCGGTATGATGGGTGACACGGCTGACTGACACTTCCCTGCATACCAACCCGGCAGCCAATCTACTAAAATTGTGCGGTGACATTGTTGATTAAGCAGACACTCAGGGTGGGTTGTTGTGGTGTAATGGGTTCATCGGTGCAGGAAAATACACTCACAATAAGTGTGTGTGTGCATACGTGCGTGTTCATGTGTGCGAGATGTGTGCATTCCAAAGCATGTGATGGTAGCAATCAAAGGAAAGCATCTGACTTTGAACAAGAGCTCTGCATGACTCAAGCCAGGCCGCAGCGCCTCAGACTGCTGAGATAATCATCAGCAGTCAAGTACTGCCATCTAGTGACCTTAAAAAAGAGCTTCTTCTCACACAAAAACAGCAAATTATGTCTGAATGTTCAGACAAATTCAGTGAAACAATGAACTTTTGGCAACTCGTGATAAACTTTGATCATAAATGACATTTAGAAAGACCACAGGAGTTTGCTGTGGGTGTCTTATTCGCCTCGTGAAATCTAAATTTCTCTAGTTATCCTCTTTTCCTCCTTTGATTCCACTTCTTTCCTCTGATCAATAGCGTTGTTTGTTCCAGCAAACCCTCCCAGTGTTTTCACTTGTCCCTCTCCACAGGGCGGGAATTGGACGTCCCATCCTGTGCAGTGGTTATGCTGTGAATCAAAAAAGCCAAATTAAATTGCCTAATTGGTTTCCTTGGGAAGGGTAAAACAGATTTAAATTGATTACCGGTAATGGCCTTTTGTGGAACCACATTGGCTTCTGCTGTTTGAGGAGGATTTAGCAAAACCAATTAATTTGCTTCACCTCTTAACGCGGCCTCCTTCTGTTTCCCTTTGTCTCTGTCTGGGAGCTTTTTCATCTCAGCCTTTCTCCACTGTCTCATGTCCTCCGCACGAAAATACAAGAATGATGAGGATGATAACATCACTGGTTAACAATCATTCAGGTCTAATTAGCTCATTTCTGTCACGTTGCGCTGTGCTGAAAAATGACTGAGATGTTTTTTCCGCGTCTACTGTTATGAGATTCACCAGGCAAAAGAAATTATAAATCTCAGCGCCTCAGCGAAAAACTGAGATGTCATGGTCACATTTTGTCACACAAACTGATTAAATCAGAGTCTTTGTCTTTCTCCACTTCTCATCAAATATTATCAGAAGTAGACCTAATGTGGCATTTAGAAAGGGAAAAACTGAAAGCTCTTAATGTGATTTCAATAATTACATTTAGTTAAGTGCTGTGTATGATTAAAAAAGATGTCATGTACCTCACTGAAGAGTCAGCCAGCAGCTTTGTCTTTGCAGGTATAAAATATGAAGCCTATGGTATCACCTGTTCCTATGATTTGTCTCCAGGAAAAGACAAAAAGGGGTACTGAACTTTCTCCTGCTTCACTGCATGCTTTAAAATTCACTTTTGTTAGGCTGAATAGCCCATGACAAATCGACAAAATAATTGTGAGTTTATTTATAGCCCCACTTCATGGTTTATCAATGAATGAAGCAACCCTCCACTGCCTGAGGTTCAATAGAGATGCAAGAATAATGTCTTAAGTACTGCTGTTTTAGTTGGATTACACATAAAACCCTTAAGCGGTAGAAACTACTGAAGAAAGAGGAGAATTACATTATGGTTTTACTCTACACACTCACGGCTCGGCAGAATTTCTTAAACTAGAGTTGGTTCGCATTCGAAACAATGTGACCAAACCTACTTGACCTTGACGGATGAGATTAATCTGAATCCTCAAATCGTCAAAAGGATGTTAGCACTTGAACGAAAGTATTATCTGAAGTATAGTACAATTATTTAGCCTTGTTTTAGCTCAGGAAGGCATATGTGAGAGGTTAAGCAGAGAGGTGAAGATGCGGGTTTAGATTCGATTGACTGATTCCTTTTGCTTCACATATATTCACATATAAAAAAAATGGATTATTGTTACTGCGGAGAAAAGTTCACATCTCTCCTGTAGTAGCATCTTTACTCTGGCATCCCATAAAATTTAGACTGGATTTGATACCTTTCTTCAGAGATACAGACCTCTCAACGGTCTGGCACCATCATGTCTCAATCATTTCTTCATTACAGAATCAGTGTGGGCTGGGGGCTCAGATTAGAGTTTGTTTGGGGGTGGGAGGGTGGGGTCAAAACACAACAAAATATTCATATCCAAATATAAGACGTGAAAAAACAAATGGTCTTCACTGCGTAAAAGGTTAACTGTTTCATTGGAAAAATTAGATTAAGATTAAGACCTGGTAGACATTGAGTTTTTAAGAAACAAGTGCAAACTATGACTCCACAAAAAAACACTGCAAAAATACCTTTCAGTTAAATCAGTGGCAGCTGGTGAGGTTTTCTCTGGGAGGAGCTATAACTAAATCCAAAACAGACATATTCTTTATAAGGTGCTACGACAAATATTATATGAACAAATAGCACTCTCATATGTTTTTGAAGTTGATCAAAATTTTCCACTTGGACCCTTACCTGTTTTTTTTTTTTTGTTTGTTTGTTTTTTAGCTTTTTCTCTGAGTATCTTAAGTTTTTAAAAAGTATCATCTTTCCCTTTGTTTGATTCTGCAAAGACCTCCTCTCCTTTTTCGAGACTTAACTCTCTGTGACCCCAGCCTCCTTTCCAATCCGAACGAATCACTGAGTAACTGCATCAGAAAAGCTACTTGAATTTTAAATTACGCTTTACTTATCGCTTCAGTAGCCTACAAACTTCGTCTGTAATGCACCTTGTCCCTGGTCTGGTCTTTTGTCAATTTGTTGAGTGAAAACAGCAAATTCATAGTTGAAACAGAGAGTTTGTCTTTCACAACATATAAAGCACTCGTGCAAAATACCGCTTTAGTGTACTACTGGAGTCTTGTGGGGTGCTCACACCAAGCGCGAGTAAAATCATCTACTCGCTTAATTCGCACAAATGTATGTTATTTCAGTGGTAATCCCTGCCAATTCAACCAGCGGGTTCAAGTGATAGACAAAGGTTTTTAACAATTTACACGGTAATCCGACCTCCTCACTCACTTGCCTCCAGACGAGCTCCTTTTTATTCCCGTTTCGGTAATTGAAAGAAAAGGTATCATAAAATTTGGGGCACCCACACATCGACTCGGTCAGTTTTTCCTCCATTTTAGATACCAGTGAACAACTATCAATTTTCATACGTCACCCGGCAACCTTCGTGCTGATTAGTTATCGGGACGCAAGTATCTGCTCAAGTTGAGAATCGCCCAATTTGCGTCATTCGCGCCACCAGAGTCGTAGAAGCGTCTAATGTAATTGCGTTGACTTAACATGTAATCATTCGGGCGAATGATTTTACTGGCGCTTGGAGTGCGGAGACAGTTACACAGATTCACTACGCAATACACACCTTTATACAGTAACTACTGCATGTACACACTTCACATATACACGTACATGAGCACACATCACCAAGACAGACATTGACACTCAGGGTTACAAACCCAACAATAATCGTGCTTGCTACGCATACACATGAACCCAAAGTACACATGCTTATAAGTTTTCTGCGTTTCCCTTCGAGCACATCAGGGGTATCGATGGACCCTGAGCCAAAGAGCTCATGTTTAAAATGTGAATGTCATTCAATTCTCGGGCTTATTTTGAGAGCAGCCACTTTTATGATCAATGTTGATGACTTATTCTTGTACTCCCATATCACATGATAAGCCATAAATCATCTTAGGATTCATCCAAGGCTTTTCTAAGAGGAGGATAAAAAACACATTTCCTCTATCTGTCCTTATCTATAGTGTCATAATTGCAGTTTATATGGAAACCCATCCCTAAAGCTCGGGCAAGATCAATAGTCACAAAGGGAGGATGTGACAGAAGGAGAGGATGATCTTCGGAGGAAGAGACACTCTGAAAAAAGTATACTGTGCCTCAAACGTAATAGAGATCAAAATACATACTGCTGATGCCTCTTTCTGAAATCCATAATGGCTTTTTTACCACACCAGGCAAGTGATTCAACCACTATAGTGTCTCTTCTGCTCTGTTATTATGTTTCACTGTAGGTTCACATTTCCCACCTAGATCTGCTCTCACTTTTACATCTTTCTTTTCTAAAGCCCCGTACCAACCTGCATATGAGGAGTGAATCTAAAATAACCTTCCACAAACCACTGAATGCTAAAGAGAATAAAGCTGTATTATGAGACAAGAGAGCATAAAATACAACGATGGAAAAAATGAACAAAGAGTGATTATTTCTCCAATAAATGCTTTACCCCCCTATATTGTAAAGATGCTCACAACTGCTTTCATCTGTAATCTGAGGTTTGTCATCCAAAGGCCACAGCTGCAGTCACTATCAGTCTGAATCTTCACTTAAAACTGAGACTCTCTGAACAACAAACACTGTTTTGTTTTAGTGAATGATTTGTGTAAGTACAAAACTAATACGAGCAATAAATCCAGATACCACAAAAAGCCCCAAGACATGAGGATTAAATCTGCTTTCAGAAATATGTTATCTATAAAAGTCCAGTTTGTCTTCAAGCAAAGTCTGCAGCTCACTCCGAGTGAATGCATCGTAAAACTATGACTAAGGCAAGTATATTCATAATGTTAAAAGCCCCTCTTTTGTGAACAGTGTTATTAAATACACAAGCCTTAGCTGAGGGCAAGCAATTTGGAAATCTACTGAAAATACTTTATGGCTGATGCCAGCTTATTTGCCATCATTCATTTTTAAGAGTAACACAAAATAGAAATCAGGCAAGAGTGTGCATCAAGAGTTTCATTTCCTGTCACTGTTTCTGTCGACCTTTGACTCAGTCTGTAAAGAAAAGTGATGAATTAACAGCAACAGGTGCAAAACAGATACTGAGAATGTGCAAAAGCCCACAGCTGCTGCATTCAGTGTAGACTGTCTGATATGTAGATAGAGTTGCACGTGATTTTTACAAGTCTTTCACTAAATACAACAAATTTTTAAGACAACTTATTGAATACAGCTTAAAACAAATGGTTATATTTCTATGTACATTTTAAATTCCTGCATGTCCCAGTATAATTCTAGAGATTGTGAAACCGGGAACAAGTTCAGCTTGAACATCTACTCTTCCATTGCTTTGGTTAGCAGAGTAGCCACGGAGGCCCTTAGTAGACAGTCATTTTTGGTTGCTTTCTTGAGATGTTATCCGAGTTTTCTTTTTGTCTCAGAATAACAAAGCCGGTTTTCCAATCATACCACATTAATTTATCTTTTTACATCAAGATAGAAACACTTTTTCTGGAGACAACAGGAAGATAAAGCACTTTAGATTAACTTGTCATCACAGACAAACTGTTAGTATAATGAATGGCTTATATTTACTAATCAGAACTAAATTTGCTCGTTGGTCATCCTGGTGTACAGCACATGTGTCTCCCAATACATCCCTGTTTGCCCTCTTTATGTGACAGCAGGGTTGGTTGTTAAAACGATAACAATGTATATCAAAAATTAATTTCCCTCAATATCAATATAAAACATGGTCAATATGCTTTTCAATTGTCAGCTTTCCACCATGTTTTGGTAGACTATACAAATAGCCAGTAAAAAGGGGAGTTGCTCCGGGTCCGCTTCGTGCTGAACCAATCATGTGCTGAATTAGCTACACACAACTATAGCACTTTAACACGTAGAGCCGACAGCACTGTTGGTGAGAAAAAAAGTAAATGAGTGCTACCCCTGGCAGAAATACAAATGAAGACTCAACAGATGACGAAATCGTCGACAACGCTGGCACGAAAACGTTGGTAGTGTGGAGGTATTTTGTTTTTTTTAAGGGTCGGACAGAAAGCAGAGTAATGTGCATTGCAAATTATGTCGAGTACATGTTCTTGCAAGGTCGGGGAATACCTCAACTCTTTTTTAACCAGCTGGAGCAGTGCCTCACGGCAGAGCACACGCAATGCAAAAGGTTACAAACCCTGAGTCGACCAAGGAGCCCATGGCCCATGAAACAGCTGACCATTCAGTCTGAATTCTCTAGCGCAACGCCTCACGACAAAACGCTGAAGAGACACAAAGACCTCACAGATGCAAAAGCTTGTTGTATTGCAAAAGACATGTTACCAATAAACACTGTTACATTTCAATTTTTATATCATGATATATAACGTTATCAACTGATATGAAAAAATATATATCATGATAAACTGTTTCCCATATTGCCCAGCCCTAAATGACAGTAATTTAAACCATTAAATCTGATGATAATCCCTCTTCCATTACAGTTCTAAAACTCACACAATATACTTCTAAATTTATAGTAAATGCAATAAACTGTGTTCAAGAGTCACATATAAAATTCAACACAGCTTTGCCTCATAAATACACTTTAGTGGTGTGAAAGTAATGTGAAAGTTGCAGTATTTTGGAGATATTTGGTCAAACACTAGTATATTAGCAGTACTCGAGCTGAGGGGGGATCAGGGGGATCATCCCAACTTTCCATCCCTTGAGCCATTTTTGTCAATGAATGTGAAAATATTTGTATTATTTTCACATATTACCGCAATTTCAACGTTTAGCGTGTGACGAAGCGGCGTCCTCGCTGACTGCGGGAAGCGCATGGAGCCGCACACAAACATACATTACGCGCCAAACATTTCGTGGCTAATCCCCACTAAACAGCGCTACTTTACCTTCTCACTTCTCTGTTGGACAGGATAACCAAGGGGGCTCACTTGGAGTTCTATCTGTTGACTTAGACATACATTCACATAGACATTCATCTCTCTACTTACCTGCCGGGTGTCCATCCACGCCATCATGTCGACTCGTTTCCAAATAAGGAAACAGAACGCGCTATTTCCGTGTGTAAAATAGGTGGGTACGGCAAGAGTACGGTGGCCTGGAAGTGCAAAACACAACCGCAAAAGAGAAAACACGACAGCAAATCAAAACACAAACGCAAAAGAGAAAACGCAAACACAAAAAAAGAAAACACGACAGCAAATCACAAATGCAAACACAAAAAAGAAAACACGACAGCAAATCAAAACACAAACACAAAAGAGAAAACGTAAACACAAAAAAAGAAAACACGACAGCAAATCACAAATGCAAACACAAAAAAGAAAACGCAAACACAAAAAAGAAAACACGACAGCAAATCAAAACACAAACACAAAAGAGAAAACGTAAACACAAAAAAAGAAAACACGACAGCAAATCACAAATGCAAACACAAAAAAGAAAACGCAAACACAAAAAAGAAAACGCAACCGCAAATCCCAAAACAGGAAAGCATCATTAGTCTTCTTCTTCGTTGTAGTTTAATTTTGGCCCATTTGTTTATGTGAATATGGAATTTCCCCAAGCTCAAGATCAACTGACAAAAAAAGCACAGATCTTTGTCCTGGTCATCATAATAAATAAAAATATGTTTTTCCTGGAAACTGATCGTTCTTCCTGTTTTCTCGTGCACAAATTGTTGGACATCAATCCAAAAGGTTTTACTGTAGGTACAATGATAGAATAAATGAGAGATGGTTTCATCTTCAAGTCCACAGAAATCACATAAATATTCAATGTCCAGTTTGAATCTTTCAAGAGTTTTCTTTGCAGGGTAAATCTGATGTAATATTTTAAAAGAGACTTCTTTGACCTTGTTATTGAGACAGAATTTTTCACCAACCAGCCATGCATTGCTCCAGTTAATTTCTCCCAATTGTACAGACCAGTTAGTTTGACCTCTAGGCAGTGTCTTTGGTTGTAGGCAGCTTCTTAACAGTCTATTCGAGCAGGGTCTTTTTGTAATGTCTATTCCGCCCACAAATATATCACAGGTGTAATTTCCTGGAGTAGCAGCCGTTCTTTCAGACCCTTTAAGAAGTTGTAGCACCCCCTGAGGTAATGCATCAAAAACCACTGCATATTGTTTTGGGGTGACTGGGAGTTGAAATTTCAACATAAATTCTTCATAAGAAAGTAAAAAGCCATGGTTGTTAAGAAGTTGGTCGACTAGTAAAATGTTGCGCTCCATCCAGTCCTTGTAAAACAGTGATCGGTTTTTGTAAACGATGTCTTCATTGTTCCAAATATAATAGCTGGTTGGTGAGAAATTATGTTTGTAGATCAGTTTCCAGGACAGCAAGGCTTGTTTGTGAAAGTTAGAGAGTTTAACAGGAAGCTTCTCAATTTTGTAATTACATTTCAACATAAAGCGTATACCACCAAGTGAGTTGAATACATGTGTAGCAAAGGAATTCCAGAGGTTGTTCTTCTCTCTACATAACTTACTCAGCCAGTTGATCTTGAAAGAGTGATTCAATATTTCGAAGGTTAGCACATCCAAACCACCATCCCTCTTGGTATTACATAGAATATCTTTTTTTAAATAATGGCGTCTGTTCTTCCAGATAAACCTGAATAAGATTTGATCTAATTTCTTGGAGACTACAGCAGGCATTTCTAGTGCTAGTGATAGATATACAGATCTTGATATTCCTTCAGCTTTGGATAACAGAATCCGTCCATGTAAAGATAGATCCCTCACTAGCCACATATTGAATTTTCTTTGTATCTGTTGAGTTATTGGTTCAAAGTTTAACTCAGAGCGCCTCTTCTCATTTTTGTCAAGTACAACACCCAAATATGTCACAGTTTGTTTAATGGGAATACCATTTAATTCTGCCAGATCACAGTGTTTGAGGGGAAAAAGCATAGATTTATTAAGGTTCATTGTCAGCCCAGAAACCTCCTAAAACTCTCTGATACACTGCACAGCTTTGACAAGTTCATTTTGGTTGGACAAAAAAATAGCTGTATCATCCGCTAACTGAGCTAGTTTGAATTCTCTACCTACGGCTGTCATACCCTGAAAGTTGCTTTTTTTAATATGTGTTGCCATAACCTGTGTAACCAGCAAAAACAAAAAGGGGCTTAGGGGACAACCTTGTCTGATTCCACGACCAATATTAAATCTGGGTGTTGTGCCATTTGTTATCTTAATTGAACTGTTAATTCCTTTATAAAGTGTTTGAACTGGGCCCGGCAAATTAGGTAATTCTGCAACCTTTTGGGAGCTTGCACGCACATTACAGATTTCAATGAAAAACAGATTGCCCAAAAATGATACAGCTTATTTGACATCCATTCATCCATCCTTCCCTTCTCCAATCCTTCTTTCCTTCCTTACTTCTTTCCTTCCTTTGTTTAGCTAGTCACAGATATTTCTTCAAAAGGTAGACCTGGCCAAGTATGACAGCACCACGAAGTCTCAACAACAGACCAAATAATACCCAAACTTCACCCACACATACTCACACTCACACACAGAAAAACACACACATGCATACCTCTCTCACCAGTGTCTAGGATTCCAGTAATTAATGGGGTGGTAAATGAGATTGTTACTGATGTGTGGTAGCGAGGTGAGCGAAGGTGTGGAGGTGATGGAGGGAGACAGGAGGAAGACAGAAGAAAGCCGGGGAGGGGGCAAGCGCTGAGACGATGTTGTGATGCAAATTAGAAACTTTCACTTGATTTAAATATAGCCAAAGTTCAGAGAATAGGCTTTTATTCATTTTTTAAGGGGTGGAGCCGAGACTCCTACAATTTGCTTTGGTTCTGAATGATGTGGAAGAAACATGTCGACATTTGATGTGAGAACCTCAAAAAAAAAAGTGAATAATCAGGTAAAATTCTCTCTTTCAAAAGTTCAGAAATGTGTCTGTGCTCTATGAGGTGAAAAGCACATAATAAAATATTTGGTGGGGGGGGGGGGGGGGTAAGGGTAAGATAAGAGTATAACCTAGCTCTGACTTTTTACTAAAAGGTTAGGGTTGGACTTTTGTGTTCACACATGTACCCAGACCCATAGACATGTATAAGAAAGTCTAGATGAATCGAGGCGGAGTCACCAGTGTCCATACATGGCAGACATCTTACTTCAGTGTACCATTCTGGTACATTGTATGGTAGCTGATGGAAGTTGAGTAATTTGCATGATCAAAAATACTCTTAACTCACTGAAATCTTGACAGATTTACAAACAGTTTTGTTTATTACAGCCCTTAATAATCTGGCTATGAGTCAGGATGCTTGGACATATTGAAATGGCAGATTTTCTTTGAGAAAAAAAGACTTAATCGTGCAGCACAGTTGTTTCACTGCTATTTGCGCGTGCGATGGCTAACTTTGAGTCGCTTTGCACGAGTTATCAAGGCTGAGACCACAATCAAGATTTAAGTTTTTGTATGACAGCATTTTTTTTGGTCTAAGTGACAGTCTTTGTGGATGTGCTGTGAGTGAGACCACCGACTACAAAGTTGACCTGGCAATTTTCTGACTTTGTGTTTACAGGAATATGTCAAATGACTGAAAATGCCACTTTTGTGCAGCCTATGGATGCTCCAATAAACGGTGCCCAGAAACGAAGAAAACAGGGATCACCTTTCACACACACACACACACACACACACACACACACACACACACACACACACACACACACACACACATATATATATATATATATATAGTTACTGAGAGAAAATAACATTTCAATACTGTAGGAGTTTTCCTGATCGTTGGATGGATCCAAAAAGCGTGTGCCTCTAATGATTTCATTCAGACTATTCAGAAAAAACATTTGATTTGCTATCTCGAAAATACAATGTTCTCCACCTTGATAGCTTACTGTACAGTTTATATACCAAGTAAACCTCTGTATGTGCATTTTTGAGACACATAAAAACAGAACGAAAGTTTTTATTAAGATATGAGATCATTTTCTTCCACTTGAAGAAGTTCATGAGTGGATGGGATGAAGGGGGGGCATCCACGGCAGGGGTGCATTCTACGTGCATTCTCCGCAGCAACCGGACCAGAGCATCTCTGACGTTGCATAGCAACCGCGTCAGGTAAAAAAGGCTTAACGGATGTTACTTTGAGCGACACACAAACATTCACGGTTTTGGGACATTTTTACGTTTGTTTGATGGCCAACATGAAGAAATCTGTGGTGAGTAAAGCTGTTTAACGTCGTGGATGTTAGGTTAAACGTGCTCACGTTTGGTTCATGTTAGTGTTAATAGCGAATGTCTTTGGATAGTTTGTATTAGGGCCCGACCGTTATAGATTTCCTAGTTGTTTTTCACAGAATCTACTATTTGTCTACTCTTTGTTTACTTTTCTGTTTGTGTGTGTCTGAGTGTATGTGCTTTTTGGTCAGACAAGCTTGGCAGGGTTTCAGACACAAATGAGCGATTGTAAATTTCAAAATAACATCCAACTAACTTTTGTAGACTAAATTGGACTTCTAGGACATACTTGCTGCATATGTCTGATTCACTTTATTCCTCTGTTTATCTGCTTACCCTTCATTCTCTATCTCTCCCTTTGTGTTTGACCAGGTGGAGGGGCCGCCAGTAGCAGGAGCTTTTCGGGAGCGCCCTTCCAAACCGACCACTTTCCGTATGTTTTATGAGCGTGGAGATTTTCCGATCATGGTCGATCACGGCACCAGGGAAAACCGCATTAAATGGAGGGTAGGTACAGTAAAACTTGGCTTATGCGTATGGTTTTACATGCTATTAATAACATGACAAGGTGTGCCAAATCTGCCATCAGAGAATGCTAGGTTCAGGAGTTGGGATTTGGGAAGGTACTGCCCCTTCCATTGTATAACCCTTATGACAACACACTTAACAGAAGTATGCAAAGAAAACAATGCCACACAAATTTCTGTCCACAGGTAGACATCGGAACATTAGACTACCATCACTTCCTGCCTCTCTTTTTTGACGGCTTGTCAGAAACTGCACACCCATATGAATTGTTGGCTCGCCAGGGATGCCATGACCTGCTAGATCACGGTGGCTCCAAGATCCTGCCAGTGATTCCCCAGCTCATCAGTCCAATCAGGAGTGAGTGTGTGAGGGAGGGTGAGGGTCCTCTCAGGGGGCTACAGATCACAAAGGACACACTGCTTCTTTTCCCTTGAGACAGAGTATGTGTCGATGTATTTTACCTTCACTGTAACCCTTTGACATTAATCAGCTGTGGCTACCTCTGAAGACATACAGTGTTAATGATGTTTATAACAATTTTTCCTCAAGATTTTATTAATTTAAGCTCAAAGCTGCCACGCTCTGAAGTAAAATAGACAGAGTGTGCAAAGATGACGTTAGATCACTGAAAATATGTCTGTAGATAAAAGTTTTATTCCTGCAATTTTCAGGGGTCGAAACACAGCAACGTGTCATTGAATGAAATGCCACGGAAATCTTATTAATTAGCATTAGTTTTGCAAATCTTTAAATAAAAGATCATTTTTTTGTGTAAGTGATTGACAACCAAGTAATCTTCTCAGTTAGAGGAGGCACAGCCCAGATAAATATATTTGCATATCAGTATTTCATTATTTGATATTTTGATGACAGCATCATTATGTATTGATTACTGTTTAATGATTCAGACATATCTAAAGCTTACTTTTTCAAAGATTGACAGCAGTTTATAGTTTTATCAGCTGGAGCCTGAAATAAAGCACAAACTTACACCCAAACCCAAGTTAGATAACTCAACACAAAACATTCCCTCGTCTTGCACCTCAGATGCCCTGAATACACGCAACCGCCAGGTGATATGCACCACCCTGAAGGTCCTGCAGCACCTGGTGCGCTCAGGAGACAAGGTGGGAGAGGCTCTGACCAGATATTACCGGCAGATCCTCCCCATCTTTAATACCTTCAGGAGCATGAGGGGTAAGGTGTTTTTAGATTTTGCCTCAAGTGTACATCCACCCTGCAAACACCCACTCACGCAATCACCATTCTTACCCTGACTCCGGGTCACTGCTCATACCTCGTGTGCATCAACACAACATTGTGCAACAGCAGAAGCGGCGCTAACTCGGAAGTAGTTTCAGCTGCTCCTGTCTCTCTACGGGCAGCCTCATTAAACTTTCAGCTGAACAGTGAAGAACTCCTCTGCTGCTCAGTCCTGACTGGCTGCAGCGTAAGAGTAAATCAAATTCAGTCTGTCCAGAGGGTCTGAAGGCAGATGGAAGCTGGAGTTGGAGTAAAATATTTGCAGTTTTCTCCCCCTCATGTTGTCTGCCTCTCTCTCTCTTTCTCTCTGTCTGATGATCTACTGTCTGGAAAGATCAGCTCCAACAGAATGTTCCTTTGGAGGAATCCCGCCACCTCACTCCGACTAAAGCAGCATCTTAAGATAAGGACACTAAGTTGGAGTGAGCAGCGCGTAAGTAAAAATGCCATCCATCATGAGTATTTTTACTCTCAGGGGTGTTACATTTGAAAGGTGTTTACTTTCTGTGTTTTTCTTCAATAGATGTTCGAGCTCCTGCGGTTCATTGAGGTGGCAACAACCATTTCTGAAAAAATCAAGAGAGGCGAGATTCATCTGCTTGATTTTGTTTTTGATGTCATGCTCCCAGAGGTGAGTAGATCAAACTATATAGCTTGCTTTGAAAATTGATGATATTGTTAAGAGGTTGTTCTTATTCATTTGGAAAGCTCAAGAACAACAATTAACCCATACTGCATAACTTCAATTGTTCACATTATTTGACTGTTTTTCAGCTTTTGATCAAAGCACTTAAGGAGCATGGCATCACCCGGTTCAGAGCAGAGCTGATGATGGCCTGTGGCAACATATTTCAAGCCCCCCACCACACCGACGGCAGTGCTCTGAATTATGTTTATATTATTTTTTTTTTTACTGTTCACAATTTTTTTTGGAAAACATTAAAGAAATCTTCGAAGCAGTTGTATGACAATTTCCCATTTCTTTACACAGTCTGTAATGATATCGCTATTCAATTGTTTTTGCTATATGGCTCTACTGAACCTTAAAGAGATCATGTGACTTGTGTCTCTACAATTATTGTATACTTGGATTTTGCACAGTCAAGCAATCCTGAAGAGGTTCACCAGGAAGCACACCATTTCATAAATTATGTCCCTGGTTACACAATGTTACTAAAGGATGGGGGGAAAAATATGTGCAGCAACATAAGCACTCTCATAAAACATAATTATGAACAACAGAAAATATGTGAGGGTCAGGGCAACATTGTTGACATTAAACGAGGTCCTAATAGGAGTGGAGAAACAAGGTCACAGAGAAGTTAAGAAACATTGATGTGCTGTGTAATAAAGCTATTGGAGAGAAAAGTTAGAAAACACTCTTATATGATGTGTAACGAGAGGTTAAAACAGTCCATACTTGTAGCAAACTCTTACATAAGAATTTGAGTAAGATGATAACTTCTACATACATTTATACCTATTCTGACAAATTATCAGAATATGAGGACATCAGTCTATATATACATATTACTGTAAACTTCAGAATTAAATCAGAACAAAACAGTAGTCATAATTAATACATAAACGTTTTATTTTGATTTTTAGCTCAATAATAAATTTAATTCGATTCTTATGGAATGAACGGAGCGAAAAAAAAGGATCCGGCGACTAAATCCGACTACCTGAAGCATTTCGGCACCGGAAGTCCGCCAATGAGAAAGCCTATCCACCGGAAGTAATTGTTTTGGGTCCGCCAATCGGAGGTAATGCGGAAATTTATTGCGTTTTTTCATCGCGTTTTTTCATCTTTGGGTCCGCCATCTTTGCGCTGCAGCTGGCTTCCTCTCGGGTACGGCGGGTCCAAGTGGTCACATGATGCAAGAAAAATGAATTCCCTTGTTGTTTGCCATGAATCCCTAAAAAATTAATGCTCCATTGATTTGTGTAAAAACTTAGTTAAAAATGAGAAATGGTTTAAATGTGAATAGATGAGTTTTTTCCAAATTTATGTAATTGATAATGCCCCCCTGGGAGGGGCTGGGGGGGTTAAAACAAGCCTACCTGGGCCTTTCTTTGAGTCTGGAGTTTATTGCATGAACAGTAACTACCAAACAGACTTTTCGTATTGCTGCTGTGTTTCTGTTTTTTTCTCTTGAGTGAGAATCTTGAGTTATAGTGGAACGCCTTGTTGGCGTTTTCTTTTTTCCTCTGTATATTATGTAAATAGTATGCACTTTTTTTATGCACTTTTGTAAATATTTTTGCACTACACCTTGAAAGGCCAGCTGTAAATAAATATCACCATCACTGTGTTTTCCGCTACGCCTGTGTTTTTCCACTATATTGGGATTGTTTGAGCGAGAACCCCGCTGTGCGCATATGTGAAAATGACACTATTTTAACCTTTTTTTATTAAATTGATCTTAGTGAGCAGCGCTGGTGACGCTGTTGTGATTTCAGTATCATGGCCAAGCCACATGGACAGCTCAATCTGAGGGATTATGTAATATAATAATTATCTTTGTGCTTTAGTAACATTAAATGGGTACACAGTCGGTTTCACGCCATGTGCACTGTCATCAGACCAAAATCCCCCCTGTTTTTTTTTTTTCACAACTCCACTACTGAGTATTAGATAAACAAATTTACGTAGCTTCTTTTTGATGACACTTTGAAGTGATTGTTAAACTTTTGTCAAGTCATCTTATAGAGGGAGTTGAGCAAATGTGTGATGTAATTTCCTGGACAGTCATTCATAATTTTGGATTGACTCACCCAAAGATATTTGTCTGACAGTTACCTCGGTCATAGATTAATGTGAGATTTTATCCTTATCTACTGTAAAATTGACAACTAATTCCCATGCATTGTCACTGTAATGCTAATATAACTTGTAGCAAACCTCTAGATTTTAAGACTTAGCACTTGATACACAAGTAAGATAGTAGTGCATGAGTCTAAATCCAATTGTGCATCAATCTTGAAATGGTAAATGGACTGTATTTACGTAGCCTTTTCTCTGTTTTAACTAATCCCATTCACACACAGCTGCTGCAGCCACCAGGGCCAGTTTGGGGTCAATTGTCTTGCCCATTCCTCTTCCACTTTTTCACTGATCCACAGCTAATATGTATTGTTGACATATGGTGGAGTGGCAAACAGAAGGAGAAAGGCCAAAGTAAAGCCATACTGTTGTTGTGCCTGTCAACAGTCCCAGTGGACCGTCAAAAACTCAACAAATCACAGACAAGTTTACGTGCTTTTGTCAAAATTTATTATTTCTTTACATTTATTTACAGTCTTCTTACAAAAGTAGTTTTATTCAAAGTGCATCAGCGCTCATACAGACTGCACCCTCCTAACTCACATAGACACTTAGTTGCATGATTCAGTTTCTCTGATTAAATTACAGTAAATTGCAGTAAATTATGTGTCACTGTTCTCCACCACACTGAGGGAAGCTGGAGACCTGCAAAGTAAACAAACATGAACATAAAACAACCAGTTAGTGGACAATAAACCAGAGATGGCGCACATGTGATCAAACAGAGCATGGTTTTGAGGTTGGATTTTGATCTCACCTGCTCAGACCAGAGGGTAGCTGGCTGCAGTAGCAATGCCACACTGGTTATCCTTGTTCCTGGACATCATGATGTATCCCTTGTCTCCCCAGGTCAGACCCCAGCTACAGATATACACAAAATACAGGCAACAATTAGCTAGTAAATGCAAAACACAACACTGCAACTGCACATGGAGACAAACAATCGTAAGTAACAAAATGATGATATAAGAGAAACAGCAGAAGCCATTCATAGTTGTGGTTGAGTGAGTTTCACTTCGTTGTTGCTGCTATATATATACCTCACTGAGGAAACGACGACTTAGCTGTCTGTTTCCATTGTTACTCAAGTGACTGATTCTTAGCATGAGAGCAGGCCTCGCTTTATGAGATTTATTACCTATTCTTGACCAGCCAGAAATCCTTTCCACTGTCACTGCCGTAGCCCACAGCCAGGACACCGTGATCCAGCTCTGTGCTGCTGCAGTCTGGCTCATCGTACACTCCTGCAAACACAGATCAGACAGTCACACAAAGAACACAAATTCCTTTTCTGTCTCAAAAGCAGTTGTGAAAGAAGATGTTCTTCACCTGATTCATAGAGCTGGAAGGACATTTGGGAGGCATCGATGGCGACAGACACAGGCCCGATGGTGGCCACAGCCTCCTGCAGGGCATCTTCATCACCTTGTTTCACATCAACGTGGCCTGTGCATTTGGCTCCAACGTTGCCGGGTTTGTAACGGCACTGACCATCCTGTTACAGAGAAAAAAGGATCAGAATGTTATCAAATGTGTGGGATATAGATGCTGAATATGTCTTAAAGTCTTAAAGTTCGGGCTACTACATCTTTTGTCCACAAGATGGCAACAAAGTTCAGCTCTTACACTTTAAAACTCTCCTTGTAATTTCCTGACTGAGTTGATTTGCATCTCTAACTCTTTTAATACAAAAGACTCATAAGAAACCATGGCAACTGAAATAAACTCCTCTAACCTCAGCCTCATACGGATAGGACTCCTCTGTGTCGATGCCTCCGTTAGCCTGGATGTACTGGAATGCTTGGTCCATCAGGCCTCCCATGCAGCCCATGTTACCATAATCACCAGAGCAGTCAACCAGCTGCTGCTCACTCAGAGACACCAGCTTTCCTGTCTTCCTGAAGTTCTGACCCTCCAGAGAGCCGGTCTGAAAAAGGGGATACACTCATGAGAGACCCAAAAAACTGCTGTGTGAAGACAGAATGAGAGGATGTGACTTTGCTGTTGTACTTACAGCGCTGAAGGCCCAGCAGGAGCCGCACTGCTTCTGATCTTTGATATCAGTGACGTATCCCTTGTCTCTCCAGTCAACGGTGGTGGGCAGGTCTTTTAATTCAGGCAGACGGAAGAAAGTGGCGCCATGGCGAGGCTGAGAGGAATTGAAGGCACCCAAGCAGCCCTGGGAGATCAGGCGTTTGTACTCCTCGTTTTCCTAAAGGAAAGGACACAAATTTAGACTGTTATCGGAGATGTCATTCACTCTTCTCTTGTACATGTTCAAGGGAAACTCTAAAAGTTAAAGGGTGTAAGACACAACTGGATTTCTGCTTTTCTCTTCATACCATGTCAGCAAAGTAGGTCATGCCAAGGCGGTAAGACTTGATGCCCTCATCGGCCATGATGTTGTGCACCAGCACCACTCTGCGGTTGTTGAGCCAGATTTGCCTGCGCTGAGCCTCCTCTGATGGAGAGCTGTAGGTCCTTCCTGCAAGTCAAAGGAGTAAATTTGGATTAAAATATGGGCCAAATGTATTTGATGGGAAAAAAAAGTTTTAAATCAAAGTTCTACAGATAAGTTACAAACTCTTATCAGACTTTTAGGTATGTTCTGTGTCAGCACACTCCAAATTAAAGCCACACAGGAAACCAACAAGATCTACTGTATTATCAAAAAAAAACACAAAGAAGAAATCAATCTCATATTTTTCTCACCGAACTTGAGTTTCCAGGCGTGGAACTCCAGGTCCTCCAGGGAGACCCTGGCACTGCTGGCCACAGCCAGAGCAGCAGCAACAACCAGCAGCAGCTTCATCCTGAGTGACAAACACAGGCAGAGAAAACACATTCAGATCCCGTGTGACATGCAGGAAACCACACAAACTGAACTCTTTCACTTCAATTTTGCTTCATAAACCATTTCCTTCACACACTGGAACTGCAACAGAATGAATGTTATCGTTTCTCTCATCTTCTAAATGTGTTGTTGCAGTCGCTTACCTTTGTTGGTGTTTGTGGTGAAGTCTGAGGTATAAACACCTGTAGGTGATGAAGACCTGTGTGAAAGAAGTGTTCTTATATAGCTGATTGAAGTTATGACATACAGTGTGTCCAGTCAGGTGAATGTCAGCAGCCCATAAAGTGACAGAGAAGAAGAGAGTCAATCATTGAAATAGAAAAGGGAGGAGTTGCTCATTATGAGAAGTTCTCATGATGCAATGTCTTTTGGGAAACATATGTCAGCAGAACAAGAAGCATCAGGGTCATGCCGATGGGTCACCGCTTTGTTTTTTAGGGCACTTTACTCAGCTGTTTTACAGGTCAGGAATTGTACACTGACCATAGGGGGGGACACACAGGCTGTCATTGTGTGGAGAAATACTGTTGAAAGTTTCCTGTCACACACAGATCGGGATCCCCTCTGAAAAACAAAAATGAAACGAGAACAGACACATGCATGTGCGAATGTGCACCTCCACCCACCTATTTCACTTGAAACCGTGCAGATTAAACCGTGCCAAACAGGAAAATGTGTAGGATGTAGGTACATGCTGCTGTTTTTATGTCTCAGAATTGTAGGTGGCATTTTTGCTGACATAGACTCACAGCAAATCTCGATTACATGACATGGTCTGTTTTTATAAGAAATGGTCTAAATATGTCTGTTCCTCTTTTGAATGACTAAATCAGACCAAAATACTTCCACGTCTTATTCAAGAAGAAGAGAAAAAAATTGACATTAAGTGGTCTCAGATATCTTGGCCCAAAAGTTGTTACCAGAAATGTAAAAAGTTCCAAAATAGCATTCGGATAATTACACTCAGTCTCATGAATCAAACAGTCTCTTTCACTGTGATTCATGAGAATTTCCACTGAAAGTTATCTAGACTTCCCTCCATTGCACACATCCTGTTTTCGACTTGTCATTGTCAGAAAAATGACGACAAATATAATCCAGTAATCAAAAACACAAGAGTTTCACTTATAAAAACTAATAAATGGTTATAAATGGTTGTTTTTATATAAATCCTCTCTACAAGCGTTAAAATCGTACTTTTTTCAATGATTTTATAGATGTCTCTCTTTCTGCCTTGTCACTCTGTTCGCCTGCTCTTTTCTGTTTATTTGTCTGTCACAAGGCTTCCGTGCCATGAAAACACTTGAGACCATAAAGAAGCTGTGAAAATAAAAGGGAGAGGTCAGCTAAAAGTTAACAGATGTCATTAAACTCTATCAGCATGTCTCGTGAGTCTCTCTGTCTGTTCTCAGGTCGCAGACGGTTGTGCTCGCACACGTCTGGTATGGAGAAAACTATTTGTCTCATCAATTCAGCGTGTTGGTAAAAAAACAGAGACATAACAGTGAACTGGACTGCTGAATAGCTAATATGCTAAGAACAAAACAAGTTAGAAAAGCTGCTTGCAAAGTTGATCATCTATATATTGTGCCCATAACTTACTGTCTTGTGTGTTAAGTGTGTAGTAGTTACCGTGGCAGCATTTGTACAAGTTAATAAGATGTGTACACACCATAGTTTTTAGTTTCCACATGAAAACTTCCTGGTCTGTCTGCTATACCGTCTCACACAGCAACCTGCTCATCGTGGATGACCCCTTGCATATAGGGGAAATTCTAATCCACATAAATAGAGTTTTTATGATTGTTATAATTGATACAAGGTTTGACTGTTTAGCAGTGGTAGTCCTCAGAAGAGTCAGAATACTCATTTCAGGGGTCCATCGTGGACTTATGGTGTAGAAAACATAAAGGAATGTAATAATTTTATCAATTATCAGTTCTTTATCAAGTGGAAAAATCATTTAAATAAAAAGAGTCGATTTCTTCCTTCATGCCTCAATTTTCATGAGGTTTATCGAGTATCGATATGAGTCATTCAAAGTTTTGTTTGAGTATATCTTGGGCTTTTACGTGCTTTTATTAGGAACAGTATATAAAGTTGAAAACAGAGAGAGTGGGAAATAACACGCTGAAAAGAGCTGAGGGTGGGACCTCGACTTGAGGCTTCTTCTTCAACTAGAATATGGACTCTAAATAGATGCTCATATTTTGAATCTCATTATAAATTGAACGAACGAGGGCTGTCAGATAGATGTGTGTGAATCATTCCCACACAAAATAAAAGGCCAAAAGTAAACAACCCTCATCATTGATCGGCACATGCCGACATCTTTTTTTCACTCATAAGAGCCGGTTAGATGTTTTTGAGTTCAATGACCTGAAGTGTCAATCTGAAACAAGCTGATTCAGGATTTTTTAAGGAACATCTTTTACAGTGCTTCTGTTTGCTCTGTGCCATTACAGGGCTTTTTGTGTGAGACAGACAGCGTGTGGAGGCTAAGTGCACGGCTAATAACTAAGAAGTCAAGTGCACCTTTATGCAGACATAAATACGATCTGCCTCAGGGACAATAAAAAACATTTACAACAAAAGTCAAGTGACAAGATCAGGCCTTGAGTCAGCACAAACGCACACAGAAGAAAGACTGTACATAGATCAAAGTGTGTGTGTGTGTGTGTGTGTGTGTGTGTGTGTGTGTGTGTGTGTGTGTGTGTGTGTGTCTTTGGCCTTGAGAGAGGGAGCTTGAGGTGAAGGTTTTTTTTTGTGTGTGTATATGTTTTTGTCAAACTTATGTGTGCGTGTGTTTTTTTTTTACAGTCTTCATGAACTGATCCTAAAAAGGCAAAACAGAAAGCAGCTAACTCACAAACACAGCACAGCACATGTCAGAGTCGCCTGTCAGACTGTTTTACAGTTTGGTTATGGATCTGGAAATCAGATGTTAACAACCTGAAATGTATCACACAGCATACAAAGTTATGCAATGTGTTTAAAATCTTTGTGTGGAGCCTTTTACCGTCTGTAAACAGGTTGAATGTCAGTTATATAAAAGAATCAGATGAAAATGGAAAAACTATAAACACTTTATGATTTCAACAATAAAGAAATTATGAGATTGTCAAAGACATTTTAAAAACTGCACATTTATTCAAAAATATAAACTGTGAATCTGACTGAATCACTTTTGTTTTGATCAGTTTTATGTCAGATGGCTCTGAATCAAAACTGGTCGCATGACGGGCCATAGATCATGTGATCCTCTGTCTATGTAAAGGTTAATTTTGGCTCTGTTTTACTGTAAATGATGATCACTGCCTCGTCAACACTGATGACCAGATCAGCTGTTCACATGTAGTGCTGGTTTTTACCAGGGACTGACGATAACACTCACTTCCCTTTCTTAGGTCTAATGGGTTCCAACCATAGACTGTATATAGTATTCTATATGGTTTCAATACACAGGGGGAATTACAAAGTTGTTATTTTTTTAATCCAGTATTGGAATCAGAACATTACTCTGCTCGCATGAAATAAAATCACAAATAAAATCTAAATTTCTGCTTCTTCATCACCAGTGAGTGTGTGTCGTTATCTGATGATTTGATTTTATGACAGCTGTTCAAAGATAGACTGCAAAGTTTGTCATAATAAGTCATATGGTAAATATACTTTACGACATCAAAACCGAGATTTGAAATCAATCTAAAGATATGAACTATGAATCAAGTATGAATCTGTGTTGCTGAATCATGCATAACAAGCTGGTTTTGTAATCCATGATTTATGAACATGTGATCATGTTTACTGCTGTCACTCCTGACATATGACAAACAAAATAGCTCAAGCAAAACAAAAAATGAACAATAAATGAAACCCCAGTTATTAGTTATATAAAAAAAGAAGGAAAAAAATCTATATTCAATGAAATTTTATATTCACCAATAAATCAGTTATTACAAATACAATTAGGAAGAAGAAGAAAAAAGGGAAGAAGTCACTCAGATATTAAACACTCAATGTGTATACAAGACAGTCACACACATACAAGCACAAACAGGGTCCCATGGCCACCTGCTAACGGAGAGATCTCAGGTTGATTAGACGCACACAGATTGCTCAAGGGCACATCAGCAATGCCCAGTTAATGAACACTTTCCCTGCTAACAGCCCAATTTCAATGCTGAAATTGAGTTCCCACAGACTGAACCCTCATTTTAAACTGCTACAGGACAAGCACAAATGAAAGTTGAAAACACACATCATAATTTGATGATTAACTGTTTATGAAATAATTGCAGATAGATCTTTCCTTGTTCATTTAAATAGTTTATCGACTAACTCTTTTTTTATTCTCTGTCATAAATAACTAAACAAAGTTTCCTCTAATTTAATGATAAAGAAGTGTAAAAAAAAAAAAATGTATGTCTGGACCAAAATCAAAACATCACTTTGCCAAACTTTTTTAAAACTTTCAAGGATCTTTGGCAAATACTTTGGGGTACATCGTCAATGTAATACAACTTTATAACTGTGATGCACTTTTTCATCAATCCCGACCACTCTAACCCTCCTCCTGTGTTAGGGTCTGCACCGACCCGTTTGTTTTTAAATGCTTAAAAGAACCACTTTAATGAGCTTTTCTGCATCAAGACTTTTTGACTTCGTCAGGAACCTCTATTTCAACAAAATTAAAAAACAAAAAATCATATTGATTAAATTATAAAATGCTTTTATTAAAATTATGGCACTTGTTGTGTTAGGGTCGCTGTTGAACCGATTAGATTAATACACACTTACAGTCAGATCCTCGTCCAATCATGTGAGATTTAGGAAATTCTCATTTTGCCAAGTTTTTCCCTGCACAAAAAAGCAATATACTGATACTGACAAAGAAAGGCCCAGAGGCTCACTACAAAAATATTACAAACAATATTTTCATGGATAATGAAGCCTAACAAGGTAACCTAGAGAGGAGAACCAAATTGGATGATAGAGATTTGTTTTTAGTGTAATTTACAGCTGATTTAAGACATGGGTCAAAACCAATCCTTAACATAGTGGGTGTGTAGTAAAAGCTAATGCAGGTGGAAGGTTAAACCATCACTCCATGTATCTCAAACAACTTCAATTATCCTGTGTAGTCCTCAAATTTACCAGAAGAGGGCAGCATTTCACTGGCTTAACTTTCCCACTCTCTAACGGCCCTATCAGTTTACTGTATTTGTGTGATAATGAATCTAAAGAATCATTTCTGCTGATTTCATGAACATTTAATGATAATCTATTCAGTTTTTCACTGTAATGATTATTCTCTTTATTAAATATGCGCTGAATTCACACCAACTGTCTCAACATAAAGGTATTTGTTGTGTTATTTATAGGATATGGAGTTTATTGATATATTAGTGGTATCATGTGACAGTAGCAGTCAATGAATCTGGTGTGAAGAGGAAACCCCAAGATCCAGAGACGACACTGGCGGGAAAAGTCTGTAAAAGATGCTTGGCACGGGAATCTGAGAGGAACACCATCCCTGCTAAACTCGTCTAATTTCATTACTCTACATGTTTCCTCAGCTTAGAGCCAATCACATAGTTGGCTGCTCTTTGGCTTGAGGGAGGTCACACATAACAGCCGCTAAATTGTGACAGTGGCCCAGAGTGGCATACCTTAGCACATAATCTGATTATCGGATCAATAACACAGCAACATTTGGTGCATAGCTGGGATGGCTGGATTCTTCTCTGGTTACACATTGCTGGCATTCACCAGTCGTTCCCACTTTATAGGTGACAAAGTGTGAATGCGAGCGGGAATTCAAATGGAAGGCCTTTTGAGTAAGACGCGCGGCGAAGCGTAATGTTGATCACATCTGGCTGTGTGCTACTGTCACTGAAATCCACATGGCCACTGAAATATCAGCTACACAGCACAAGGACTTATTTCTGTCTCTCTTCTTCCCGTGCCACGATGTCACATAAATGAGATGAATATTAGATATTATGTAATGTGATGCAAGGTAAGCATTTTTAGGATGTGATAATTTACCATAAAAATATTTATTGACATCACAATCTTCTCAAGCACAGACATGAGAAATGGCACACAAAAAAAGTCCCCAAAAAATAATTAAAAGTTCCAATTCAAAACATCCAAGATAGTCACAAAGAAATAAAGCACAAAAATGGAAAATCATCAAGAAATTGAAACGACACAATCTTCGAGTCTGCTCAGAGCAAACAAACACCAGTCGAGCTGAAGATATGTTTGATATGTCTTTGAAAAATCACTGTTGTTCTCCTTTTTCCTCTTTATATTCAAGAGAAAGTCCATCAGAAGAAGTCTTGGGAGCTTTATCCTCATGTCTTCTCTCTTTAGAAGACATTATACTCTGAAAAAAAAAAAAACACTGGCCTAACCAAACATTTTTAGAAATGTACATACACACCAATAAATAGGACACTTTATTTCAGAAGACAGATTTATATAATCATAGACAGATGAAAAGGGGCATCATGATGAAAGTCACAGAAAATAGAGCAGCAGGATCGGTGCTCCTGCATGTTGTGTTTGTGAAACACAGAAAAGTGGGTGATAATTGTACCAACAAAGAACATGAGACAGAGATAACCAGGGACATTGGAGGGAATCCCTGCCTGTCTTTTCCATCCCCCTGTCTCTTCATTCATCCCTCTATCTCTCTGTCGGCTGCTAAAGTCTGTCATGATCCCGTCTTTTTCGGTCCAAACAGGTCACTGTGGCCCACACCTCGCCAAGGCAGCAGAGAGACCAGAGGAAAGAGGCAAAAAAGAGAGAGAGAGCACACTGATTTCTCCCTCTCTCTCTCTCTCTCTCCCTTGCTTTGCTTTATCTCCATGGTGCACACACGTCAACCTGGAGCAAGGCTGTGTACTGGCAGGGGGAGGCCGTGAAAAAGAGAGCAGAGGGGGTGGTGTGAACCTGTGAGTGTGTGTGTGAGTGTATGTGTGTGTGTGTGTTGAATCGGGGGGGATAAAGGGACACGCTTCTTCAATAGGGGAGCAGGTCCAGGGACTAATTGGATCTGGTAATGGCTGGTCAATGTGACTGAAGGGCTCGTTAGAACCAGTACAGCTCCTTGCCTTTCTTGTGCTGCTGGAGGCCTGAGAGAAAAGCAGAAAGACAAGAGAACAATGATGAGGATAATGCAAACAACAGAACACAGGTTGTCATGGAGCCTACTTTAGCCAAACATCCTGTTTTAGAGGAGGGAAAAAGAGCCCATGAGATGATTATGATGCACTTTGTGTGTGTGTGTGTGTGTGTGTGTGCATGTGTGTGTATATGTGTCTGTGCACGACTAAGGGAAGTCAACTTTGCAGGTGTCTGCACCTTTTTTGTCCTTTCAGGGTACTGCGGGGAGGTTGAAAACTGCAGATATGTTGGATGTTCAGAGCTACATCGAGGTGATCCAGCCTAAGGCAGTTAAGTCTGTCTCGTTTATACATGTATTGATAGATGTTGAATTCATATCATGCTGCAGTTTCTTATGTAAATGTTCACCTCTCTTTTGTAATTTATCATTTAAATTGTTGTATCTCGTTTTAATCATTCATTACGTCATTTGCTCTATTTGATAAAAATAAGTTTTCACCCCTGTTTATTTTATACTATCTGTCTGTAGAAAATAGTTGCAAGTAAAACTCTGTGGTTGCATAGCAACCATGATTGCAGCCAGAAAAAAAAGCTTGATCGTTCTCTGCAATAAATGCAAAGACTTCTTTACATGGAAAAGCCATTCTCTTTCCTAATGCCTTTCTTAATCTAAATTTATGGCACCATTGGTTTAGCAGCTTAAGGCTGTAGTCTTCATTGTAGCAGTCACTGATTTGACTCCAGGCCACATCCATTTTCTTTTGTCTACTACTCACATTTTCTGTCTCTCATCAGCTGACAGATGCCCCCTCCAAAAATAGTAAAGATAAAAATCCAAAATTGTCATTTGCATTTGTGTATGCTGATGTCTAAGTATCTGGTTTTGCAGTCATAGATTCTTTTATCTGGTTCTGTCCAGAATGTTTTGTAAAACTGTGGATAAAAGAACATTTTCTAGTTGATATACAGTGTTGAAAACATGCTTCATAAGTACCTGCATCCATGTTAAGAGCCAGTGTCTGGCTCACATCTCCAGGGGGCAGCAGGCCGGGCCAGGAGGCAGCAGGCTCCAGCTTGCTAACTTCATAGTGGCTTGGCAGTGTGGGGAGATGTGGGGGCCTCACTGTGGGCATCAGCAGGGGCCCATAGTGGGGCTCCAAAGCTGACGGTGAGTACAGTTCATGCAGAGGCCGCGGGGGACCGTAGGCCTGGGCCTGAGGATACCCCCAGCTCTCCGGTGGGTGGGGGTGGGAGTGAGGGTGAGCATGCGGATGAGGGTGGGTGTGCGGATGCGGCAGACCCGGATGCAGCCCTGATGCGTAGGGGTCCATGGAATAAGAGGGTGCACCAGTGTCACAGTGAGCACGGCTCTGAGGTGAGGAGTAGTTACTGTCCCAGAAGGATGGAGGGAAGCTCCGCCTACTGCTGGGTGAAGGTGTATCTAAGAGGAGAAGGAGAGGATCAACAACGATTTAGGACCTAAATTTAGGACAAAGCACAAAGCATTGCACAACTGTGTAGTGATGCATTTGATTTAAAGAGACAAATGGAAAGGCTGGAGCAACCCGTGCTAAAACGTCGATGTCACTCACATGACTGCTACACCCTCTGGCCCAGATATCTTCACCATTGGATCATACTGTCACACACAACTCTCAGCCCAACAAGACACAGAAATAAACACAACCATGTTCTAGTGGACAGAGAGAGAGAGAGAGAGAGAGAGAGAGAGAGAGAAAGGTAGAAAGAAAGATGTCCCTATATCCCAGAGATCTATATAAGGCAGACACTCTGACCTGGAGGGAGCCCAAGGCCTGCACAGCCCTAAATCTTCACTGTGGTGACATCTCTCACTCTCATGTCAGCGCAGTACTTCTGAAAGTCTCTCAACCCTCTCCTGCACACACATACACACACACACACAGACACACACACACACACACACACACACACACACACACAGTCATGCAGCTCTGGCCCTGCGCTTGCACCCGTCACCCCTCTCCTCTGTCTCCTGCACCCCCACCTGTTGTTTTCTCTACTCCCCCCTCTCCTCGCCCTTGACAGAATGTCAGTGAGCCATTATATGTTTTTAGCAGTATACTTTTATATTTAGATATTCCTCTGAAAAGAGACACCGTGCGACACCCTGAGAGGTAGTGTTTCCCCCGTGCACCCTATCACACAGACCACAGCGTACGTATATAAATCTGACAAGCAGACAGGCAACTGACTGATCAACCATTGTGGGGCAAGGGCTGGAGGGAGAGTCAGAACGGCAGCCGCAGAGACGTTTGAAGGGGATACGCCAGCGAGGCTGTGCGCTTACGGCCATGTATAAACATAGCATCTGTTGTGAGGCAGGAAGCTTGTGTTAGTGCCGAAATGAAGACGTCCGGCTGAACTGGGAAAGAAACTAACAGCATCAGCAGAGCGGGGAGAGAGTGAAGGCAAAGGCCCTACATGGATATCCCTGTGAAATCTTCAAACTGAAAAACAATCAAACAAACTCAAATCAGTGTGCTTGTCCAAAATTTGTCAGCATACCTCATTACAATCTAAACCAGCTTCATTTCCCTGCTCAGGCTGGAGCTAACCTCTTATTTTAAGAGATCATGTGTTAAAATTAAGTCCAGACATGATTGAAATGAGGAAAATATCTCAAAATAAGATTCTAAATGATATCTTATGAAACTGCACCGGCAGTTACTTATGTATAACAAGCAGCTCATACCGTGTCTCCTGCTTGCAACATTTTAAAATCAAAAGTTATGCCTTGCTAGTTGGATGAATTAAGCTAATAATAGGTGCACTGAGATATTTTGAACTGAGATTAGATGAAAACACATGCTAAGATGAGAGTTTTTTGCAGCAGCATGGAGGCTTGTTGTCTGAGGAAGATTTGAAAATGACAAGTTTCCACCTGGTGTAATCAAAACTAAAATAGAGCAGATAAATTGATGTTTTTAAAGTAATTATAAGCTTTTTTTTGTTTTTGTTTTTTGTCTCTTATTTTGCTTGTAAAAAAAAGTTGACACTGACTAACAGTTGGTTATGAATCTCAAGAATGCCTGCACTGATAATGTTTCCAAAGCATACCACACAAGATGTCCAAAATTGAGGCCGAATGTTTGTGAGCTGCTTTTAATTATTTATGGATTCCAGATTTTTCACTTTAAACCCAGAAAAAATCCAATCCAACGCCGGCTGCTTGTTTTCTCTTGCTTTTGCGAAACTCTTTTCTCCAACCAGAGTAAAAAAAGAAAGAAAAAAAAAAGTCCTGTGACTTTCTGCAGCTTCTGACCCTCGTGACCTCTGAACCCTACGCCCTGACCTCTCCAGGGACAACAGTCCCAACAAGCAGCTCTGCAGTCGTGTCACCTGATCACATCACCTGTCTGGCTCTCTGCTGTGCTCTGCAGATCTGTCAGCTCACCCTGTGTGGCCCTCAAAAACAAGCGTAGGACACTACACTGACAACTGTTGAACCTGAGTTCACATAAATACATGCAAATTATGCAACTGCTGGGGTGTAACAGGGGGACAAAACCAAGTTAGAATGAGATCAACCAAATGTCTTTCAGCTGGCATGAATCTTCAGCAACAATATTTTGTAATGGTCAGTGTCACTGGTGCAAAAACATTAAGATAGGTTCCTGATAATCACTTGAAAGCATATTTAAATAATATCTTAATATAAATAAGGTTGCTACTAATCTTCACACATCTTTATACTTTTCTGCATGGACATAGAAGAGTTTTAGACGTCCAGGATCGTTTCATTTGCACAGCAGGTTGACACTGCTTTTGTGTTCAGCTCCAAGATATGGACAATGGAGCATACCTGTGCCCTGTTGGTCCGGCGCCCTCCGTTTGCCCTCTCCATCCATGTAAGAACTGAGGGCTCTGGAGAAGTGCTCGTCCACCACGCTGCTGATGTCTCCCTGGTAGTACGTGAAGAGGACACATCGAGAAGTAAGGTACTCTGCCTCGGGGGCCTCCTGCTTCTCCTTAGGGCCCTCCTCTGACCTCAGAGCTGCAGACGTGAAGGAGGAGGAAGTAGAAGAACTGGATGAAGACGAGGAGGAAGTTGATCCTCCTGTGCCTGGGCCCCCGGACATCCCCTCGGGACCCCTGGGAGTGTCCATAAAATCCCGGCAATGAGGAGAGGTTCTGCTCAGACCTGTGGGAGCCTGCGAGGGGGGTCAGAGGGAAGGGAGGAGAAGGGGGGAGGAGAAGGGAGAGGGTTATGACAGGTGTTGCAGAGGACAGTTCCTGAGCTGACTATGAGACATTTTGACATAATGTTTTTCTTTGTGTGTGGCAACGCTGGCATGAGCGCGCGTGAGCAACCTAATGTCAGTGCGTAAAGATATATTTCAGAATATATAGCGACTTCTCTGCTCGGTGATACACAAATAACAACTACTGATACAGATATCAGCGAAAAACAAATAAATTTTTGAAAAAAAATCTTCATTCACGTACAAGAAATGAAACATTTCCACGATCGATACGAGTTATTTGCTTTTACGCACAAGAATTAGCCAAATATCCACCAAACAGCCGAGTTACATCATCTCTAAAATGCTTAGAAAATGCAACAAGTACCTCGATAGTATTGAAAGATTTGTTCTCTTCCTACCTGTAAGCTACTGATAAAAGCAGGAGCAGTCGGTGCGTACGGTGCGTAATGTCCATAGGCTGGGTACATAACATCCAAACAGCTCATGGTAAATGAGCGGTGTCTTCACTGATCTGTTGAAACCGACCTTGCTGGGTGAGAGAGTAACAACATTCCGGGTTTTTTTTTCTGCTGAAGAGAAGCGTGCTCAGAGATCGCTGGTCAGTGCAAAGAAAAAACTCTCTCCAGACTCCGCATGGTCACCCCACAGAAGAGCGCACCTCTCCGCTCCCTTCGTGCGCCACAGCAGCTGCGGCAGCAAATTGTGGTGAGGTTTATGGAGCAAGCATGAGGGTGTCCTGTCCTGTACATCTCTGTGTCAACCCCTCCCACCTTCTCCAGCCCCCTGTCCCCCACATCGCTACCACCAACACTCCCACCACGGATTATGGATTGTACAAGAGCAAAGGGATTGTTTCCTTTGGAATGGAAATGCAGTAAAGCTGAATAAAGCTATGAGAATTGAAGCTTGTGATTGTTTATTAAAGTATGTAAATAAAACTCACAAAAGTCTGGGATTATTTGAATACAAAACAGGCTAAAGTAATTTCTAGAAAAGCTGGAGACAACCTGTGACTTATCGTGGCTCCAAAGCATTTTAATCCTAGTGTAAAATAAAGGTTAAGGAGAATGTGATCCAGTGACATAAATAGATTAGGATGAAGTCACTGAGCTTCTAAACCCAGCCTCACAACAATGAGCACATGATACATGCGACTTTTTATTTCTTTCCATGTACTGCAGATCCTTGAAAACTTTGCACTCAGTCCAAGCTGAAAGACTATCCACAGTCTTAAAACAGCCATCGGTTGCCAAGTAAACCCTCGAGTCATCTGAAGTATTTAGTGTGTTCCCAGAATGACACATAGGTGTCAACTATAGGTTGCATACACTGGTCATACCAACATAGAGGAGAAAGGGACTCTGCTCAAATCTATGACAAATTATCACCTATCAGCAGTGCAAACAAAGAGATATTTCCACACATATACAAAATTATTACAGGTGACAATCACAAATACTCAAAGGGCAGAAAATCTGCCATACATTTATGTGAAGCATTTCAAAGAAATGCATCTTGAACACATTACATGTTAGGTTAGAAAAGGCTGACTACATTCTCCAGAAGGTGCAGTTGATTTCTCTTGTTTTAAAGGCTTACAGGTGCCTAATGTTTAGGCATGCCAGTCTTTTTGACAGGCACTTGTCTGTGTGCCTAAGAGAATAGTGTGGAAAATTTGCAGAATTCCATGGACGAGTGTCAGATGAGGTGGAATGTCTCTGATGTATGCGAGTGGACGAGCTCCTGGGGAAGTTACATCGTCCCTCTGCTGCGTTCTCTAGATGGAGAACATGACCAACATGTCGCTCTGCATACATCACACATGGTATGAATAACTAGAGGCAGGTTATTGGCATGCTAATGAATCGAACATGCTCTTAAATAGCAGGGGATGATGCTGACATGCAGCGTTGTAGTTCTCACTTTGTGCTTGTCTTGCATCAGTGTCTTGATGAATGGATTTTACGCCATAGAGCTGCAATGTAATACTATCAAATGCAATGTATTGTGTTGCATATAACCTCAGTGAAACAGAGTAGGTCAGTGCCTTAAATAAATTCTTCTGTATAAAAAGATTGCAAACAGAAGCAACATGTTCGTCCGTTTTCTTTGCAGCAGGATTTGCAATATGGGTTATTTGATCTGTATCCATGCAGTGTAATGCAATGGAGTCATGGAGAAAGAGAGTGATGCAATGCTAGAAAGCTCACAGTTACACCAGCGTGATCAACAGCTGCAGCTGACAGAAGGGAATGGAGGCCACTATTAGTATTAATGGCCATGACTAAATTTCCCTCTGTGTCTCTCTTTCTGTCTCTGACTCTCCTTCCCACTAGTCTTCCCTAGTGATACACATTTTTATAATCACACTGGAAGATGAACCCATGCCTGTCAGTTACATGTATGTGTGCATATATACCCCACTACACTTGCCATCAACTGACCAAACAAGGAAGAAGGCAACAAAGGCATGGCACAGACCAAAGGGCCAAATCTGAGTTTGTTACCAACTTTGTGTTCTTGATGACTCTAACAGTGCATGCTCATTTTTATGCATGTAAAGAACAGTATGTGCGAGACTCCACAGTTGCTTCTATAAGTGTGCGTTTGTGTCTGAGCGCAACAGTGTGTGTGTCTACATTTACGTGTATATGCTGAAAATAAACACAGGTTACATCACTCCTTGTGACCCTGCAGCACATGGAAGCCCCGCCTCTCTTAAAAAGGTCTGACCAGGCAAAGTGTCTGATTGGCTGAGATGTTGCAGGGCCAGTTGAGGTAGTAACGGCAACCTGGTTTTATTTAGACGGCCATTCGCATTGCAACACCACCAATAATAGTTTATATTCATCAAAGAAATGAGGGCACACATGCAGCATTAATCGGGACCAGTGCGGTGAAACTGGGATGAGGTTAAAAATAAGTGAAGGGTTGTGTGTGTAAATACATATCAAGACAACATAAAGCTTCTTGTGGTTCTCTGTAGAACAGAGCTTGGCGGGATATGAACCTGAAACCATATAAGCTACCTCCTGAAACAACAAGGCCTTTATTAAGGTCCCAGTCTGGCTTGGTCCCAAGGGGGTCGGACCTCAGGATTCCTCTGTTGTTTATATGCCTCAGTGTGTACATGTGTCTTTGTGTGTCTGTGTGTGTGTGTGTGTATGTCCAAGACAGAGATGTACAGCTGCCCTGTTGTCCAGTTCCACACCAACTCATCTCAGCTGTTCAAAATCATCACTGGGTGTCTCAGAAATACAGACACACTCGCACAAACGCACACAGACAGACACACACTCTGCACAAAGGGCCACATATGGACAGGTTTGGCTCATTCATCCTGCTACACAAATGTTGGTAATAAATCCTCTGTGATAGAATGTGCAAGTGTGCAGCTATTTTCTCCTAAAACAACACACTTGTTGAGCACACAGACCACCGGCACCCAGGACTCCAGAGCTTCAAATGTGAGAGTCAGTTAGGTTTACATTGGGAATGAACTGACAGCATGTTTAGATGTACTCCAATTACTGCCAACACTTCTACAACAAAACTCAATTAATGAGCTTTTGCAGGACTTTCATTGAGTTCGGTCCTCATGTACATGAACCCTAATTATGATCACAGAAAACATATTATTATAAAAGAAGTACTTTGTTTACATCTTATAGAAAGGAGGACTTTTAAATTCATATTATTATTTCCTTTCTCCAACAGCTCTGCTTTGTTATCCTGAAGTAATTAAATGTGCACAGGCCTCATCCCCAGGCTTTGTCTTCACTGCACTTTTTTCTCGAATATTAGAAAAGAGGAGGTTGTTACCCTGCCTCTGCCCTTCCCAGCTCCCTTTCAAAGTCTCTCCTCAAAATCTTATGACTGTTTTATTCTTGTCCCTGCTCTTCCCTAACAAAATTTTAGGACAGGGAGAGTCTACAGCCTAACCTAAAAGAGTGAGATCACACAAACAGGCTTCTCACCCAAGGCTCTGATGTCCCTGTCATATTTTCTAAACTCTGGGGAGTGCGTGTACGGTCTTATCTGAAATGCCTTTCACCCTGGCGGATTGGGAAAGGTTCTCACTCTGACTCTGCCTTTTCTGTCACCTTTCTAACACTTTTCCTCTTTTAGTTAAGGTGCTTATGGACTGCAGAAACTCTCCCCAGGAACTTGGGACCTGTTGAGGAACTCTGTGGATTTCGACTACAGAAACTAGGGTCTAAATGTAGTTCCTGGGTAAAATATCTACCTGTTCAAAAGCCCCTGATCAAGGGGTAGTATATTCCCATGGACCAGGGACTTTGGGAGGCAGGGCCTAACTTTTTCATTTACACACAAAACAGGTTGTTAATATGAAATATTTTATAAAATAGTCCTAGTTTTGTTCATGGACACACAGGAGGAGAGAGGTTCTGGATCATATACTTCATGACTCAATATCGTCTGATCAGCTAAACTCTATAAACATACATTTTGACTCTGTCCATGTTAAATTTTTACATCTAAGGATCTCAGGGAATGCTTAATGGCTTTAAAACACTCCTAAGGAAAAGTCTCATTCAGAAATAGTCATATTTACGATATAAGCCAGTATGGAAATCACACCATAAGGCAGTGGCACAAGAACAAATATAGAGAGACCTTTTGTTAGTTAATAATCAATACAGTATACTATCTGTCATCATGATTTATGACTTTTCTTGATACAAAAAAAAACCCCAGCATAAAGTCAAATAAAGAGCTGTGCAGGTAACTTCATTTCCAAATACCATCCCTGGATGTCATGGGCCTTGTTGCAACAAGAATCAAACTTAAAGTTTGGGGTGGTTTTGGTCAAAAAGTACCTTTGTTCTTGTTTCTCTTCAAATGTAGGCGTGATGTGAACATAAAGAGGGAGCATACTGAACACTGTGAAGTCTTCTTGAGTTGTTGAGGTTGGGCCAAACATGAAAAAAGGTGCCCACTAGTCAGCACCCTGTGTCCATTTGGACAGGTAGTCAGATTTGTACAGTAGATATATATCTATAGATAGATTCTATAGATCCTTGCTTTAGGGGCCCAACGGTAGGGTAAATATATCAGCAGCATCAACAATATCTGGTTAATTGTTGCAGCTGTCTCAGGTGATAAAGTGACAGGTCATCATCTTCTCAATCAGGAGTCCTGACCAACAACCATGGCTGTGACCTCTATGTCTTGAATCAGGTTTGATCAACTAAGCAAAAACAAACCCTCTTATAATTGACAACATAAACAAATTGAGCTATCATCACAAAAAAACAAGTTTGTTATCTCAGTATGACAATCAATTAAATTTGTTGGAGTTAAGAATAATTCTATGCTTGGCTGAATCAGCCTTTCTCTTACCGTTCTTAGTTTAGGATGATTGCTGTGCTGAGTGTAAAAGAGCTGCAAGCTGTCAGTGAAAATGTGTAATAAACACAGCTGCAGGTTTTTAATAGAACCTGAAGTGTCGTTATTTAATGAGGCAATTTTGCATGCTTTATTTGATACAACAAGCACAAGTCTATACTCCGAAAATTCATTGTTAATTAAAGGCTAAACCCCTGAAATGGAATGTGAATTAACAGCATCCTGGAGGAGGCTGACAAGTGTTACATACCTAACATCCTATCAGTGAGGGGACCGTGCTGCAGCATGCTGCCTCCGGGTCACTGGAGTTATGCACACATGATCCCAAATTCACACACTTCCATACAAACGTGCAGAGAAATGGCAGCAAAATCAAACAATGTGCATAAACAGAAGAGAGATGCACAAAGAAACACTAATCTGGGATTGTTGGTCGGTCACCTTCCGGTTTTACATCCCTGCCTTTGTGTGCCAGGGGCGGCTGCAGAGAAACGGGCACTATGGGAGACAGTGGGTGGAGAGAGGGAAAGAGATACAGAGGGCAGAATCACAAATTTGGCACGTCACATGGTCAAACAGAGATGATTTATGACTGATCGGGTTCCACATCGGTAGCATGGTGTTGTGGCTTCAGAATGCCAGGTATGGGAGTGAGATCAGACTCCGGCTTTAGTTCGTTCACCCTTTCTGGCAACTGCAGCAAGAGTGACTGGCTGGGGATGGCAGAGCTGTTTGGGGTTTTGGAGTTGGGAGCACAATCCTCTGTTGTCAAGTCTTTTAACATCTTACTTGTTGCAAATTTACTTTCTACTGAGCATGCAGTAAAATAAGGGAGAACAGGGCTGAGGAAAAACTGGTGCATGTTTGATAGAAAAGCAAGTAAATGTGAGAAATTAGCTTGGCTATAAAAAAGACAAGGGTGAGAAACATGAAACTGTAAAAATAATACAGCACCTCTTGTCTTTCCCTCATTTTATTCCTCTTTCTGCACTCAGGAGCTCTGATTTACTCACCGGTGACATCATGGAGACCACAGCTATTTTTATTGGCTGGTGAATGGCCAGCTCTGCGCCATGCTATGCCACCTGTCCAATCCGCAGCAGTCAACAAGCCTCTGGAAAAAAATATCAAACATCCAAAAATGATTGAGAGTTGAAAGGTGGAATACGATACAGACATGCCATGCTACTGTCCTACGCATGTTTCACGAGTCAAATGTCTTGTCACTGCTACTGCTTTGCTGTTTCCCTGTTTGTGTGTGTTATTCTTACACTGAGTACAGCCTCATCTCTCCTCAGTGGATACTCATACACATAGCTAACCAGAGTCTTTTTTTCTTACCTACAATACCTACAATTGCACAAAAATTAAAGAAAAAAAGAAAAAAAAAACATCTCTCTGTTGTAGATCTTGACCCCTGTGTAAGGGTGAGGCATGTCTATGACTGTTTGTGTGACTCCAAGTATGAGGTTATTCCTGGCCTTGTGTTGTGTGATCTTTAGTGCCATGCAGTCACATGCCATCTGACGAACTCTTGGCCTTGAAAAATGATAAGTACAGTAGCTGCATGACGTTAATGTTAAGGAAGGAAGTAAATATAAGCTGGTGCTTAGGGTAAATAATCAAGGTATAATTATATGAGTGGAATACAAAGATGAATTGGTTGTGTTATTTTAGAAGATCACAGGACTGAGAGGGAGTTTCTGGAGTATCTTCAATAGATTATTCAGACATTTGTGCTACCTGTAGCCTATATAAACATATGAATGAATGACACACAAATTATAATGTATTCCATTTGTTAGAGTTGTATAAGCTTGGTGCATTCATAATCGCTATCTCACAGAAGTGGTTATAATAGATAGAAACATGCCTAATTAGTGTCAGTGTTAGAGCATTAGTGTCAGAGCACACACCGACTTCAACAAGAGCACTCCACAAATCTGTTAACCAAATCCAGAGCATCCTACGTTCACTCTACTCAGAAAATGTCTTTTGTGTGTGTGTGTGTGTGTGTGTGTGTGTGTGTGTGTGTGTGTGTGTGTGTGTGTGTGTGTTCAGTGTATACTAGTAGACCACCACTCCTGAATTTCCGCACGGGCTTCTTGCAAAGCACGCACCCTTGAACCCACTCCTTGCTACAATCACAAACTCCCACGATTGGGATGACACCTTGTGGTAGGGTCATTGAATTGCATTTCTTTTTTTTTATTCAAAGAGGAAGGGATCATTCCTTGTAGCAACACAAGAGGGTGATAAAGGGTTTTAAAAGGCAACACGGGTTAATGAGACTCAATGACTGTGGTAAGACAGTGTTTCTAAAAAAATTGGCAAAGTCACTACAGAATAGAAATAACAAGAGTTAAAGGGTCAATACCAACACTGACAATGATATTGACAGAATGGGTTGGACGATGGACAATGCCAAAATCACACTTTTTTTTCATTTTGTATTTGATAAAGAAGAAATTTGTTATAACTCAAACAAATGGAAATCAAAACTGCTGGACTTGACTGAACATTTTACTTTGAAAAAAAAATGGAAAATTGCTTAGCTCAGTAAATTTTTCTTTCAAAATTCTGTCCAGTAATATTTTAAATTATTCTTAAAAAAAAAGGGGGAAAAAATACATGTTAATTATTGTGGTTGAAATATAAAGAAAAATATGAATAAATACAGTATTCCAAGCCCATTGACATCTATTAGTGACATTTATCTTAGTGAAAAACATTCATTCGCATAGACGTTCAATAAGATAACAAAACTGAGTGTATTCTTTTTCTTTATGGAAGCCAATAATGGCCATTTATTCAGTTATTTTTTTCAGCTGTTATCTTGAGTAATTTATAACATCAATAGCTACCTTAACATCAGAAAATTAATAAGGGCATCAAACAAATCAAAAAAAGTCATTTGAAAATGCGAAATTAAACAATAACCTTTCCACTAACTTCTTTGCCTGTCTTCTCGCCGTTGTCTTCTGTGCCTAGATTGTAAAACACCGGTGCATCATCATTATTGGTCCCCGGCAGCTTACTTCCGTTGTGGCTTTTTTTTATTTGCATCTTTTTTTTTTGCAGTAAGTAACTTTTTTTTCCATCGCCACTTTTTTTTTGCGCCATTAACTTCCGTTGTGTCTTTTTTATCCGCACGTTTCTTTTTTACATTTGCAGCGAGCTTCGGTTCCTTTTTTTTTTCATCAGTAACTTCCGCTGTGACTGTTTTTTTAACTTTTTTTTTTATTTTTTATTTGCAGCAGTGGCGGTTCTCGGCCACCGTAAAAAGTTTACCAGAGTCAAATTTCTTTTATGTGTTTCTTACCTGGTTCCTCCGTGCCAACAGGGGGCGCTTGTCTGATGTGAATAAATGGCATCGTAGGTTGACGAGGGCCGCCCAGCCATGTTGAGGAGTCTGTCAAGCAAACTGCAGCCCGCCATTGTGTAGAAACCAGGCTCTGTAGAGAGATAGGGGCGCTTGGCTAAAACTCTTCAATAGCTAGACCTATTCTACACCCTGCCGCTTTTATTTAGGAGTAAATACAGTTACACAGGCTCCGGGGGGAAAGACATGTCAGCCAGCAGCCTCCTTGAACAGGTAAAGAGAGGTATTTTCTGAACATTTACGAGGGCCAAATTTGTCAGCATCGCGACGGCTAGCGAGGATAGCTTAGCTCAGAGGCAGCGGCAGTGGCTCAGTAGTGCAGTAGGCCTGACCACCTGCTAAAGGAACTGACTGCTGAAATATATCTCTTCATCTATTTTTCCCCTTCCTCTCTTCTCATAAATCAAACCTTCATGAATCACCTGGACCCAATCCAGAGACCGAAAGGCCAAGCTAATAAAGGTAAGAGATGAAACAGGAGGTGGTTTCAGTGAATGTGGATCTTTGACGGTCGCTGCGCTGAAAATCTTGCGTGCGCGGATGGGATAGCTTTCCCCCTTAGCTCCTCGGCAAATAGGCCAGACTGTTGAAGTATTGTATATTTTTCTGCTTCAACAGAACTACAATGTGACACAAGCCTTCATAGCGTGTCTTGGGAGTGTTTTCCACACTTAACTATATCTTCGCTTCTTTCTTTCTCACCTTTGTATTTGCACTTAAAAGGTTCCCACATCTAGCATTAGCTTTCCTCTGACTGGCTAACGCTGAATGGCAACATGATATACATCAGCATCCTTTTCCTGGTTGTACATGTAATACTTTTTATTGAACCGAAAGGTGTCAGACATTTACTCTTACTACTCAGCTTTTCTGTTTCTTTATCGTCCGTTCTGGTGAATAATAATTGCCGTACGAGTTTGCAGGTGGCTGCTCTGCTAATGCAGGCTAAGTCCGTCATGTTGAAAGGACTCTTGGCGCTCGTTAACAAGGAGACGCTGCAGACTGCATGCAGCTAACCACACGGCTAGCCTGCTGCTAACCTTTAGCTGCTTGCTAAGTTAACCCAAAATGACACGTCTTCCCGACATGCTTTCCCCTTGCGTCCAAATGGGCCGCGTCTTTCCCACCTCGCTGTTCGGACCGAAATACTGTGTTTGCAGGCAAGTTTGTATTAGCGTGTTGTTTTCCACGTCCCGTCGAGTGGCCAAAGATCCGTAACAGATCACAATGAAACATGTGTGAAAACAAACCGCAGATCACTGGGCCTCCTAATTGTTCAATTTACACAGATCTCACACAATCTTATGACCACCTGTGTGATCAGTCCAGCACAGCTCTTCCAGCTTTTGTTAGTGTGATCATAGTGGATGATGATCATTGTACTGTGGGTGGTGTACTGGACTTTGCTACATTCAGAGGTGTTCCTTAAGTTTTGGCCACCTCATCCTCAAACATGAGGGAAATTAAATATTACGTGACAATATCTAATTTACAGTATATATAGCGGACATTTAACACCTGTCTGATCATGTCAACGTAATCTGAAGCTATGTAAAAGTAGTATTTAGGATAAAGTTGTTGTAATATGTTTCATTAAAGGTGTACCTAATGTTATGGCTGGTTGGTGTGTATCGGTTATGCTCAAGAAATTTCATTCATCTCATAATCTGTGGCTAAATTTAAATTGAATACTTTGACCAGGCAATCCTTCTCTACCGTAACAGATCGCAATGAAACGTGTGAAAACAAACCGCAGATCACCGGGCCTCCTAATTGTTCAATTTACACAGATCTCACACAATCTTATGACCACCTGTGTGATCAGTCCAGCACAACTCTTTCAGCTCATAGTGGATGATGATCATTGTACTGAGGGTGGTGTACTGGTCTTTGCTATATTGAGAGGTGTTCCTTAAATTTTGTCCACCTCAAACATGAGGGAAATGAAATATTACATTACTATATAAAATTTACAGTATATACAGTGGAAATTAAACACCTGTCTGATCATGTCAACGTAATCTGAAGTTGTTGTAATATGTTTCATTAAAGGTGTACCTAATGGTATGGCTGGTTGGTGTGTATCAGTTATGCTCTAGAAATTTCATTCATCTCATAATCCACGGTTAAATTTAATTTGAATACTTTGACCAGGGAATCCTTCTCTGTCTGTGTTATTGTGCAACTGGTGTATGTAAAATACCTATGGTCTGATCTGTGTCATTATGAAAGCCCATGCTGAGTAATCTAAAGCTTATTGAGCAGTGTGATGTCTCGTCATGCTCAGCTTAATGACTTCTTGTGTGCTCTAAATGATTGCAAGGAGTGGTTTTTGTTATGTAACGGGTTGTGATAAGGCTGATGTGAAATGACCAGATAAAGTAATGTCACATAGACCCAGACATTCTGTTTACACCTGTGTTGTGTTCCTTTCAGTGCAAAACGGAGCTGTGACCCAAAAGGATACTTTGAATGATGATGAGTTTGAGCCTTACCTGAATACTCAGGCCAGACAGGTAAGTTTTACCCAATCACTGTTTGAGTCAAATCACTGTTACCCTCAGGTAGAGAGACTGAGGCCAATCACAACTTTTAAACAGTCACCTTTAGCTTATCTGAAAAAAAGCATAATTATTTATTTAAGTAGAATATTAAAGTCGGTTTACGATCGCCCAGGTCAGTTCTTAAAATGTCACTGACTGCTGTCACTTCACTCAGCTTCTCACATGTATAGCATCCTACATGTTTCTTTGGTTCAATCATTTTGGGATTTGAAGAAACAGAATAGTCCCTGCTCAGCAAAAGGAAAATGTCATCTTCTGTTCTTCTCCTCTGTTTAAATAACTTTTATTAATGTCACTAATTGAGTTTGACAGACACCACTATTTTGCTGAAGCAAGTGAAATGCAAAGAGTTGTATTGCTGAAACTATTGGTTCAGTGCGATAAGTCGTTGGACCAGAATATGAAGCAAAACTTTGTTGACTGCTCTCTTTCAGTGGCCTCCATGCCTCCTTTTACAAATTCACGTCATTGCTTTTTGTGTGGCAAGGGAATACAGCACATCCGTGGGTAAACAGATGGAGTGAGCGCTGTTAAAGCTCAGTTCTCCACTGCTGTTTGAGTTTCTATCTTTATCAGCTGTTTCATCAGGCGCCATGTGTGTTGTAATGGATTCATTACTAATGGTTGTAAAAAGAGGATATTTACAGCCATTAAAGAGTGATTTTCTTTCCTCCTCTAAGAAGAATGCACAATCCTCCAGCAGCAAAGGAAATGCTTTCCTTTTTAAAATTGTATAGTTTTAACATTGTATAGTTATGTGGTGTGCATCCACCAAAGCCAGAGGAAAGAGGATTTAAAGAATAGTAAATCCACACTCTATAATGTCTTTGCTGATCGAATCATCTTCAAGAACAAGATGCGCACATTTGATGAAAGATTGTTAAAAAATAAAACTGTTGATGAAGTTCTGTTATCAGTTGTGTTTTAGCAAATTGCAAAAAGTTTTTCCTTTTTCTTCTATTTGGATATTTTTGCTAACACTGTCTCCATTTCTATTTAGAGCAATGCCTATACGGCCATGTCGGACTCGTACATGCCCAGCTACTACAGCCCCTCCATAGGATTTTCCTACTCCCTAAATGAGGCAGCATGGTCCACAGGCGGGGACCCTCCAATGCCTTACCTGGCCTCCTATGGACAGCTGAGCAATGGGGAGCCCCACTACCTCCCGGACGCTATGTTTGGCCAGCCAGGCCCCCTGGGGAGCAATCCTTTCCTGGGCCAGCATGGTTTCAACTTCTTCCCCGGCGGCATCGACTTCTCAGCATGGGGAAATAGCAGCTCTCAGGGACAGTCGGGGACACCGCAGAGCTCTGGCTACAGCAGCAGCTATGCCTATGCTCCCAGCTCGCTTGGAGGTGCAATGATCGATGGACAGTCCCCATTTGCACCTGCCGCCAATGAGCCCCTTAACAAGGCCCCTGGTATGAACAGCCTTGACCAGGGCATGGCGGGGCTTAAGATCGGCAGTGCTGCTCCTGGTGGTAATGGGGACATGGCTCCCAAAGTGGTGGGCTCTGGCTTACCTGGTGGGGGTCCCCTTGGCCCTGTATCTTCTGTAGGACCTCCCAGCATGCCTCCTGTCTCAATTGCCCCTGCCAAGCCCGCTTCCTGGGCCGATATTGCCAGCAAACCAGCCAAGCCTCAACCCAAGCTGAAAACCAAGGGTGGCATGGCAGGGGCCAATCTGCCTCCCCCACCCATTAAACACAATATGGACATCGGCACTTGGGACAACAAGGGCACTATGCCTAAAGCTGCCACCCCCCAGCAGGTGCCCCCCATTCCCAGCAATGGGCAGCCACCCAACCAGGCTTCCCCGCAGCCTGGAGCTACTGCTGCAGGAAACCCACAAATGCCCCTCAGCAACGGACAGCTGGTACCGCCTGTTTCTCAGATGGGGCAGCATCAGCTTCCACCCAGTGGACAACCAGGTATGGCACCCATGCCGCAGCCTCCTCTTTCCCAGGGCCCTACTCCTCCAAGCCAACAGCAGCAACCTTCTCAACCCACTCGCTGGGTTCCCCCGCGGAACAGGGCCAATGGATTTGGGGATGCCAGTGGGAGTGGTGCAGGCCAGTCACCACCCACCTCTGCTGGTGTGGGTGTGGTTCCCGGGGTCCCCTCTGAGCCTCACCCGGTGTTAGAGAAGTTGCGCATGGTTAACAATTATAACCCCAAGGACTTTGACTGGAATCCCAAGCAGGGCAGGGTGTTTATCATCAAAAGCTACTCTGAGGACGACATCCATCGCTCCATCAAGTACAACATCTGGTGCAGCACGGAGCACGGCAACAAGAGGCTGGATGCAGCGTACCGCTCACTGGGCGGCAAAGGGCCACTTTATCTTCTGTTCAGTGTCAATGGGAGCGGTCACTTCTGCGGCGTAGCAGAGATGCGCTCACCCGTGGACTACAACACGTCTGCTGGCGTGTGGTCACAGGACAAATGGAAGGGTCGTTTTGACGTGCGCTGGATCTTTGTTAAGGACGTTCCCAACAGTCAGCTAAGGCACATTCGGCTTGAGAACAACGAAAACAAGCCAGTGACCAACTCTCGGGACACACAAGAGGTACCGCTGGACAAGGCCAGGCAGGTGCTAAAGATCATCGCTGGATACAAACACACCACTTCGATCTTCGATGACTTTTCTCACTACGAGAAGCGTCAGGAGGAGGAGGAGTGTGTGAAAAAGGTAACACAGTTATGATTGAATAATATCAATGATGAACGAGCAACGTGCTCTGCTTGTGCTGAAAAGGGTTCTTGATGAGGTTTTTGATACTTGTATGCATGCAAAGCATTTCTGTTTTCACACAAAGGATCATGGAAATATCTGAAAGAGTAACACTTCGAATCTTTGTCTGAACTTTGTGTTTGTGCTCGGATCAAAGGTTAGGCTATGTTCTGTCCCTTTAATTTACTGCCATGCTGTGTTTTCCTGTTTAATCACTCACATGTATTGCATTGCTTTAAAACCAAAAGTATGCTCACCCTAAATATTTCCACTCGGGGACGACATCTCTGTGCTTTCACAATGCAATGGTAATATTCAGTGGATTCGAAAGGTGGTATAATGACTTTGTTTCCAGGTGATTCTTCTATCAGGGGTTTAGGAAATGGGCTCTTTTATCAGGAAATCCAACTCTCATTTGGTATTGACTCAAATCTGATAAGATTATGCATTGGAATTTGTCAGCTCCAGCGTGCAGAGCAAATATAGACAAACATTGCAGCTCCAAAAATGAAGTGATACTTGTGCACTTGAGTTTGCAGTTCTTATATTCCCTCTTAAAGGCAGGACTGATTGACTCTGGGGTTTGAAGCATACATGACCTGAGATGTCATGTGAAGAGGATGCCAAAACTACATATTGGCTGTTCTTAATAACAAAACTGAATTTTTCAAGTTACTGTCAGTTGAACTAAAACATATTTTCTTCTTCTTAGCTTTAGAAACTTCAGTGTTTCCTCACATTCAACAGCTCGAGTTCAACAGCTTTTGTTTTGGTCTGGACCCCTAGTCCCCCCTCTGTTTTTAATTTATTGTAGTTTTGCTCAGAAGTGTCGGGCATTCCAGCACCAAAATGTGCTGCTTTAAGTCAAATGTGGGGGGCTTCACGACACATTGAAAATATGTAGTTATGTTGTGGATTTTGTCAGTGATTGTACAGCCTCCTCTCCTTCACATCAAGCCATGGAGATGTCTTCTACATTCTACATTGTCAGTATACTTATTGATGGTTTGATTGTTTTCCAGTTTTGCCCTTGATGTTCTGGTATGAGATGTAAAAGAAATGTTTATTAATCTAACTTTGGGAGCGAATGATTGTACAAACAAAGAGAGAGAATCCTTGTGTGCGTGTGAAGTCTTTAACCAGGGCATACACTGTTGAACTTCAGTGTTTTTACAACTTTAAGGTGGATAATTGGCTCTTGTTTCATATTATATATGGAATCTGGCATACACTGCTCCTAGATTGGATTCTCAGTCAGCGTCTTGTGAGTTTCATAACCCTTCACTGTTCCTATTTATTGTCAAATTTTCTTTGCCAGGTTTGCGACATCGCACTGATTTTAATTATAGCCACTTGTCTTGATTAGATGTGTTCCAAGTATGCTCAGTTTTCACTCCTCTCTGCGATAGGTGGAGGTCCAAGGCAGCGAGCCATATCCCAGCAACCCAAGCAACAGGAGTCATTACAGGCTTCAGGTAAATGGCTTCATCCATCATCATCGTGCTAAAACAGTTTTCATCATATCATTGTAATACTCGTTGAGTAGCATTTGAAAGTCTTTACACGCAATAGAAAGAAAATCTGAAAATTGTTCTTTACTGTGGGAGACATGTTTGTAACTTTCGAGGGACTCTGCAAACGAGGATCCGAGAGTGAACCAGAAAACCATCTCAGGACAAAGTATATAAATCAATGCGTATTTTGTTTTCCATTTTGTCTGACGTTTTCTATTTTCTTTCTTCCTTTAGGAGCGCCAAGGACGAGTCAAGTAACATTTGGTGCTTTGGTGAAAAGACTGCAATGGCCGTACCTAAAGCCCTATCCACCCCATGACGTCATTACATCCAGATCTCTAAGAAATTCTAATAGGGGTGAAGAATTAACCAAGGACAAAAAAAAAACTAAATGAAGACTTTCTTGATTTCTTTTGACTTTAAAGACTTATTTCGAACTTGTAGTAAAAAGAAAAGGAAACGATTATTCATAGGACTACAACTAAATGCATAGCATCCTTAGGTGAAATCTTTTTTGCCCTGCCCCATTCCACTACATATGCTTCCCCTCTTGTATGCTGCTTTTTCCTTTTTTAAATGAAAGGATCATCCTCTGTTTTTATGGTCCAAGAGCAAGCCTGTAATTCTCACACAAACACACAAATCAAATAGAAGTTTGTAGTGTTGGCAAAGTTAAGTGTCTCAAGGTCAAGAATGGGCAGTTTGTCTCATTTTCTTTGTAAACTCCTTCACCACCCTGTCTTTCTGAGGATGCTCACACCGTCAGTCATCCTGGACCCAAATGGAGTTTCCTACCCAGTGGATCTTCATCTTCAACGCCGCCTGCCACAGCATCTGTTTCATACAGTACTTGCCATGTTTTGTTTGAGAGGACTGAATGGGTTCGGATTGGCCCTCTGTTTTGCTTTCGCATGTGGTGGACAGAGTGTGAGGGCGGGCAGGTCTGGAGAGGAAGTATAGTGAAAGGGGGGTGAAGAGTGTGAAAGCAGGAAACGTTAAGTTGACGAGCCTTGCTCGGTGTATAATTTTATGGTCTAATAAGTAATTGGGGCCCTCATTTGACAGTCTTCATTGGACTTAAGTTACCCTCTGTTCCTTTCTCTTGGATGAGTTAATTCATCGTTGCTTTGGGCTGCTTTCTTGTATTTTGTTTTCCCTCCTTTCTCAGTTTTTCTAAAGACGGTGATGCGAGTGGCCTTGCCCCCACTCTTTCTATTAATCAGTTCAAAAGTAATAAATGTGGTATATTCAGCAGAACTGGTGTGCATTCCCCTTGTTTGACTGTAATGAAATTTGTTGTGCAGTGTGTCTGTACATTCTTCTCATAATTTTTCCTGCCCCTCCGGGGTTTAGGAACGAATGTTTTCTGCTCTCCTTCATTCTCGACCGTCCATCCTACCTTCACACCAAACCACACTGCTGTACCCTGCATTTCTTTCATCTTCCACTTCCCATCCCCGTCACGTCCTCTGCATCTGACTGCTCAGCCAACTTTACATATTATAGTATCACAATCAGCTTCGATCATTTTCAGAATGTTGATGTTGGTGAGTTAAAATAAAAAAGGAAAAAAATTACACAAAGCTCCTCTTTCAGAACTACTGGCTTTTATTCGTGGCATAATAAAGATGCTCCACAATTGGCGTATGGGTTTTCCTCTTTTTCTTTTTATTTTTTGGGTTGTCTCATGAATGTCATACTGTGAGTGTCTACTTGTGGCATCTTTGTAACATTGAACTTTGATATGCAAGATCCTTTAAAAGCTGTGAAAATGTGAATATCATGTATTTAAATCCTCCCTGTGTTGAAGTACCTGTACTGGAAACTTATCTGCAATCCGCCATTTTCTCTTCTTGTCAGTGCAGTTGTAATTTACGTTTCACCCACAAGAGGGCGACACAGTATTGCTTACTGCAGTGCATGTTCGTTTACTGAGGAGTCGGGGATAACGGGTATACTAAATACGGCCTGTAAAGGAGCACGTCCTGTTTCTCCACTTATATTCGCACAAAAAGCGATATCGTTTTTGTTTTAAAGGTTGAAATCAGTGTCCTCTTGTCTGTTGGCAGAGACTCTGAAGTGTTGATGGATTTGTCTAGATTTCGCCCTGTGTGCACCAAGTTTTGAGGTACTGCAAGCATCGAGACTGTTGACCTTGATTCAGAATAGCTTGGACCATGAGGTTTCAACCCAGAGGTGAGTCAACCAACAAGCTAAATCCAACCAGCCCAGTAAAAACACACTTTAAAATATGTATTTCAGCTCTTACTATACTTTATTTCGCATTAATTTATAGCTTTTATAAATCAAATCCACCTGTAAACCCACTGTTTCATGAGATTCTACATAAAAACTTAATTTTTTTAAAATCAATTGTAGTCTTACGGATATTCAAGTAAGCCTAGAATTATTAAAAGAAGTATTAAACGCCAAAACTTGAACTTTCTCTGACTCCTCGGTTAAAATGTCAGTCGAGCATCACTCAACTTTATTGGACTTTATTAGAAAGGCCTTCGTTGCGCGTGCGTGCGTGTCGTTCTGGAAGGGGGGGGGGGGGGTCGACGGCACGTGTCGTGTCTGCGCTGCTGAGGGTGCGTGGCAAGCGCACTGCCTCGAGGGGATCTCCCGTGACCCTTGTCAGCGCGTCTCTGGGGACTTCCTTTCAGCCACTCTGGGGATGCAAATGAACGGCCACAAAAGAGATGAAGACAGAAGACAGCCACCGAGACGATGGAGGAGAAGAAAGCGAAATGGGACCATGGGGAGAAATTGCACGAGGAGAAGGGAGGAGGGGGCTGACTGCGAGGAAGAAGAGGGGAGGAGGAGGTCAGCACTTCTAACTCAGGGCAAAGATCAAACTAAATACATGGAGGTGGTAGAGGAACAAAATACGTGGGCCTACAGTGGTAAAAAGAAAAAAAGGTCTCTCTCTTTCTCTCTTCCTCTTTGTTTCTGTGTGTACTTCTGCTGAATGTGGTGTAGGGTAAATTAAGATAAAAACCAAACTAGAAAAGTTCATATAATACCTAAAATCATTTTCCACCTTGTATTTCATTTTAAAACTAACACATTGTAAAGAAATGTATAAATCTTGTTATAAATTCACCTTAGAGTAACACTGTGTTCCCTTGTAATATTTTCTGACTTGGGTCTTTTAAAATTGTCACTATATTAAGTATTGTTCAGTCAGCGAGCATGCATGCACACATTATGTGCATGGTGTCGATGGGTTCATATTGCACTGCAAGGTCATGGTTCTGCTTTATTTTCCCTCATTATCATAAGGCATCCATCTCTTTCTTCCATTAGTGACGCTTCACCATGTCGCCAACCCGACCTCTATTTACATGACTAAATTAGATTTCTTCTCCCTTTTTGTGTTTTGTTTCATACAGCCTGTCTTTTACATTCATGCTGTAAAGATGAAAAATACGGCAAAACAAGACGGTCAAACTGCTTTATGTATTAAATTAAAATACTACACTGGAGGTCCAGTCTCTTAATCCTCATTATATTTCACAAATATAGATTTATTTTTGGTGTTAAAATCATAAAGTCTATTTATTTTTTCACATGAGGAAAAAGCCCCACAATGTATAACCGCAATTTGACATATCAGTATATCCGTATTATTTCACACCGTATCAAAAAGGTTTGATCTATTTCAAATCTATCTAGGTATAAATATATGTATGCCATTTAGGAATATGTCATGATGATGAATGATTTCTGCATGTACGGGGGGGCCCTACACACGGTCACCTGCTCTCTATCTCCAGGGGTCCGGCACTGTTGACTCATGGAGTATAACCCCCTCATTTCTCCTAGTGTCTCAATTCTATTGAGAGTTTTTGAAAAATGCATAATGTGCAGACAGGGGAAGAGGCCCATAAACAGTTGATGACCTCTGTCTCAACATATGTGGCACACTTGCCCTCTGCACGCTCCTATTGTCTGGAGATGACACAGAATAACAGAATGTCATCCACTGATGCATCAGGACATAAAGAGGCATGTCGACATGATACAGGATGATGTAGGATATATTCTGTGAAAATCCCTTCTGCGTTTATTTTATAATCTCCCCGGCCTAAATATTACATTCTCAGAGATGGTTTATGTTGTGTTGATTTTATCCTCATTCTTTCATCGATCACATCCTCGGGTGACATCTTGAATAGACTAGCCTTATATGAAAGCAGTGGGCAGTGAAATAGATCAAAATAAATTTCAACAAAAATCCACGATTTCATTTTTCTTTGATATCTCGCCTCTATCATCTGAGATGTAGGTCAGCTCACATCCCTATCGCCTGCAGTGGTTTACAGCTTGAATCATTTGATGCAGCTCTGTGATTATAGGAGTTGAGATGAAGCTCATTATTTAAATGACTTGATGTGCTTTGGGCCCTTTACTTTGAAGAGAAGTGCTAGATAGTACAAATAGAAATGTTGTCCATGGAATGACTTCTTTATTGAGACTTTTTTTTTTTTTTTTGCAGAACAAAAACACAAAGCCATGACATTAAAAAATTACAAGGAAAAACTGCTTTAATGTATCTTATAGTCGTCAAATGAAGTAATAAATCATATGAATGTGATGAAAATATGATAATGCATGAGAATGATCCGAGACACGTTTTCTTTCTTATTTTATGGATGTAAGCGAAAGCGATATTCCTGCTCTTTCTGCGCATTATTCTCACCCTGTTTGTCCATCTTCTCAGATTCAGCGAGTGTATGCTCATGCGTAAACAGACAGACCTTTGAAGTGGCCCTCTGTCACCACATGGCAAATCCCCCTGGTGTGATCCCTCTGTCCATTTGGCCACAAGACCCACACTGGTAGGCTGCCTATGGCTTTGCCTGTTCTGTCATTATTAAAACCCGTATATTACTTCTACTAGTGTCCAGTAATTATATCAGATTTCCCTCTCTGTTTCACCATGATTTAAGATACCTCTGCTCCCTGCATAACCCTATCTATTCACCTGTCTTAGGTCACCGCTGCTTTGTAACCTCTTTATCTAATGCTTCTTCTCCGGCTTCTGAGTGACCATAAACGTCGTCTCCTGTTAATCTCATAGGATTGAGGCGAACATCCATCTGTGCAGTCGTCAGAGCCACTCTCCTGCCCAGAGGCGGCTTTACGTTGGTGTCTCAGGTGAGCGAAGACTGTGGCTTCTCTCTTGGCATTCACCGCGTGCCTTAATTGTATTGAAATTAAATCAAGGTCCACTGTGAACACAAAGAGCTCAAACCCAAACTTAGAAAATGTTCCTACTTCCTCTTTTACTCACCCTACGTACGACCACTCTTTCCCCTCCTTTGTATTCATAATCCACAACAAAATTTCAACGTGAACACCGTTGTCTTAAAGCCATCGCTTTCTGAATCTTAAGGGTGCATCCTATTGTTTTGTATTTTTCCCACTTTCTCATTCCTTTCTCCTCACCTGTGATCTCTCCTCCCTGTGGGCTCAGAGGCGGCTATGCGGTCCTTTCACATGTCAAAGTACATCGCATGCTAATTCCACACATACATGCATCCTCTTTTTGCAATAAAATCGTGATTCCTGCACAAACAATACAGACAAAAAACATATAGATGAGACGAGCCGACGACATCGTAATTCCTTTACAAGAACAGTCCAGAGTGTGTGAATGCATGCATGTGTTTGTGAGTGTTTTACAGCAACAAAATGTGAACAAAAAGAAATATCATCAGTGCAGCAGTTGCAGCATTAAGGCATTCTCTGTATACATATGCTACAGCAGATCAGAAAAGCAGCACAGAGAGAGGAGAGCACAGAGAGTGAGATAGAGCAAGCGAGCACAGCTACCTTTGTTGCACCATAAAGAGAGCAGCAGCCCAGCTACCTGACTGCTACCATTCCTGCAGACCATCTTCCCCTCCGAGCAAAACAAAGGATGACGACTAGATATTTAGGAGTACACTCTGCGATGCATAGCTATGCCTTATCCTCGCCATAGCGCGGCTTCCACTGGTCCTGGTTAAGAGCTTGGTACGGTTTAATCAGACCAAGCAGTTCTTCATTACAGTTGGTAAAGCTGTGTCGTTATCTCCCCCTTTCCCTCCCTCTCTCCCTCCCTCCTACTCTCCATCTCTTCTCTCTCTCTCTCTCTCTCTCTCTGTGCACTCTGCGCATGTAACTATAGCCATGTACAGACTGTAAAACAGGATCTAAATAACAGGTTTCTCCTTCTGTTAAATGACAGACAATTTTTTTTAAAAGTTTCAATTCTCATATCTAGAAAGGTTAAACACGAGATGGAATTTAGCATCTTTGCCATTGCGCAAAACTAGCACCAGAAAAACTGCAAGTGTTACATTCAAAATTCCTCTCTTTTAAAGTCATTATCGCTGCACTTAGTTCCTGTCTATATTTGCCAACAGAGTTCTTCCCTAGCACAAGCACAATAAGGTTTTCTTTCAAATGAAATATATCCTTTCTCTCTCTAAAGATGAGGAAAAGAAAAAAAAAAGACAGCAGAGAAGCTGCAGAGTATTTCCTCCTTTCGGGTCCGCGGTCCTGATTTTGTTATTGTTGATGCTGAAGTTGTAGCTGTGACAGTGCAGCTCCATCCTGTTAAGAAGGTCCTTCTGGGGTTGGGAAGAGCAGGGGTGCAGGCACACGGGGAGGTTTGGTGGGATGGCGGACAAGAGGGGCTGAAGGGACGGGAGGCAGGCAGGTGTCACACATGCAGTCAGGGGGAAAAAATAAATAAATTTACCCAGTCATCACCATTAGAAAAATCCTTTGGATCTGTTCAAGACAAAACCAAAAAGGAAGAGGAAAAAGCCCAAGATGTAAAATATACATATATAAGCCAGGTCGGTATATATGTATAAGGATCCAAGAGGGGAGAAGGAGGAAGAGGAAGGAGATAAGGGATGGACGGACGCGGAGGAGGAACAGGCAACTGGCTCACACACAGACACACTGCGCCGAGGCGAAGGCACGGGCTTCAATTTATGCTTTCTGGTCGACACCACCCCCCACCTCACACGCAAACACACACACATGCAGACACACACACACACACACACAGACACACACACACAGAAAGCGTCCCGCCCCTATCTGCCCCGTCCCTGTCCTGTCCCGTACTGGATGCGTGGCCCAGCTGATCAGTGCAGAGGGATTAGCCAACGGGGCCAGCTGGCAGGGATTACACAGGCAAAGTGGGGGAGGTATGTGTGTGTGTGGAGGGGGGGGGATGGGAGAGGGGACGAGGGGTGAGGAGGGTAGTCCTAATACTAGAGGGTGGTGGTGGGGGGGGATGGGAGGCACTGTCTTGTTCTGCACACACACACACAGATGTTCACATGCACACTTCCTGCACATATGTATCATGCACCAGCGCCTGAATACCAAATAAAATGCTTACAAATATTTCTTCCTGAATGCACGAGCTGCAGCGGCGCAGACTGCAGCAGTAAGCAGCCAGTAATGCATGCGGTGCATCCTCTCGCCGGCGAGTCACGGCGACGCACACTGCTGATTAATGTATGTAAATGTGCAGCAGGCAGCGGGAGGATGGATGGATGGATGGAGGAGGGGGTTAAGAGAGAGAGAGAGGGAGAGGAGAGAGCAAGGGAGGGAACCCCACGGGAGTGCAGGGCCAGGCTGACAATGCAAGGCTTTGACCCCTGACCCCTCTCAGCTCCATCATCCGCGGCCATCAGCTGATCCCGGGAAATGGACAGCAGCAGCAGCAGCACCCTCCTCCCCATCTCTTTTTACCTCTTAGACAAACACACACACACAGGCGTCCGCTAACAAGGCCTACATCACCTCCTTTTCCCCCCATCTTTTTCCATCACTTGCTCCCTCCAGCACTCCATCGCTCTTTCCCGTCTCATGCCTCACTTCACCATTTAGCTCATCCCGATATCCCTGCTCCTAACCTTTCTCATTATTTTGAAATGTGTCGACTTCCACAACTTGTCATATCTGCGCAGAAAGAGATGCATTCTGTACAAGGTTGGTTTGGGGGGCTTGTGTTTTGATTTTTTCTCCTAAATTTCAAGATTTTTTTTTGCTTTTGGCCTCGGTTTGCCTTTTTTTTCTTTTCTTTTAAAACTGTGAGGCCCAGTTTTTTCACATTACATCTGCAGTCTTACATGTGGGAGAGAGAGCAATGATGTTTCACAAGAGAAATCAAATAAAATAACCATCCCAGCTGAATCTCAAATACATTTACAGGCTTTAAAATGAGTGAGGTAATTGTTTTATTAACAGCAACTCTCCAAGCTCATTCTGTGCTATACAAACAAGCTGGACAGGTTTTATTATTATTATTGCTTCCTTTCAAACAGGCCTTTAGACTCAAAGTGTCTGATAATATTCACTTTCATAATTTTCTTTTGGTTTATCTGTATGATTCATGCCAGGCTCCCCAAAAACACATGCTGGCTGAACGGCAGCACGTCTTTGCACCAGCAGCATTTTAACACGCATTTACTTCACACCCTTTGAAGTAAAAGTTAGAATATGCATTTTCATTTCATGCAAAGTTAAATACCTATATTTGATCAGATATTCTTTAATATTAAATATATCAACCTTCATGAGAAATACTGCAAATGTGTAAAAATCTTTATGCTTGTAAGGGAGAGATATTTGAGAGACATATCGAGTTAGCCTAATTTGGTGAAAAGCTAAATGTCAAAGTTTCTGCAGGCTGTCATCAGCAGTTTGTGTCACAATGTAAAAGACAGAGCTGCGGCTTAGTCCGGAGAATACACAAATGCAAACTCCTGCACACACATGCAAACATGCCAGAATCACATACACGCATAGAAACAGTCACAAGAGTGATTTCTGCAAAATCAAAGAGACATTTTTTAGGGCCTTGCAGGCAGAAAACAGCAGCGGTGTTTTAAAGAAAATATATAGAATCAGACATGGTGGATGTGTGACAAATAGGACATTAGTTTGGTTCTGTTTACATGAAACGCACACTAACAATGCAGCGCAGCTTTCAGAGTGGAACGACGGAGAGAGCGTGGCCCTGTATTTCTCAGGGATCGAAAGATGGGGTTTGAGAGTAGACGAGTGTGTGAAGGCAGTTTGAATAGAAGCACGAAAAATTCCCTTTCCTTTATTTTTTGGGGGGATTATGCATGTCCAAAATTTGCGTCGAATACTTCAGAAAAATTTCCCAGGGAAGAATGGAACCTTATTATTTATGGGCATAAATTACACGCAATAATTTTCACACATTCTGTACTGTATATGTTTGTATATTTAGGTTTGGCGTGTTTACCCTCATGCGCGTTGGCATGAAGAGACGAAGGAGATTTGAGACTGCATTTTGATGTCCTGCTACCCCGTTCTCCATTTTAAAAGCCTCGAACATGTGAGGATGAGAGTGCAGCGAACAGGCATGCAACCCCACCAGTATTCACAGACAGCAAGGAAGATCACAGAGAGTCAAGCAAAGAATTTTTTATCATGCAGAGAAACACAAGAGCAAGCACTTATACAAAGTGACAAGCTGGGAGAGGCAGACAGACAGGCAGGAAGACGGAGAGACAGGCCAACACACACAGACAGGGCTCGTCCCTAGTTTGGTAATCCGATGGAGAGATTAGCAAGCAGGCAGCATTTGGGTCGGATTATCGAGTCATTAGAAAAGACTGGTGCTCCAGAGCCTCTCTTATGTGTTAATGTGGCTTTACAGATCCTCAGTGCAGTCTGTGCAGATTGTTGAGATTGCGTGGAGAGTTTCAACAGTAGATAGTCCCACAATATGTAAATAGGGCCACATGAACCCAATGCCCCACAGACTGTTGTGTGTGTGTGTGCCTGTGTGTATGTGTGTGTGTGTTTTTTTTATCTTCCATGCAAAAAAAAGAAGAAAAAAAAATCATTACGATTTCTGTGGGTTTCCAAAATTATTTATATTATTTTCAAAAATTCAGATTTAAAAAAATAAAGAGGAAAAATGCAAAATATATTTTTATTCCTACATATATATTTTACTTCTTTTTTGATTTAAAGTTTGATACAGTGATAGTGCCAGATTATTTAAAGTGAAATTGAAGAGTCTGGGCAGAATTAAAGAAAAAATATATACATTTTAAAGTGACTGATTTTTATTTTTGCAACACTCACAGCCACAAAGTGCATACTGATCTAACATTTTCAGACTCAAAATTTACATGTCACGACCATTTATTACATTTTTTTCTTTCATCAATAATTTTGAAATGTATGTCCTGTTCCTGTTATGTGCACTGAAAGACAAATAACTAAGGTCTCAGAGTTAAGGTCTCTGCATCAGCACTATGTCTGCACAGCTGTAGAGCTGTGTAAGCTGGAGCATTTAGCACTGCAGCTCTGTGGGAATACTGGGGTATATGGGGTACATAGCTTGCGTGCACTTGTAAATCATACAGCTGTGATGTTCAGTGATGACAGGATTTAAACAGGATCAGGAGAAAGCCAGAGAGCTTACCGGAGTGTGTCTGTCTGTGGAGGAGAATACGTATATTTACACTACCTTATGTGGGGTTTTTGTATTTACTCTGCAAATAGCCGTGATCACACACACACACTCATGATAACTGTTTTTGTGCAAGTGTGTGTCTTTAGTTGTGTCAGGGTTGGGGGTGGTTGGGCACTTCATCGACAGCTGATCAATGCTGCTGACACACTCTGTGTCAGATGTGCTGAGATGGTCCAGTGACTACAATATCACTTTCATTTTTGTCAAGCGGGCAATGAAGCCCTGATAAGTTTGTGTGTGTATGTGTTGTGAGTCTGTGTGTGTTGTTTACGATCCAAAAAAAAAAAAAAGGCACCATCATGTGTCAGCAATTTTTTTTTTCCATCTTTGACTGACCAAGCAGTTTTTGAATGAGCTAACCCATCTTGTAAACTTAGCTTCCAGGTCAACCTTTTACGTGCTCTTTCTCACACACACGCACACACACACACAGAAAAACGCACAATCTGATCTCCGTTCCCAAAAACCTTCCCTTTTGCTGCTGCCTCTGCATACACCATGCCCCAGTTCCCCACCCCCACCCTTTTTTGTCAAATAAATTGCTATGTGACCTACTTCCCATTTTGCACCATTTCTGTCATGTTCAGATATTACTGTTTGAACATGAGTGATTTGCTTTGGGGCATACAGTATCAAAAAAAACACAGTGTATATAATAAGGGGCTGTAGTGTACTGTAAATTGTACTAAATGTAAAATGTTTTTAAAAATGGGGAAACAGTACCATCAGCCTTCACAGTTTTTTTTTGTTTTTTTTTTTCCGCTCATATTCTGATTTGGTTTTGTTGCAGCGTGTCAGCTTCGTATAGTGTGTGGGCAAAGCGTTTGGATCTCTTTTTTTTAATTTTTATTAAAGGCTTTTGTTTTTTAAAATTGCCCTGGTATGATTTGTAATTAAAATACATGCTTCACATATTTTTCTGATTAACACGTACAATAATACTCGTAGCCCTCATAACAACTGGATGTCTTTGTGATGGTCATAGACTGGGGAAATAAGGTAAATCAATTTTGCAGTCTAGTTAAGCAGAAAGCACAGTGGTAATTTCCAGTAATAAGCATGACTAATTCATTGGACCACATTGCATTTATAACCCAGTTAGGTCTGCACTAGTTGGCATCCTCTTTTCTGTTTGGATTTGAGGTATACTTTTGGAAAAGCTCCATATGAGGATCGCATAGCGCGGCACGCTGAATCCTTCGCATCATATAGACGGAGTAGCGATGAAATTGTTGCGGGGCTACTTTTTGTGAGGTTTTGCGTATTTTAATTTTTGTTGCTACTTTTACAGAGTCTAACTGCTGATGCAAAAAGTGACATTAAAATGCAAAGGCACAAAAAATCATTTTCTTGTTTTACACTTTGAGATGGATATTTTTCTTAATTGGAAAAATAGCCTGTGAATACGTTCAGGCATATATACATAAGAATAAGTGTAGATTCGTGTCAGATCATGCTCCCTCCTGTCTTTTCCAAACTGAGCAGAGAGACCACACTGACCCTGATTTATTGGGATCAGAATCCACATGACAGCAATTAATTTACATCCATTAACTACATCGCTCACTCCCTCTTTCTGGCTCTCTGCGGACATTTTGCACTCTTGCACAATCACTTTGAACATTCTCTGTTTCGGCCCTGGCTCTTTCGACTTTCCCCTTCCTCAGCATGTTCTGTCGCTCCCTCCCCTTTAATCAGTCACTCTTGCTCGACCAGTAACTCAAGTTTCAAGGTACTGGGATCCCATGTTCCTAATCCATTTAGAAGACCCTCTGCATCCCCTCTTTCCTCTGTGCATTAAGGCCTGCTACATAAATGATAATGTCAGGTTCGTGTTTCTTGCTAAGTGTGTGAGTGTGTGTTTCTCTTGAATTCACAAGGAATCTCTGGCTAGCGATGAACGATCCCTATAAATAATTATCAGGTTCCATGTACTCAGACTTTTTAATAAGCAAACAGACTATCTGTGTGACTGAGTTCATCAAACAGACTGATTGTGATTACACAAAGAATTTGACATTCATGTCATAAGCTCAGCATCTTTGGATCATTTCATGGGTCCTCCATGTTTTCCCGTTCGAGGGTTTGACTCATGCAGGTTCTTATGCTCAAGGGTCTTTCTCTCTGCCCCTTACGATAAGACACTTTAGTGCGTGGCCTACATCTCTCGTTGCCTCTCTACCTCACGGTTTCTGTCTGCCAAGTGCTTTTGCTGGCTTTTCAACTCGGGGAAAGGAGACTTTGGCTTCGGGGGGAATTTGCCATTTATTTCGGGAGACAAAAAAAAATGAAAAGGGGCTTAAGCACTTTGTATCTTCTCTCCTTTTTTGTCTTCATTCTCTACGCATCTTTGCTCTCTGCACCATTGTGGAGTCCCTTCATCCATCCAAGGCCTCTATGCCTTTTGCCGTGTCCTCAGGATGAGACGAACAGGAGAGCTCGGCTGGTAAAACGCATGGGGGTTGGGCGAAGGATGAATTCTGTAGACTCTCTAAATGTGTATGAATTGAGGAAGCACTTAAACTATCCTTGTCATGCATAAAGGTAGCAAAGGCGCCATTACGCCGTTGCATTTACACTATGCAGCATGCACACTGGCTAAGTAAAGCCATGAATTACCACACGCTCATCTGCACACATATACAAGCAAGAAGAGTGTATGTGTCTGCTGATTGCAAATTTATTCCAAAGAGGAAGACAATGCAGGAATCCTTCACTCACATCTCCTCACCGACATAGCTCGGGGACAGGTTCTAGCAGTATCTGTGTTAGGATTGGCTGAGGATGTGATGCGGGAGGAAAAGTTGCAGTTGGCAGCAGACAGAAAGACACAGCAAGGGGAGTGGGGGTTCACAATAAAGGATTTTAAACCAAAGCCTCTTTGGTAGAGAAGAGGGAGGGAGGGAGGGAGGGAGGAAAGAATGGGGCTGTGGGGGTGGTGGATAGATACAGGATGACACAAGGTCCAGATTAACCCTAATCTCAGGCCTGGTGGTTTAGGTGAGGCTGTGGGACTGGAGGAAGCTATCCCGTGCCAGGTGGTCATGAGGAGGTTAAAAGAGGGAGATGGGTGGGGTGGGGGGCACTGGGAGGATGAGTATGGGACAGCGTGTTGCTAAGGGAAGACAGAGACAGCGAGAAAAAACTGCAGAGGAATGAAATGTTTCAATGCGGCGACTTCCAGCGAATAGAACTAAAACCAAAAATCCAAAATGGACGACCAAAAACAGAAGACAGCGGAGATGTTCGGGATCGGGGTGGGGGTGGGGGGTTGCACAGCTAGCACAACAGCAGGCGCTGTGAAGGTGGCTGCAGGGTGATTGGATGGTTGGTGCATGGTGACAGTGGCACATGCCCTGGTGCATGGGATTAGAGGGACACTCAGTAATCTGCTGTTTAGGCTGTATGTAGGGCAAGAGTGGCTTAGCCCAGCCACTCTTAGCACGGGTGGAGCAGCAGAGCGAGAGGGACAGGAAGTGGACTGCTGTTATATAGCTGCACTCATCCCGCCTCAGTCACCTCTGGTTTTTCTAGATTTATCCATCGTTTTCTTTCTCTTGTGTTTGCCTTTAGCGTTTGAAACAAAAAGTGCTTTCTGCTGTCCTCAAAAATCTGAAAGTGCAAAGGAAAAATGAGTCAGTCGCCACAAGTGCTTTAGCAAACTATTGTCTGCGGCAACTCCCAAACTCCAAAATAGGGCTCTGCTTGCATATATGATGCGGTTGCCAGTTAAAATCAGTCTTATCAGCAGCAGCTGAATGCTTAGCTTGTAGGTGGTAGCTCATACTTGAGGTACTTTGTTGATATTTGAACTTCATTAAACACAAAGTGCTTTTACCTTGTCGACTGAGCATCTCAGAGTTGTTTTAAGTAAGGTATCCTATCTAAAAGAGCAGTGGTGTCATTATTTTCCATCATGGCAGCACTCTGAAGAAGGTGGCTGACAAGATAGCATGTGATTTTTTTTTAAATTGCATGTTAATTTCAGACCTTAATCCCATTACAGTAAGCAGGTTACGCAGACGGCCCAAGTTTATTAATGTCATGCAGCTTTGCTGTATAACAGGTACTTTCTAAAAGAATCAACCTGACATGTCCTCTTTTGAACTTTTTATTTTACTTATGTAGCCTGCTTGTAAAGTTCAGTGTGTTACTGCTTATTTAAGATAAGTAAAAGATTTAATTACCTTTTGTAAGGTTGCTGGCTGTTACTGCTTTCAAACACTTAAACTGTACAAGAAGCTGAAGTCAATTTGAAAACGCAATATTTTCCTTTTTACTTCACTGATGTATATTTCTGATAATGTTGATATTTGTAAAGCTAACATGATGAGTCATTAATTAAAGGACATTTATCTGCAAACACACTGACAATAGCTTCATCTAGAGGCCATCAGAAGTCACTTCTTCGGTGTGATTTTTGTTATTTTGCAAGGTCCCTTAAACTTTTTTAGTGAGGAGCCATAAAAGGATACTGAGAGTGTCAATCTGTGTGAAAGTGTGATGGACAATTTTCATGATTATTTAATAAAATGTACTTATAAATCAGAAAAACAGTCTAAAGACTAATAGAAATTTTATAAGAAGGGTCCCACTGAGCATTTTTTGGTCTAAAAGAGGTCTAATAGACGTCTAAATATAGACTAGACGACTGGTCTAAAACCAGGCTACCACAGGTCTAAAAATGAAAGTTTTTTAGACTTTTAAATTTAGACCAAGTTTAGACTAAATCTAAATCTGGGCTATATCTATACTACACTGTATATTGCTCAGCGCTATCATAATTATTTTCATTAAGTACTTGGAGATCAGTTATGCGACTCACAGTTGCTTTTTGAAATACATAGTTATCGAATAATGGGTCAAAGTGCAACGTCTAAATTCTGTCTAAAAATATACAGAATCTAGACGGTTGAAATTAGGTCTGAAAAAACTAAACGTCTAATAGCCGTCTATTGCTCAGTGGGGTTGTAGCTACATTTAGTGTTATGGTCTTCATCATAACAATCACTGTCAATTTTGTCCAACATGCCATCAACGTCATTTGAAATGAGACGGAGAGGAAAAGCGAGGTTGCTCCATTGCAAGGTTGACCCAGTCCTCAGGCCTGCAAAAGGTGCATTTACTCCCACATCTTTGAATCTCCGACATGAATATCTCGTCTTTTATGCCATTCAAACATATCCCAATCTCCTCTTTCCTTTTCCAGTGAGCTAGATGATTCATGTCAAGTGAAGTCAAGCATGGGCCAGGATATGAATCAAAATTTGTCAAGTTGGCTTTTCTCCCTCACGTCTATGAAATGATACGGCTTAGTTTTGAATATGAATCCCGAGAGAGCGCCACATTGCTTTTAACGGAGTGTGGCTTCAGCCGAGCAATCAAAGCCTTTGTTTTTCACACCATCCCACAATCCCACCTGCTTGGGCGAGACGATGGAGGGCCCTTTGAAAACAACGAGGCGGCATGATTTATTATTCTAATTAGGCGGAGTGAGACTTTAGCAAAGCCACAATTACACTAAATGGCCAAAACAGTTTTCTGGTTGGATGACTCCTGTTCCGCTCAGATGTTAATCAGAGGTAGCAATTGAGCCAAGGTGCAAACTGCTTGTGAGTCACTGTATTGCTTGGTAATATCTCCCACAAACACACAAACAATCAAACAAACACTAGAGTCCTGTATTGAATTACAAATAGGCATTTTGGCTGATTAAATGAAACTGTATAAGCCATATAAACACACAGCTTGAATTCCAACAACCTCTCAATCGAACAGAGGGCTTAATGTGCAACGATACTCAGGAAGAGAAGAAAAAAAAAAAACGACTGCAGTGTTTTAATTCCAGGTCATTTCATAATCTCTTTGATACTCACATCTGCACATCACTTCACTCTTACTCACTCACAATCAAACATCTGCAAGCTGGCACACTCACTAAATCCTCCGCTACAACACACAAGCAACACAAACCAAGCATATTTAATCACCCAACATGTGCAGAATACACACACGTGCATGTTTGAGAGCATGCACACAATGGGGCACACATATGCACCCAGGCAAAAACACTTATGCATGCAAGTGTACACACAAATGCACACTTTGACTCTAACTGCTGCTGCACTCATGCAAAAAAAACTGGTTTAATTCACTGCAAATTCAAAGTGATTCTATAACAGACATTCAGGAAGAGAAACACTAAATGTATCGATCAGATTTAAAAGGAAACCACACGCGCAAACAGAGAATACCAACTTTCTGAATATATGCTCTGTATATGGCTTCGATCCAGCTCTGAGCTCCTCATCACCTTTTTGTCCCTCCTCCCCTCTCTTCCTCTTACATCCCCACACACAAACAAAACACCCCAATCATCCTGCATCAACAGGCATGTGAACCCACTGCTCAGTTCATCTCCTTCTCTCTCTCTCTCTCTCTCTCTCTCCCTTCTTTCTCTGCCCGCTCTATTTTCATCTGCGTGCTTCCACTCTCCTAGCTTTCGGGTAATTACCTGGCATTTGCATTGCAAAGTCCCCTGTGCCGCCCTCAGCTCCTCCGCAGGTGATTGAGCTTCATTTCCCCGGCAGATAAGAGAGAGAGAAAAGAGGAAGAGAGGAAGAGGAGGATTGCAGCAGGGTGTGATGCTATTCTAGCTTGCAGGATGTAGGAACAATGCCCTGGATTCTTTGTTACCGGTAAATTGGCTGGTTCAAAGCAAGCATGAGAAAAGTTCCCACACGTAAATAATCATCCCTGTTATGATCACATTTCAGATCTAGCTGCAGCAGAAATAACCTTAAAAAAGCAGCAAAATCATTTCTGAGGGTGACCCGACTAATGCAGACCTGTGACTTACAGTGGTTGTATTTTTTTTTCTCTTTAAGCACAGACATGCTGTGTGTGGATTGGGCATTGATGTGATTCAACACTTATATTTGCAACCAGCTTGATAAATTAGGTTGTATGAAAGAGCATCAGAAAAATCCCCATCAGTATAAAGTTGCTGTCTATAAACGCCTGTTTCTGCCCCGCCAACATTCATGAACCCTGAATATATTCAAAGCATGTGTTTTTGGCTCAAGATGATTGTCTCTGATACATTTTTGCAGATTATTGATCATGAAATCTTTAGGATTTCACTTTTTTTACTTTTTGGTACTTCATTTCCCATCTGTAAGACAGTTTGGATCACGTTAAACGTCCGATGCCTTGAACACATCTTTAAAATCAAAATGTAGACGATGGCTACGTTCACACTGCAGGTAATGATGCACAATTTGGATGTTTTGTTAAATTCGATCTTTTTGTGCGGTCGTTCACATTACAACAACAAATGCGTCATCTAATGTGAACGGAATGCGTCCATGAAGTGACCCGCATGCGCAGAAAGCACAAATTGCTTTCCGCGCCTGTTTGTGTTGTCGAACAATGGTGACGTTTGTTGCATATTGATGACGTATAGGTCAGATGAACGCGTCTGAGCATCCGCACTGCAGTCACATCGAATACATATCCAATTTATATCCACATACAAAAGAGGCCTGGGTTGGATTTGAAAAAATCAGAATTGCACTGTTCACACTTGCATGAAAAAATCAGATATGTGTCACATATGGTTAAAAAATCGGAATTGACCTGCAGTCAATATGCGACAAACGTCACCATTGTTCGACAACACAAACAGGCGCGGAAAGCAATTTGTGCGCATGCGGGTCAGTTCACGGACGCATTCTGTCCACATTAGATGCCGCATTCATTGTTGTAATGTGAACGAATCTGAATTGTGCATCATAACCTGAGGTATGAACGTAGCCTTAGTCAAGATTGTATAGATGCCCAGATGATTGACAGGCTGCCTTAAAGTCATTTCTGCTGCAATTTGCAGTTTTCTGCGAGGCTTTCTCACTGCAAAACAACAAAGCCAACAGGGTTTAGGTTTTTATCTCACTGTTGTTATAGTTCCATCAGCTGAGGCGTGTTTTGGACTAAGAGAGGTATCAAGTTTGAGTTTTTCTTTCTTAATATTCAACACTGGTGGTCATTTGTATGAACAGTTACAAGAATATTTAATGATGTTTTTAGTATTTCATCTTTAAATTTTATAAATACACTGCACACACCAGTCTCTCTCCTTAAAAAGCATCATACAGTCAGTAGTGAGTGAACCACATGACCTCTGTGTTTTCCTATGCAGCAGCTTAATAACATATATGATAAACACGGGGTTTGAGTGATTTTGTAGACATAATGGTAGACTCTTAAAGTTGGGCCTATAACTCATCGGGATTAACCCAGAACACGCCTGTAAAATGAACCACAAAGGGAGACCTACCCATACATCCACACTCCAGCCTGATGTAGCAGAAGCACCTCCCACTGAATGAGAGCTGATAATTGGGGCGAGCTCATTTGCATGCAGCACAGCGTGGATATTTATTTAAATTTAATTTCGTTCCCGCACGCGGCGCACTGTAGGCTTTTGTGCCAAAGTCATATTAACCCCTTGATTAGTTAATATGCAGTGCACGACGTTGCCCACGCACAATGAATATTCATACTGATGGCGTTTTCGTGGTCGTCTCACCATCCCTCCCTCCTGCTCTCATTCGATCCGGCCCCACGGTGAAACGCAACGGCCTAGTGTTATTGTGCCAACCCGGAAGAAAGTGTCACTTTGCAGGTATCTCTCCCAATCGTTGACACTACATACCGTTTGGTATCTTCCACTGTCTGTGTCGCTCGCTGCTGCTACTGCTGACCCAAATGGCAGATAAATTCACGCTCCCCAGCAGCAAAGACCGCGCTCTGAAGGGAAGAGAGGAGAAAATGGTCGTGGCAGGTAAATCACACACGGTGACAGGTTGTATCCAGAGTGATCGAGTTGGCACGCGGGGGGTGGGTGACACTCTTCACGTTTCCTGACCGTGGGAAGCTAATTGCCATACTTCACCTTGCAAAACCTCACTACCTAAAGTACATGTCCTGCAATGCTCCTAAACCTCCTGAGTGTCTCTGAGATTTGTGACTGGGGGTCTTTTTGAGTCATTTTTTTGAGTTTGATCAAATCTAAAGTTGCAGCAAAAGTTTAATGAGATGTTTTTATTAATAATTTATCATACAGTGTGGAGGAAATTATTTTAGCTCACTCTGGCATTCAAAGAAATACTATTTTTTTTATCACTGAAGTTTTTTTCTACATGTTTGGTCTTGTAAGCGCTTTGATATCCCTTATAGTCAAATGAAACACCCTATTTTATCTCTGTTTTTATCTGTTTGACAAGACAAACATGTTCTTTACCCCCCTGACCTGTTTTGCAATCCTTTTTGCAAACCATCTCAGATGTGGGCATGACTATTGCAAAACCTTGTCCTGCCCTCACCTGACATGAAGAGCAAACAATGTGAGTTGCAGGATCAGGGCACAAGTGCATATGAAGAAGTGGTGCCGCAGCGTCCAGGGGCCCATCTGGGCATTATGCGCATGAAGGCTCCGCCCCATCATAAGTTCCTGCTCCGTCTGTCAGAGCAGCTCGGAGACGCCGCATGGCAGAAATCTGTTCCTCCCCTTTCACTGTGGGGTGCAGCTTAGGTGGGGACAGGGTTGCTCTTGTGTGTTCATGTGTGTGTTTGAAAATCAGTGTTTGTTGCCATTGGCTGGTAAGCATGAGTAATTAAGGGACCGCAAGGATTGTTTCCACATACTCACTGTGCAGGCACAGTCTTGCATGTTTGTGAGTATATACATTTGTCTCCTCACTGTAACGACAATCACTAAACCTGCAAGTTGCATCTTTCCCTCGAGCCAAAGAGGCTGCTGGTCCCTTGTACTGGTGTCCCAGTGTCCCATGTCCCCTCCTTTGCTCCAGCCTGTATAATGTACACTGTGACCTTGGCGAGAATGATCCAGTGGCAGATTGCTACATGGTAGGGGCACAGTGGCTATTATTTTGAGTCAGTGCAGTATAGACTGCCAATATTTCTTCCAAACAGGATGGGGGAGGTCAGCTGACCAAAATCAATCTCTGTTACATGCTTCACTATAACTCTTCCAAGCAGGTTCACGGCAAAGATATATTTCTTGAATTATTTCTCTGTTGTTTTCCCATCTCTACTTTCCCAGATGTCCTTGATTTTTTCCCACCTTTGCATATGGTTTAGAGGAGAAAGAAAGAGCAAGTAACTAAATGAAAGAACATGCAAATCAACTCTGGAACAGTAGATAAATAAATGAAAGAAATCTGCTAATGGGAGGAACTGTGGTTCGCTGATAATAAATATTGCTTCAGTGCGTAAATATCTTCTGTTCCTGCACGAGTCTGCAGGGATATCCTTCAGGTAGTTTGATTTTTATACCACAGAAAGTTACGAGGGCTGGTGACCCTTTCACACATAGGCTGTGCTCCTAAAGATTTCTCAAGATTGTTGGGAAAATCACTGAGTGTGGCCGACTTAATGCAGATGTATTCCCTAGTCACCCCTAGTCAGCGACTGCTCACTTCAGTCGCAAGTGTGTAGTATGCTGCTTGGCATTGGCTGGTTATTGGTTTCAAGGTGTGCCTGGGAGGTGTGGTTTGGAAAAGTTGCACTTGAAAAACCACTGAAATTGTTTGTCATATAACTCCTACACTATAAGTTATTCAGCCCCCTGTCAGTCATTTGTATTATGTTAGTGAATGTTCATGTACAAGAGAAACTGCAAGGTGACATATATGTTAGCCAGCTAGCTAACATTTGTATTATGTTGGTGAATGTACACGTACCAGAGAAACTACAAGGTGACATATATGTTAGCCCACTAGCTGCAAGTAGCTGGCACCCTGCCTAAGTCAGTTTAGTGTCTTAGCTGTCCTCAAAAAGAGAGAGCATACAGGCAGTGTGAGAGAAAACATCGAGAAGTCGCTGCATCGAGCATCTTTTTCAGGGCGCTCAGGCCGTTTATTTATCGTCAGTTACACCAGCAACTAGCCCGAACGGTTTTTACAGTCCTAGTTTTGATGCTCCACCTAACCAATCATAAAGATTATCCATATAGATGGAGTTGGACCAGTATTTCAGGTACTCGCCTGCAAATCTGTTTAACATTGTAAAAAAATAAAAAAACAATCAGAGTATTCTTGGTCATACCCACTACACATAGAAGTGTGTGCATTTTAAGATATTTTTCTGTTTTATTAATGTTGACTAATGTTCCAGATATTCTATATGATGTTTGAACTCAAGATAGTTGTGGTTGTTTTTAACCTACAGTCCTAAAGTCCCAGACAATGATACATTTTAGAGCTGTCATCCCAATACTGCAATATTGTGAAACTGTGATTTTTTTGCTTTAGGCTATCAAACCATCAGAATCTCATACTGCCCATGCCTGTTTGCCACATTGTTGTTCGTGTTGCAGAAACAATCCATTAACACAAAAAAGGTCTTCATTGTGGGAGATCCCTCTCCTGCATGCGCCACCCAGCCGCGCCCACTCAGCTAAATCAAACGTAGTGCTACAGGCTATAAGAGTGCATCTGACACAGATATTTTATCCCAGTGTGCAACATTTGTAAGAGGGAGCTTCCTGAAAACATCCTGGGCCTTATTGAACTGAAATCATCAACAAAATGTCCGGAGTTTATCTGTGTAAAGGACTTGAGCCTGCTGGGATTCATTGGGGTTGTTTTACTTTGACAGAAGTAAAATTGTAAAATTTAAGGGTACAAGGTCTGTTCCATCCTCTTCTTTCCACATTGAATACTGCATAAAAGACATGAAGCCAGGCCTCAACAGGATGTGCCTCCATCTTGCTGGATGGAGCCAGAGCCATAGTAGGTAGCCTTCTCCATAGCAACTGTTTCCGTTGCTAGGATACAGTATGTATGGAATGCATGGATGGCTTCAAAGTTGTTCCCATCAGAGTCCAGACAGTTTTCCCACCCTGAGCAGAGGCAGCTTGACATGGATTCAAGTGTCACAAGACTAAGTTGAGTTGATTGTGACTTACTTCTCGCTGTTCCTAATAATCAACCACCCCCCTCTAGTCTTGCCTCTTTCCTCCCCTCCCCTCTGTTGCCCCACTCCTTCCTCCTCTACCCATCCTCCCATCCAGCAGAGGGTAGTTGGCACCAGTATAAAGCGTCAGCCTCCTCCGACGACTCGTGCCTGACTCTCTGCCAACCTGTGTGAAGCTAGAAAGAGGAAGAGGGAGGGAAGAGGAAGAGAGAGAATGGATTTTTTTTTGGAAGGAAATAAACAAAGCAGCCTGAAAATCGACCTTTCCTGTTACCAGTTTTGGCACCCAGGGATGGTACCTCTCCTGTTCCTCTGCATGAGGGGGCAGCAGCGCTTGGACATCAGTTTTACGGGTGAGAAACTCGGGACCACGGCTAGAATCGAAGGGTAACAAAGATTAAATACCCACCTAAGCGAGTACAACTTGATCGTTAAGCAACAGATTGTAGTACCGTCGACTGATGGTAGCCATGATTCAAGCAATGTGGCAAGGCGCAGGGTCCAGTGTTTTGGTTCTGGTCCAGCCGCCTACAACCACCAAGCTAAAAGCAACAAAAGGTGGCCAAAGTTTTCCGCCTCAGCCCGCCGTACTTTACTGTTCTCTTCAAATATCCTCAAAAACAAAGGTGCACAAAGAAATTACGCCCTTAGCTCATCCAAGTTGGTAAAAAAGTCCTTTTCATGAAACCATCCCCCATATTCAGCCCGTTCTCTTCTTTTGTAAGCTCAGTCAGACACCCGCCTGCTTGTGTTTTTGTCGTCCTCTGTTCTTTCTTTTGCCGGCGTAGTGAGGCAGCGTAGTGAGAGTATTCAGCCAATTCTTCCTCTGTGCCTGTGTGTTAAGGTGGGGTAATTCTGGCAGAATGGGGTGTGGGCGCTGGGCTGGCAAGGGGACGGGGGTTGCGGGTAGGGGGGTTAGGCGCAGTGAAAGGAGCTATCCTGGCACCACCTGGACCTCTGCCAGCTGCTCCATGGGAGAAATACCCACAGCAGAGGTTGGTGTGTGTGAGCGATTGTGCAGCTGATTGAGTGCTTGTGCGCACGCAGCCAGGCATGCACGTGCTTGTGAGAGGAGAGTGAGGGATGATGGGAAGGTGGTGTGAGGAGGACTGTGAAGTGAAGATGGAGGGCGGGGTGGGTTGGCCCACACTTGGCTTCTCTGGACAGGGAAGTGTTGGCGTGTTCTTGGCCATCTTCATTTTTACCTCTCTTCTTTTGTTTGTTTATTTGTTTGCTTGTTTGTTTTCCCTGTGTTCTCTCTTGGATGAAGTGGCTGGTCGCTTTATATGGCGCCCAAAGGCATGGCGATCTAAAAGCCAAAAGAATCCTTCACTGCCTTTCTGCTTTCCCTCATCTGTTGCTTCTCACTGGCTATTTACTCCTTTTATTGTTTTGGCAGGCTGATCTCTCCTCCTCCCACTCCTCCTCCTCTATCGCACACTTGTCTCACTCTCTCAATTTCTCTCCCTCATTTGGCAACTTCACTGCTTTTATTTCACTGGCCAGAGAGGCAGGACAAGAGGGTGAGAGTGAACAGGATGGAGCCGGAACAAAACTCACAGGAGAAAAAGAAAGATTTTCTCTTTCTCTCTCTTCTCGCCACCTTAAGTCACCCCTGTGGAATACTTATCCAGCACAGTCACCGACACAGATCCACTCTGATTGTAGCTGACTGTGCCAGTGAATATGACCTGGCAGAGCCAAACAACCTGCTGCTAAAAGACAGAACTGTCACACAACAAGAGGGCTGCCTTGAGGCAGCCAGTCCTCCCTGACATTTCCGGGGTCCTCAAAAGCTTCTGCAATCTGTTACCAATCACAAAAACCAAAGAAGTTTGTCTCATATCACAAGTGCCCTTGAGATGGCACAGCGAGACAGGTGGTATCAGGTCAAGTGCCTCCTTGCTTCTCATTGAGATGTTAGTATAAAATGTTTCCTGTTCAATGTCAGTGCATTCACTAAGACTCCAATATTGGCAGATATAAAGCACTAATATCCAATGCTATGACTACTAGTGTTACTTCTCTGTCACTTAGAGTCCTACTCTGATCATTTTTTTACTATTTAAAGTGTTCTCAGTGGTCTTTAAATTGTGATTATGAAGTTTTTTTTTTTGTTGTTTGTTTTTTTACCAAAAATCGTGTTACGTGTCATTTTCAAGGGCTTTTTTCCAGAGCTGCAGAGCTCCAGTAGATCATTAGCAATCTGGAAGACAGCGCTGCTCTGCACACTCAACTTCACGTTAGCTTGCCGCCTAACATTGCTGGTGTAGTAGAAGTGGCAGGTAACATAGGAGTCGATTCAGCTCTCGAACACTAATGTCTTTAGGGACATAATGAAAGTTAATATCATAATTAGTTTTCTTACGAGCATTGTAATCTGCTAACGCACATGCTTGTTCCACGATCATCCTCTGCATTTCTTCTCTATATGCAGAGTGTGGCCTGCATAGTGGAGCTTGGATTGGTTACGTATGAAATCTCACTGTTTCTGAACCTGCCGTTTGGGTCTGCCAGAGATTCAGAGCAATTTGAATGAAGAAATACTCAGAAAAGCAATTTCACATTTAGTTTTCTGATGATAGGTCCTGCAGCTTCAGAAAAATGCCATATGAACAAATAAAAAACAAGAAAAACACAATTTTCATCGGAGTGGGTCTTTACAGTACCACTGCTACTGTCACTGCAAACCAGATGCAGTATAGATCCAATAATGGGAGGTGAACATGATGCCTTTACTGGTATCCAGTATCGCTCATACCTGTAACCAGTGACTGACGCTGTTACTGGTACTGTATCCAGTACTAATACAGGTGCCTTATAATGCCGTTTGTATTAGTCCAGACGCTGGTACTAACTTATTGACAGTGGTTCCTTTTTCTGATACTGGTCCTTGATACTAACAAAGCTATGAAAGCACCTCCAGCTTCTTTGCTTGCTGGTTATCCTCAAAGGTTTTATTTTCATATCCTTGTTTTTCGTTCTGTTTTAGGTTTTGTCAAAATTCAAAAACTACCAATTAGTAAATGTACCAACAGTCCATTTTTCCATGATTTGGGTCAGTGTCACAAATCAAATCTCTTACAACCAGAGACCACTCACACATTGAAGTCCATTAATGGTATGTGCCTAAGCCCTTAGTGTACCCTGTGGCCTGTTTATCTGTAGACTAATATTAGTGGTTGCAGTACAAACCAGCCTTGCTTAGTGGAGATTTGCACGCTAAGTCACCTCAGTCTTCTTAAACCCTAATCCTCCTCACACATCTGTGGGGATACACTGACACACACACACACACACACTTCCTTTTTAGCACTCTAATTCCACGCAGCACAGTTGGCAATAGAGTGCCATCCACAACCCCTACTTCCTCCCCCCCTCCACCCGTCACCTCCCAGTACTCCAGTTTGTTTTACTTATGAGGTATTTTTACCGAGCAGAAGATTAGGCCCGCTCGTGAGGTTATACAAGTGTGCCCCAGAAGTGTCTCCAGTTGATCGCATTGTGGATGCCCAGTGGTGCCAAGCCTTGCGTTTAATACACTCACATTCAGAGGCATGCGGTGGGGTAAAAGAGAGATCAAAAAATAACTGCATGATTGTGTGTAATTGTGGGTATTACGGCGAGGACAGCAGGGATAGAATGTCGGTCAAAGCCGTGTAATCTCTTAAATGTCTTCCAGTGCAGAAACCTCTGCCTCTGATCCGCCGGCCCGGGTCAGCCTGTGACGATGCACAGAACCAAGAGGCCTGACTGAGGAGGCCACTAATGGACCTCTTTTACTCATATACTGTAATTTTTAGTGTTTAAACACAGTCTTATGATCTTATTTTACATAACACACTGTCCTGTCTCACAGATACACATGCAGTCAATGGGAATGCTACTGTGGAGCCTTTTCCAGACGGCATGGAGAACATCATGTTTGGTGAGACTGCACAATCACACATTTTTGTAATCAGATTCAACCCAATATGGAATTCTGTGATAGCAGTTTGTGGTTGTTGACACATTTCGATGAAGTGTTGGTCTCTCTCTTGAACAGAAGCACTAATTTGGCTTGTGTGTTTGTGTTTTGCATATGTGTGTGTTGCACGCTGTCATTATGTCCAGGTATGGGCTGTTTCTGGGGAGTAGAGAAACTTTTCTGGAAGTGTCCAGGAGTCTACTCCACACAGGTGGGCTACGCCGGAGGCTTTACACCAAACCCGAATTACGAAGAGGTCTGCACAGGTAACTCGCTCTGCACCAAGCACACATCCTCGGCACTTTGATAGATATTACCTGACTGTGCCCGTCCCTGTGCGGAGGTGAAGTGGGCTGCCAGGACATTTCCCTGTCAGATCAGTCAGGGTTCAAGAGACGCCAAAAAAAAAAAGGCAAAGGGAAGAAGAAAACGAAACAGATATTCGGAAGGGGTGTTTTAAGTACGGCGCTCTCATCCTCTTGCCGCCTTCCCTTCATCTGCAGTCAACTACTCAGAATGCACCGCTCCAGATGGGCTGCACCCCTCCCGTCCCCGCCCCCCCATGACCTACTTGTAAGGATTGGGCTCTGTACTGTGCTGTATTGCGGTGTTTTTTTTTCTTTTTGCTAGCAGAGGTTACTGTGTATAAAGCGCCACGAATTTTCTGATGATTTGGCGAACATGATGTTGCCAATACAAGCTTTGAGTTTGTTGCAATTGCTATGAAAGCCCCTGGAAATTTCTGGCTGTTTGTCTACATCCAAATTTGTTTCTTCCTGTTTTCTGCATCAAATATATTCATGTAGGGCACTAATGCATAATTCCAACGAAACCATCTAGTTCTGCCTTGTACTTTTCTCTGGGGGTTTTGAGAGTCGTGAGCTGTTAGGTTTTTTGGCTCCTCTTTTTTTTGGAGGGAGCATCATTACAGGCAGACATGGAGTCTAGGTGCAGACACAGCACAGGGGACATGGAGAGGAGGGGAAACGCATTTGGGTTTGGTTGGCAGACTTTCTGAGCAGAGCCCTTAAAGGGATTTTATGTTTCCTATGCGTCTCTAAGTCTCTTTTTCTGTCAGCTTCCCAGCAGCAAGATGGTCAGCTATAAGAGGAGGATGGAGTTGGAGACAGATGAAAATGAAAGATTGAAAGCTGCAGCATGGGAGGGAAACGGCTAAAACAAACTTTTAGAGGAGGAAGAAAATTGTAGGGGAAAAAAAGTGTGAGAAAGAACGGTTGCCTGTCCATCGGCTGAGAGAGTGCAGGCGTCGCTCCAGTGGCCATGACGGAGCAGAACACTGCGATGGCATGAGACCGAGGAGCTGTCAACACAGCCAGGGCAGGACAGACAGCTGGATGGACAGACAGACGGACAGGAAGAAGGGGATGATTGAACTGTCAGCAGAAGTCAGGGAAGGATGGAACGACAGACAGATAGGTGGATGGCCTGACAAACAGAAATGGGAGAGGTTGAGAGATGCAGTCAAATTTGATGACGGATAACAGATGACACTGACAGTTGAGAAATAGATAGAAGATGTTATCAATTGGCATGTTTCAGCTCGCCTAATACACAGAATTGTCCAATTTGTTATGCATATCCGGTTCAGAATCAAGAGCTGAAGCAGTAACCATTTGTCCATTTGCTCTGCAGGGTTGCATGAAATCCAGAGACATCACAATAGCTCTGTGGTCATGTGTTTCATCCAAGTGCAGAGAGACCTTCAACTGTTGGTTAGGAATAATCCAAAACTGTGTTATTTCAGTTAGTGTAGTATTGCATTGCCAATTCTCCTCGAGCAGAGACCAATAATTGTCAGAACAACAAGTTGCAGCCTGTAAAGAAAATGACTCTAATATAGAAAAGCAACCAGCGCTGTCATTTCCCTGATAAGGCCATCCCTTTATGAGTCAAGTTATACTGGCTCCATCAGCAGACAACGGTATGAAATGAAAAAACAAGACTGAGTGGTGATTTGGGAGGTTAATTAATTCCTCCTGCTGAAGCGTCCTTCAGCCAAACAATCTCTACTAGCTTTAGTGGTGCTGGTTTGTATCACCTTTAAGCCTTTCACCCCCTTCAGCTTGGACAAGCATGTAAATCCATGCAGGTGCATATCCACTTTTTAGCTAGTTTTGCAGTTGCATTTCATTTTTGTGCCTGCACCCAAACTCAAATGTTTGTATTAGATGACATTTCTTCTGTTTTAGAGTCATAAAGCATAAAAAAGTCGCCTTCCATGCACCTGATCCATCGTCTACCTGTGTGTCTGTATTTACATACTGTATATGTGCATGACTAATGTGTGACAATGGAAAAAGATGGCTGCAGCTTATAGAATCCCAAGCCAACAACACCTGTGTGTTTAGTTTTAACAAAGGTGCATGTTAGCAGTGAGGCATGTGAGTATTTCTCCTTTCTGCAGTAAATATGTGCATGCACGGACTTCCATGTGAGACCCAAAGCATGCCCAAGTTTAAGAATGCCTGCAGGCAGCATGTTGAAGCTTTAGGGTCCTGGCAGCTGCAGACAGTAGCAGGTGTCTATGTGCTTTTGGCAACTGTCACCATAAGCTCCATCCTTTACTCTCTCTCTCTCTTCCTCTATCTCTCTCGTACTTTGTCTCCCTCACACATGCTTTCTCCCATTGTGCCACAAGCAATAACAAAGCTCCATGTGGATTCAACCTGAGTGTCTTCTACCCCTGGCGCATGAACCCAATGACACATGCAACCAACTCACAAGGATGCTATTCATAACCCTTGTTCTCTCTTAAATTTTCACCTGGCATCTTTCTCATTTTAGCAAATTTTATTCATTTTCCATGTCAAATAATAAAGGAAATTTAGAGGTGTAGAATATGTGGAAATGTGGAGTCAAGCAGAAGCTAAAATATCACCTGACTTCATTTTTTATTGATGCAGCTTTATGTTTTTTTTAGGTCTGACAGGCCATACTGAGGTGGTCAGGGTGGTCTTCTCCCCGGAAAACATCCGCCTTGAAGAGCTGCTCAAAACCTTCTGGGAGAACCACGATCCCACTCAAGGTAACACAAACGCACGAACCCACACAGAGCCCAAAAGTTGCCCTCAAATAAGACCCGTCCCGAGGGGCACGGTGTGTATTAGAGCAGAAGGATGATGCCCAGACGTGTGCCTGTGTGCGTGTGGTTGTGTGTGTGTGTGGGTGTGTGTGGGTGTGTGTGTGTGTGTGTGTGTGTGTGTGTGGGGGGGGTCTCATGGGTGTTAGTCAACGCCAGACAGTGTTAATGTGTCTGAGATCCAGCCATCCATGGAGAGACACACACAAGTGTGGTGCAGGTTCAGGCCCTAAAACTCTGTCTCTCTGTTGGAGCATGTGTATGGTATGGTATACTCCACATATGGACTTCTGGATGATGCACCCATGATCCTAGATTAGTTCCAGGTTTGATGTCACTATGCAAAGTGCATGTAATGAGTAAGCGTACCTGTAGAACTTTTCTCTGCAGGTGCAAAATTTACCCCAACATAATTCAACACTGTTGTCGAGCAGTTTCTTTTTCCTCTTCCCTCTCTTTATACACCACATATGTTCAGCTTCATAGCATTTGAATCTTCATCCCTTACCTACCTCTTTAATGACACACGCCTCTCCCCCACCCATCAAGATCCCATCCCCCATAACTCATCACTCCATCTCTTCCAGTCTCTTTTGCTCTCTTGTTCTCTGTGCTCACTGGAGGAGGTGATGTAAGGACATTAATGCACCGGGAGGGCACAAGGAGGATGTGTGTATGTGTGTGTGAGGGAGACAGGACAGGCAAAGAGGTACTCTGCTCACTCATATCGAGTGGAGGGAGGGGGCATGCCAAGTTGGGAAGAGATGGATCAAAGATTCATGGGCTTGGCCTTCGGTCCTGAAACAGACAGGAGAATACACACACACTCAGTGACAGTGCCCATGTCTGTTCCTTTGTCTCTTAAACATCTATCCCAGTTGTTTTCACATATAAAGCATGACCTAAATATACTAAAACATCTGCTGTGTTGTGCATCTACCACAAAAACCCAGCTGAGTGCGTACCCCGGCGTACAGATCGACTCTATGTTCCAGATTTTCTTTGCATTCCACTTCAACAGGAGCGGAGTCGAAAGAAACTGTCTGTGCCGAGGTTCATCCAAGAACCATCAGATGCGATTCTTCTCCTGTTCGTCGTCGCTGAGGGCAGAGGCACGTCTCACTACGGGCAAAGGCACAAGCAGAGTCGAGCCGACACGCCACGGGGCAAAGGCACTGAGGCCAAAGGAGTAGTCATGCATTTCCCCTGACTCACCGCCTTGTCTCATCTCATGTTTTATTAATAGCATGCAGCTCATTGACTATGCACTCCGCTACTTGTTTTTTTTTTGTTTTTTTTTGTCACACCAAGCAACATATACAAAAAAAAAAAATCACAAACTCAAATATACATTTTCTTCGCTTCTTGCGCGTGACTCAAATGTGAATCCCCGCGTTTCGTTTCTCTCCTTCGATCCTCGGTTCACGTGCAGCGAAAATTCCTCTGATTTGACAAATGTGGCGTGGAGTGGTGGAAAAGGGGGCCCGTTGGCTGTGCCTTCACGCATGCTTAAGCTCCAATTTATTCTGTCCACCTAAGAGCTAGGCTCAAAAGAGAATGGAGACATTAGGTAAGTTTGCTCTTTTCCTTTTGAACTGTGCAGAGTCACCAGAGATCATTGTAGATGGAGACGAGCCCAGGAACATTAGGGATTCTGTTTTCTCCTGACACGATCAACCCTGAGCACATCCTGGTTTATAGACATATGCTCTTTAAGCCGGAGTGCGTGTGGAACTGTCATGTACAGATGCATATTCAGTTTCATGCAATACTTCCTTTAATACGTGCATATGGGTGTGTATCTGCAAGTGTGCATGCACATGTGTGTGTGAGAGTTTTGAGATCTGTGCCTCTCTGCTCTGCCTCAGTTCAAAAGGGTTTAGTCCCGACAACGTGATGTCGGGCTGCGTCAGCTCCACCAATCCCAGCCTGGATAGCAACATTAGCAGCCAATCAGAAACTCCCAGCAGCCTTTGCTGTGTGCCCTCTTTCCATATTCAGCAACACTAGTCTCAATCTGCTGGCTTCCCTGGGATGTTGCATAAAGACCCCCCATTCAACACGCTCCCAAATTATAAGTTTCTTACATCTGCGTTGAAGTAACTCTTTGGCATCCTACCTCCATGTGTGTGCATGTTAAGTGTATGTGTGTGTGTGTACGTGTGTGTTCAAGCTCACTCGAACTCTCAGAAGCCAAAGTGACATCTGCATGTCAGAGGGCAGCGGCAGCTTTGTTTCATGTCAGGGGTTGAAGATGCAGTTTGATGATTTTGGGGTGATCACTGTGTCTTGCTGTTCTTTCGCACACTGCAGATCAATTTTGCACACATTTTTTACACACAAGCATACTGTTCATCCCACATTATGCACAAGTGCTCATTATGCCTACTCATAGGCTGTTTTACTCCATTTGTGCGTACATGCGGATGAGCGGAGCACACCCGTACCGCGCACGGAGACAGTGCACACAGCTGAACCAATGGCACATCAGATGGTTTATCGGTTACTTCCTTGTTTCAGATCAGAGGCCCGCTTCTATTTCTGACGTTTTTTCCCCTTATCTTCAGGCAAAGGATAGAAGCATCTTATACCATAACTTTCTTGACAGTAACCAGTCAACTAATTTGCTCCCTTTGTTGCCCTACAACCCTCTTTTCTCCTCAACCCATTTGAGTAAAGGTCACCTCTGCTCTTTGCCCTTTTTTGAGATTTCTCTTGTCACTTTTCTCTTTCATCCTCCATCCCCTAAATTGGGTTCTCCACATCCTTTCCCAGTTTCCCTGTCTAGTCCTATTTAACCCTCTTCCTAACCTCAACTGTCTCACCTGCAACCCTCAACCCCTGTCCTCCTCGCAGTGAGCGTAGCGACAGAGAAAGCAAGCTAGCAAACGGCCCCAGAGCCCGTCAGCACATCCGCAGAGCAGCGCAGTGAGTCGACCGCTCCCTGAGGCCATCCGCTCATCACACAAACACACTCGCATCCACTCACTCCACTTTTATCTCTTAGTCACTCTCTCCCTTTCCCTGCTCCTCATCCTCATCCTCCCCCACCCCCATTTCCCTTTCTCCCATCTCATCCTCCGTCTTCCCTTCCTCCTTCCCTCACCCTCCGCCGCCCTTCATCTTAACAAGCGAGGCTTTAACCCTCCTCTTTGTTTCCTGCATCTCTTTTCCTCTTCCCTTCCCTTGTTTCCTGCACCTTCTCTCTTTTGAGGCCACGCAGTGTTTCACTGTGTGGGCTGCTGATGCTGCGTCAGTGAACAGGCATCACATGCACATGCGGGTAGACGCAAACACACAAATGCAAGGTTAAGATGGCCGAGGCAGCTATCCTCATTTGATTGTATCTGCACGTACATGCATGCTCACCTTCGTAAGTGGATGTAGGTGTATGTTAAAGGAGCCACATGCCAGAAATAAATATTTTATAAGTCTGTTGCATCAGTGCTGGAGAGAGAGTCGGCTATGGCGACCATTTGTTATCCATGAAAGCAGTTTTTTGTTCTGTTGTTTTTACGAGCTTGTGTTCAGGTCCTACATTCACTAAATTCTTTGTCTAAATTATGAGGACTGCTTATCACAGAAACACACATGCATAAATACATAGAGGGTCAGATCACCAGACAGACATAAATCAATCTGTCTCCCATCTGCCTCGTCATCCTTAAAGCGGTTATTTTCTTCAATCAAATTAAGCATGAATTTTCCCTTTATATGATACGTTCACCCCAGCTGGCTGCGACACACGCCAATTCCCTGTTGGGGTACCCCAAGGTCCCCCCCTGTGTCACCACATCCCTCAATTTAGGGATGCTAAAGCCAAACCCCACAGGAGGAGACCTTGACCTCTGACCTGCGACCTGTGCAACCCCCCACACTTCTAGCTAACCTCTTCTTCCTCCTCTGGTTGGCTGAGTAAGGCTTGCTTATTACCAGGTGTCACTTATTACACCCTTACGCACTCTGACGGCCATAATTTATGGAGATTGCGGCACGTGTGTGTGCACAGTGGGGGTTGAGTTATGTGTGTCGGTTGGATTGTGCTCAAGATGCACATTATATAACATATAAAAGTTATTTTGCAAGTTTGCTTTCGTCAGACACAATATTCGGCGTGTTTTGTGCACAATGGTGTGCATGGAAACTAACTGAAACAGGAAAGAAGAGTTTGAATTGAAGAGAGAGCACATAGACAGACAGGGATACAACTTCTTAAAAAAAAGGGAAACATTACATCAAAACTCTGATTCTGATTCTTGACTAGTTTATGGCCTTGGTGTTGGTGTATTGGTAACTATAGACACAGAAATGCAAGAAGAGGAGTAAAACACAGTATTTATATAAGAATATCAAAAGTTTCTGTTCAGTTTTAGACAATAAAGTTGACACCACACCAATTTTAGTGAGTTATTTTTAAAGATTTAGGCTCTGAAATAAGCTTTGCAGCAAAAAAAAATCAATACTTTCTACAGATATTCTGAAACAGATCAATACTGTCAGATAATGTTGGTGTCGTCTTTTATTTGAAATCATTTTATAAAATGTTTGCTCTGTTTCTTTAAGTTTAGAATCACAATGTTCCCCAAATATTTCCCTTGTCTGCTAACAAACTGACATAAAAACAGATTTTTCTTCATGGCAAAATATTAGCACGTGAAATTGCAGATTTGAATAAATTTGGGGAAATTTAACCGCTAATCTCATCCGGACTGATTCGAGTACAACCGTAGAACAAGCTCTTCTTGTTAGATTTAGACACAGCTAAAAATAAACATAGTAAGGGCCAGAATCTCAGTGCTCTGACAACATGCCCAGAACCATGAAGTGATCATGTTAGAGAGCACTGCTCCTGTAGTGAAAATAAAACTGAAGCTAAGCACAGAGATAAAACGTTTTTTTTTTTTTTTAAAGAGACGATAGTTACTGCAGTAATCTACATGATATGCTGTACACCTTACAGTCGCACACACACACACGCACGTGCACAGCACTGTTACTAAGGCACACACAGTTCTGCTGTTGGTTTAAGGTTGCCTCCGTATGTGTACTGTCACCATCTGACAGCCAGCGGAGCATCACTTGGCGGTTTTTGCTCTGTATGTTTGCATATGTCACACATTCCCTCCCCTTAGTATATATAATCTGCGTATGTGTGTGTGTTTGCACGTGCAGGGTGAGTGTATGTGTGTGTGTGTTCCTGTCCGCTGGGGATGCTCTCACCATCCCAGCTCCGTACTCTGCCTCTGTCTCCAGCGCGTCAGGAGCGGCTTACATAAGAACAGGGCAAAAATAGCAGCTGAGAGGGGAGAGGAGGAGAGGGCTCTGCTGGCACGCACACAGTCGTAACGGGACCGCGGGGCACGGCACAATCCGGAGTACTATCACGCACACACACACACACACACAAAGGAAAGACTGCAGTTATCAGCCATTGTACCTTTTTTTTTTAATTTGTGTTTACTTTTTATGACAGAATAGTAGAAATGAGAGCTGTTCGTCAGGCTCCGTCAGCGTGAAAAGCTCCAAATTACTCCAGACGTGTAAAGTGTGAGCAGGTATAACCCTTTGTAATATTGACAGTTTGTAAGAAGGAATAAAGTAGCAGAAAGAAACTCAATTAGATTGTCCATTTAAGTGCTCACTTAGATGCAGTTTAATTGGTATGCAATAATCCCAAATTCACTTTCTTTTCCTCCGCACTCAAATACAAAAAGTCACTAATTATGCAAAAAGAAAAAAACGTCTTAATTGCCGACTCTGACAATAGCTCGACTTGTGAAATGTTTACTCTTTCCTCTCAGTAATTAAAAGCTCCTCTTCCTTCTTCCCTCATCTGCTATCTTTTTTTTTTTTTGTTTAACATTTATTTTGAGTGCAGAAGAGGCCAAAAACAACAAGGAGTAAAGAGGGACAGAGGTGAAGAGGCGGAGAAGTGTAGTTAATCTCAGCTCTTGTGGCTGTGGTTGTGTAAAAAAAAGATACCAAAGAGGAATAAGACAAGGTGAGACTACTTGTTTGAGCCAGGAGCGAGGAAAGGGAGCATGTTTATGAAGAATATGCTTAAGGTTTGGTCTTCCAGTCTGTTATTTTTAACTTTTTCTTATCATATCCGTCTTCTTATTTTGGGTTTTTCACAGCAGAAAATGTACAAACCATTTTGTCTCCTCTGTCTGCATCCTCAGCCCAAGAACAGATATGCATTTAGGGTTGGAGAGGACAAGGAATAGAAGTTTAGGGGGAAAAAAAGAGGGAATTAGTAAGTGGGGAATATGGAAAGCGCCAATGACAAAAGGTGACTGTGCATGGTTTGCGGAAAGAGGAAACAGAGGTGAAGTTGGAAGCAGGAGAAATAGCAGGCTTTTATCCCCCAACAGCCAGCAGGGACAGGCTGAGTGGTGCCATTTTTTTGCGTGCAAGGATAAACACTGGAAGAGATTTAACAGACTTGCAGGAAATCTCTACGGGTTTGAACACAACAAGCGCAGGAAAAAAAAGTGAATTCATGTATGTTTGTGCGCTCAGGTTTGAGCTTGAATGTCTGTTGGAGAGAGGAGCTACTCCCTCGGAGACTTGACAAACCCAACCGCACCTCCCACTTTGTCGGATTGCGCTTCCATTTGTGTTGAAGTGACTTCTTTAAAATCTTTTGATTCAAGAGGGGGGAAATTAATTAATATTTTTGGCTCTGTGGGCGTAGGTCAGCGACCCTGAGGAGGCAGCATGTATACGTGTGTGTGTGCTTGAGACCGGTAGCCCCTCCCCTTCTGTCCACCCCCCATTACCCTCTGCTTTCAGAGGCAAGGCTCTCATGCATAATGCAGAGAGAACGGGGAGGCTCTCATTAATAATTACTGCCGCCTTTGATGGATGGAGAAAATAACGAAGGGGGCTGTTAAAATGGAGAGAGCAAGAGAGAGACGGCGGAGGCGGGAGGGAATCGAAGTTTTTTTGGAGGGTGGTATTTGTTGCTGTTGTAGTTCTTTGAGGACCAGAGGCTTTGGGGAGGGCTTTGGACCTAGTATAGTCAAAAGCTGGGCTGATGTTTGGATGGTTTTCATATTTTGATTAGGAAGTAACTCCTCTTCAGATGGTGGAAGAATCTCTGAAGATGTGAGAAATCCTAAATGTCTTTGTGTTGGAAGCAGCTCCCACCACTCAGGGGTTTGCTTTGACTTTCCTCTAGTATTTTCTTTCATTAATCCTCTTTTATTTATTTTTTTTCTCATAAAAAGGCTTTCGTCATGTCTCTTTATAATTTGCAAAATTAAAAGTAAAGGCTGGGGGTAATTCTTGGTCCTCTTGTTAAATAGCTTTCACCAAACTAAAGCAGCCAACCTAGAAGTCCTGTGATATATGATGCTCGTTTTAATATGTTTTATTCATATTGTGGTCACTCACCACACAAAGCTACCTCTGTGTGTGTGTGTGTGTGTGTGTGTGTGTGTGTGTGTGTGTGAGCGGTATAGAGATGGTCAGAACCTCAGGGGTCAACATGGAAGGTCAGAGGGAACGGCAGAGCTACAAGACCCCTGCCAGCCAGCCAATCACAGTAAAGGCTCCGCCGGGCAGCCAATGACAGAGCGGCTTGATGGCCTTTGATGAGGGGGCCACCATTAGCCTCGTCAGTGAACAACAGCGCTGGGGGCAAGATGGCCGATGTCCAACGCTGCAGAGATGTAGAAGAAGAGGGTGAGGTTAGAGATGATGGGGAGACAGAGGGAGTCCAATGAGAATGAGAGTTAATTTACAAAGAATATGAACTATTGTTTTCAAACCAGCTAGATGACTGAATTTGCTCTGGTCATAAAATTCAACCGTAATACCTGAAGAACACGGTGTCCCGTCTTTGAACCACCAGTCTCAATTAAGAATTACCGTATTGACCTGAATATAGGATGAGCTCTTTCCCCTTGAAATACATCTGAAAGAAAAGGGGTCATCATTTTTTTCATGAGTTTAGTATTTGCATGCCAAGATAGCGTCACTTTGCTGTAAAGCGAACATACCCCACATACCCGGAACAATGTAGCACAAAAACAGAAAAATGCAACACAGCAGAGACGTGACAAAGACCAGGAATACGGTGCCAATGAGAGCATGATGTCAGAAGACGATGAGCGAATAAATCCTGTCTTAAAAAACATGTGTTGAGTATGTTACTAAATGACAGATTGAACAACTTTCTTCCTTTTCAAAGACTGCAGATTACTTTGCGTGTTAGTGTCTGAACAGCAGTATTTGGGTGCTCATATACACTTTTTTATTTTACTTACAAGAAAACAACCATACCTAATTCACTGTGTCTGTTTACTGTCATCGTCGTTCAAAATTGCTTCTCATGATTTGGTCTTTAAAAACTCAAATCCTAAAAACGTTTCTGAAAAGGGGAAACAATCCTAAATTCTGCACATCATCCTGCTCTGTCCTCCTTTTCTGTGGACTCCTTGTTTCTGACCTTTGAAGGGATCAGAGTACATTAAATCTTCATTGAAGCCTCGCAACAATCAGAAATGACAAGTGAAAACTTTTAGCCGAGAGATACATGATTATGTTGTCGTGTTTGCGTGTAGCACCGAACGCTGCTGTGGTTGAGTAGCATGGCTATATAGACTCTACATCTTTGTTTTATTTAAGGCAAAGATCTTTTGACCAAAGGGGGAGGGAATCGAGGGAAAGACCTAAAAGGTGTGATAGTGTTGCGGTGAAGTTGGCTACTATGACTAGAAAATACTCCCATTTATTTCCTGAGAAAAGAACCCTTCCTCCTTCTGTCCAGGAGTCGAATAAAGCCTGAAAATAAAAACTCCCTCCATTTTGGGATTGAAAAGAAATTGTAAGGAATGAGCTCTGTGCTAAACAGACTCATATGCATGTATTCTGTTCAACAGAGTAATCTCCACAGTCCTCTTTTTCTAAAATCATATTTGAACAACTCAAGCATTTAATATTGTTGATGAAATTTTCAGTGAAGCAAATTCTCTGAGGCGCTCAGTGTGCGCCGGAGAGCGGGCGACGTCTGCTTGTCTGCTCTGATTTGAATGAAGACTAGATGAATACTTAGAGCCATTTTATCTAAACAGACTGTGTCACAGATAGGTTGTGACACACCATGATGTAAGGTAACATTTAATCTACGGAGAACAAGATATGAAGATCACTGACAGGAAGATGCCGGCATATTGTGGTGCGAGCTGCATATTTATTCAAAAACACTTTCCTGCACAATGTAAACAGAAACGAGATATTAGGAAGTGTAACAAACATGTCGGAGGACAGAATTAATAACATTGTAGGGCTCGGATACAAGCAGTCTCACAAGGAAACATTGAGGTGTGGAAGTGACCACATTTTATAGCTTCATAATGTCATGTGTTATTATGTTTTCTCTAATGGATGGACTTGATTTCTGCACACCATTAGAGCACAACACACACTTCATCACACCACTAAGTTAACTTTGCATTGCAAATCTCTTTTGCCCACTTATAGCTGCACTGACCACAAATTTGTATTTACAGTTAACCTAATAACCATGTGTATGCAGTGTTATGCAAGTCAAGGACTAGGACATGGATCTAATTTAGAAACTTGTGACTGGACTGGGACTTGAACTACATTACTACATTTAAAGATGGAGAGGAGGACTGTGGTGTATTGAAACAGCGATTTTAAATTCTGGGTAATAGTTCGTAGGTTGCAGGTATAGCAGTGTGAAGGACTGCGCTCAAGTTATTACTGCATGCTTATTTTTTTAGCATGATATCAATAGCTCATTTTTTTCCAAAAGACATCATTGTCAATACTGGTTTATTGGAACAGCCAAAGTTGTAGATATTTTTTACGTTTTTTAGACACCTGCAGTGATCCCATGGCAACAGAAACAATGAGAGTGTCTCCATTGATCATTTCAATTTGTAGATATGAGGATCAGTCAATGACACGTTTTTTTCTACACATTAACAAAGTCCCACAAAGTCAGTTAAGGTCCATACTGTGCAAATTTGAAAGTCCCCGGGTATCAGGGGCTGAACTCAGACTCAGTTTGATTCCATTTTGGTGTTGGTTTGGAGATTGTTTGACTTCATGGGTTTCCTTCTGTTGGAATCTTTTAATCAATTGTTTTGGTTTTAACATCTTGCACTTAAATTTTGTTGGGATCTTTATCGCCATTGCTATTTCCTTGTTTCCAGTTGCTTTACATTACTAGATGAGCATTTACATCTGGAGAGCAAAATTGGTAAAACCAGATTGGGATAAGCAGCTCTTTTGCAGTATAAGATGACATTTGTTTGAGCGATCAAGTTATTTTAAAGTTAACTGTCTGCCGTGTTTAATTTGACATTAACGTCTTGCAGATAAATAACGGTTTCCTCTAAAACAAGCAGTCTGCTTCTTCATCGGTAATGTTGTTTCTACTTATCTTCTGTCTCCATTCTGATCCCTGATTAATGTCTCATAGCTTCTTGTTATCTGCTGCTCAAATGAACTAAGCCACTCTCGCCATCTGCAACCTGAAATGCAAAGCTGTAAAAGCAACACCCAGACGCTGTGTGTGGTGTTCGCCCAAGCCCGTAACAAAAGGCCAGAGATGAAGATTCAGTCAGATAGATGGAGAAAAGAATGATGCTTCTCAGTGAAGACAGGAAACAAAAGCTGAGTGGGTGAGCGAGTAAGACATAAAGATTTAGAGGAGCCTGCCATGTAGCGGTCTACGGATGCCAGAGTTGCTCAGTCTTGTAGCCTCTGAAAAGCTTAAAGTGATGGCAGTTGTTTGGCCTCCTCATCAAGGTACGCCAGGGCCTGGGCCTCCTCCAAACACACTGATGTAAAGCTGATGAAAATTTCGACAGTGCCACATGGATGACAAAGACGGAGAAGAAGGAAATGCACCCACACACACACACTCACACACACACACACACACACACATGAGCACATACACCTCCACACCGCAGGCCTCCCTAATGAAAGCCCAAATCTGCTGTGATCTCTGAATTCATTTGGCTTCATGAATTCAAGATGCAGGATGATGACATAATTGTGAAAACCTTTTACATGCAAATATCATTGTGTCTGTGGTGATTGTGGTACTTATGTCTGTTGGTGGGGTTTCTGATTTCTTCTTCGTGTGCGTTTGATGCAGGTATGAAGCAGCACGCTGACCAAGGTACTCAGTATCGTTCTGCCATTTACACATCTAACCCCGCTCAGCAGGAGCTTGCATTGAAGACCAAAGAATACTTCCAGCAGGTATACACACAAACACACACACTCGCACACATCAGAAGGTTATATTACGCCTTAACTCAAGCACGGTGTTAGATTTAACTCAACCATGTGTGAGGTAGAGAAGCTGCTGCAGAGGATCCTTTGAAAAAGTTTCTGTAATTTCTTTTTCTATGTTCTCTTCATCCTTGGAGTGTTACATTAGATGTTTTGGCACAACAAAACATCCTTTTAAGCCAATATAAAGAACTCTTTGGACTACGAGGCAAAGCTAGGCTGCGGTTTAACGTCGTCTCAGGTATTTAAATAACAATTAAAAACCAGTCTCTGGAGTGGTGACCTCTCAGAGTTTGATGCTGTTTAGTTAAGAAAAGCCACCTCCATTAAGCTGATCTCCATCTACATCCAAACGGTGACTCTTGAGGGGTCAAAAGGTCAACAAAACCCACTTCTAGAGCTGTCAGTAGCACACGTGCCGCCCTTTTGTTCCTCCATCCCTCCATCTGCCCCTCTGTCCATCCATTACTCCATCTATCTGTCCGTTCCTCTCTCCACCCTTTAAATGGTATTCATGGAGTAGCTAGCAGGAGGTAGAGGAGAGCAAATTATCATCGTCATGGTTACTTAGGGACCCCCAAAGGTCAGCAGTCATGGTCCACAGGGGCGTCTAGGTTGCTGTGGCAACAACCTCCTAACCTTGGCCTTGGGCTGGAGTCAGAGGTCAGAGAGGAGTGGCAGCTGGGACTAGGACGGTGGTGAATAGAAGGAGGTGAGGCAAGAAAGGAGAAACAGGAGAGCAATCAGATCAGTGGGGCCATGACTGACAGGCTATCAACTGACGGTGACCCCGTCTAACGTACACACACACTATTACCTATAAACAGATACACCACTTAGGTTTAAAAACTGTGTATTTATATATCATTTTCTACTGTTTACTTTTGTGGGTCATAAAGTGAGATCAACGTCGACTTTAGTCCTTCATTACCAGCTAAAAACTTCTTATTGGCAAATATTAGAAAAATCATGTTGATAAGTAAGTGCAACTCTTGCAGTCATGGTAAAGGTAGACATGTATCTGAGGAGTATATATGGATGTGTTCACCATGGGAGAATGACATATTTCTCTAGTCCATGCGTCTTTACTACTTTATGTGCATATGAACTTTTCAGCATATAAATGTCTGGAAAAAGACTGTATGTCATTAATATATTCTGTGTTCAGTTCTTTTCCAGATAGAATTTTTTCTAAAAAAAGAGAGAAAACTCGAGCAAGACCCTCATAATGTTGCCGCTTAATGAAATGATTCTTTGGAAATTTCCCAAAAAACTGTCCGTCAGTGTCATGACATATCCCCTGAGATGGGATTAAAGAGTAGCTTAACATATTTTGAAAATAACTCTATATTCGTGTCATAACATGCTTTTAAGACATGTACCGACGATGCCATAATCGTGAGAGTGAGCAGTATGAAAACAGCCAAGGGTAAGAGTATTATCTTCTCATCACTCTGTGCCAGGATGAGGATGAGAACTTTACCCAGTTTACAGCCGACACTCAGGAAAACACTTTAATTTACCAACATTCGCAGGAGAAACAGCACTCAGTCTCCTCCCTCCTTGTCCCCCCACCCTCGACATCGCTGCTGACACCACCGATCTGTCAACCACTTCACTGGCACCCCAGTTTCATCTGAGGGCCACTGGGACACATATCTTCTCAAAGCAGCTGACACGCTCTGAACCAAAATGGCAGCTTCCTGCCCTGAAATGGTTGCCTTTGCCGCATTGATGCTGAGTCTTTAGAACGCCAGACTTGAAAATGGCATCTTAACAGAGGACGGGCTCGCTCTGTGTGTGTCTGTCTGCGCGAGGTTGTGCGTTAGTGTGTGTGTGTTTTTATTTTTTTTTCCTAAAAGGCCAATGTTCTATATCAGGAGAAGTGGGTGCATGTTCATGAGAGTGACACAAGAGAGTGGGTGGAGGCGATCTTAGACGATCAAAGATAAGACAGGCATCACAAAATCCAGATTCCACCCCACTGCCAGCACATGACTCACACACACACACACACACACACACACACACATACACACACAAAGACATACATTTGGCACATACACGCCCAGCCCAATGAATAATTAACCCATACGAAGAGTCTCTTCTGCAGGGCTTTCAGTTTCTTAACTTCAGCATTGGAGGGGAGGTGGGAAGAGGGTAGGGTGGGAGGGGGGTGAGGCAGAAAAGCTTGTTTAAGCGCGAGAGCAAAGGGGGAGGAGAGCGCGGGGGGAGAGAGGAGAAGGGGGTTCTCTATAATGAAATTTGAAATTTGCAGAACATCAAAGGCTTCTGTAGCCAAGCTGCTGTGGCAGCAGAGAGAAGGAGTGCATCTCTTTCTCTCCCCCTGTCTCCCCTGTCTCTCTCTCTCTCTCTCTCTCTCTTTTCCTCTCCTTCTTTCCATCCCTCCCTCTCTGCTAAAATTTGTCTCCCCAGAGCTGGGTGAGGGGGGTGTGGGTGAGTGGCGGGTGAGAGAGAAGGGATGGGAAGAGTTGATTAGGAGGAGAGTGCAGGGTGGTGGTGGAGGATGGGTTAGAGCTGGGTTAGGGTTTGAAGGGAAAAAATGGAGGAACGGGGGTTCTAAATATATAAATGTGTGTGTGTGTGTGTGTGTGTGTGTGTGTGTGTGTGAATGTATGAACAATAGGTTTTATCAAGCCAGCTTGGAATATTGCATGTGTACGCGCACATGCATGTGTGTAGGGCCTTGGAGGGGTGAGTGTGCCCTCTGATAAGGCATCCTAACTTAATGAGCTTGAAAAGGGGGAAGGGGGGGGTGCACAGGGGTTCAGATGATGGTTGGAAAAAAAAAAGAGGGGGATCGTTTGGGGCTATAAGTCTTGAGGAGAAGCTGGAGGGTTGTTAAAAAGGGGCGCAGCATGTCACATGTCTCACACTCTTGTTTTGGAAAGTCTTCAAAAGTCAAATTTACCGTTCGGACTGTTTCAAAGCTTTAGTGTGCGACAGTCTGGTCGCGTTAAGCACGGCGGTCTCACAGCGTTTTTAAATGTCTCGTTTACAAAACAGTGTTGGCTAAAATATACCACAGAGGTTACATTTTTTTTTATATGAAGCTTGTTGTAATTGCCAGAAGGTAAAAGTCAACCCCTCGCTGAAGAGTCGTCAGTTTCAAAGCAGCTTAAATGTTTTAAGGTGCTCACTCCTCACACGACCGCAGGGATCATCTTCTGCCTTTTCTATCTTCGGATTTGGAGCTACTTGTTGTCTGCCCTGGAAAAAAAAAAAACAATAACACACAAAAAAAATAAAGCGCAAAAGCGTGCATAGCCTCGCAGCGAGACAGAAGTGTGTGCATCCTCTCTTCTCCTCTCGAAATGTAGGAGTGTTGGCTTCCTCGCTCACAAAATGTAGGAGCGCCTGCTGAAGATTAGAGCCCAGCTAAAATGGATGCCTGACCCAGCGCTGAGAAACAGAGATCAACCGAGCAGGGCAGGGGGTAAAAATACAAACATAGACGGGCACACATAGAGGACACATTTTTGGCACACACACACAAGCGCAGATATTTTATAAAAATGGTGATAAATGAAATTTCAGAGGCACAAGAAGAAGCAGAAAACAGTTTCTAATTCTGTGTTTTATTCTCTTCTCCACCTTCCTCCACTCTCCTGATAGTCTCGCGTGTCTCTGCACCATCCCTCTGTCTCTTCCTCTCTCTGTCTGCCTTCCTCCTTCGTCCTCCTCTCCATCACTCTCGCTCAGCCGTGCTCTCCCCGAGGTCATCGAGGGCAAGCGTGGTGCGGCGGACTCGTCGATAAGTATCATGTCAGGCTATTTCATGTGTTTTCAGCCAGAGCTACGGTCTGTCTGTACCCGGCACTGTACCACAGAGCAGCTCAGCTTTTCCACAGCTCTCCCCGAGTATTTACATTTTGAAGATGTTGAAGAGCTTTTTGTGCTCTTGTATTTGACTGTACAGCTGCAGTGAACATTACATTAGTTTTACATGTTAAGATCAGATCAAGAGTTTGTAGATTTCTACCATAACCATTTGATGCATTTACATGTTCATGTTACAGTGTGAATCCTTTTGAATTAAGTAGTTAGGCATATTTAGGTACATTAAGATCCCTCATTTAAGGGAAGTGCTTATTTAATTCCTACAATATTTCTACTTTTTTATTTTAGAAGTTAAGGATCAATAATTTGTATAATTAACATACAATCATCATGTTAAATAAAGCAGTTAGGTAGATTGTGCAACATTAAATATGCAGCTTTATCATAGATTAAAATACCCAAATTATATAGATATTAGCTTAAATTTGCATCAGCAGTTTAAACCTCTATGATTGAAAATGTGAAACTTTAAATGTCGTTTCTTGCCTTAAGTATTTTTATTCTTTATTATTTTAAGTGTCAAGAGGAAAACTGAGATTTGTGTGTCTCCTCGAGTAGAATTAGGAATATTGGACCTCGATCTTGTCTAACAATTCAGTCATTGCAATTCTGAGGGTAGAGATCTGAATACTTCTCCCACTTCTGCTGAATTATTAGATTTACATAGTAAATCTTGTAAAACGGGCTGTGTAACTACTGTATTTAATTATGGTAATGCTTATAAAGCAAATTTGAATTGAGCTCAAGACTGAGATGAGGACATTAATAAAACAGCAGCGCTGTGTAGACAGTGACATGGTAAATAGTGACCACACACCAGCACCAGGAGTGGACTGAGGGGTGATTACATAAATCACAGAATCGAGGTCATATCCCTCTTCAAATGTCTTCACCATGAGTCATCGGGTGTCACAAACTCTATGTCAATGCGCGTCTCATCCACACCACTCCGCAGCCTGGGCCTTCAGTGGAAAAAAAAAAAAACAGAGAGACAAGACAGTAGGGTAGGAAAAGAGAAGAGAGTACATTTTCCTCCTCCTCCTCCTCCTCTTCTTCTTCCTCCTCCACCTCTACCCTCTCTCGGGGTGTCACGTCCTATTTGTGTCCTGAGGCCGTCTCTCTGGCAATGGCGATGGCAAGAGGGGCTCTCTCTCGCTTGGCTGGAGAGCAGGGAGGACTTGGTTGCACGAAGCGGTGGTCTGTGCTCACATGGGAGAGAGAGAGGGAGAGAGAGAGAGAGAGAGAGAGAGAGAGAGAGAGAGAGAGAGAGAGAGAGTGCGAACATGGAGGAAGTTAAAGAGAGAGAGAGTCAGAGAGGTAGAGAGATGCACCCGTTCAGCCATGTCTTTGACAGGGGAGTCTTTCCGACAGGCGTGAAGAAAGGAAGGGCTGACTGGGCTGAGTGAGCTCAGCCCTTGACACACACACACACACACACACACACACACACACACACACACACACACACACACACACATACATGATTTCATTGCTTGGGAGGACATTGCATTGAGTAGCACTCATTCCCTCGCGATTTAACCTCATATTAACTGTGATAACTACATGCCTAACCTTAACCTTTATCCTAATCTTAACCAAACTAGGAGTCTCAAGCATAAAATTTCAATGTTTTGCCTTGAAAGGACCCATTTTCTGTGGTCAGATGGGAGTGAAGTCCCCATTATGAGGCTATTTAAGGAGGATTTCGTGCCCTCCGTTTTACCCTCGTGAAACTGTAGCTATACCAGGTTTAGGATTTTTGACCCCCAGAGTAAATCCTTTCACACATATTCAGAAACGTGCATGAAAAACTAGGCTGAGCACATTTCCCTTCCTCAAAGTCACCATCGTTTAACATCATCATCATCATCAGCATCATCAAAAGGCTCAGCTTGTTGACATCCTGACGTCCAGTCCGCTCTCCCTCTCTCAGATGTTCTATCCTCCATCTTTGGTGTTTTTACCTTCCCTCCATTCCTCCACCGCTGCTGCAGTGAGAGAGAGAGAAAGAGAGAGAGAGAGCGTGAAGCCACATAAGGTTATACACAGTGGCGTGACGCCATGCATTCTGATTTATAGATCTAAAATGGCCGCCGTGTTGTGACTGCTGTACAGGGCTGGATGGAGAGCGAGGGACTCGTGCGGTGGAAGGGGGGGGTGGGGGGTTATATGTTTGCCCAGAATAGCAGACCTTTTCTTGGACATGTTGTTCTGTGCACATGAAGCATCCTCTGCCCTGAAGCGTTTGCTACCACAGTGGTTTGGTGATGATGAGTGATTAATTAGGCCATGATGTCCACAGCTCTGCGCTTGTGTCGGCCGCTTTACCACAGCGCTGCTGCTGCTGGATGTAGGCAGGGGGAAGAAATGGGCTCTTCCGTGTCAGAGTGCACACATTTGAAAGGTAAATATTTCCACGCTCGTTGAGGTTGGTATTCCGCGTGGAGAGCTGTTTGGTTTGTGGATGTTTGGTCGTTCCTGCAGGGAGATTAGAGCCCTCACATTGTAGCGGCAGCCACCGAGGACTTAGAGGTCAGCTGCTGCCTCAGCCTCTCTGTGGGGCGCAGAGCTTTGATTTACTGACTCCACTGCATCACCTCCAGCGCGCACATACACACACAGATGCACACCCACACACACACACAGCTGGTACCACACTGCCTCCATGTGGACAAAATGACAACCTACCCTCCTGCCCTTCACTGACATTAGATTATCAGACAAGGCGTGTTACATTTTTATCCCCTGTTCTTCTCCTGAAGATGACCTGAAAGTTTCAGCTGCTCTCTCTTATGCCAAAGCAAAGGCTGCTGAATATCTCAGACGTTTTAAATTCAGACTCCTTTTTAGCCTTTGTACATGGTACTCGCTTAAATTGGAGGAAAACATGGCCCCTGAAAGTCTTTTAAGTCAAGTTTCAAATGTTATCTCCTACAGTTTTAATGTTCGACTCAATCATTCATCAAAAACAAAAGGCCAAAAAATATCTGGTCGGTATCTGATAAGTATTTTTCACTGTTTTCTATGCAATTTCATGAACCAACTGGTAATAAACACATAAGAATTCAGTCATTTCTTCTTTTAAAAAACAATCAAATTCAAATTTTCATTTGTAGCAGTCTGAAACTGGCTTCACAGTGTGTTTTTTAATGTGGTGGTCTTAACAGTCATCAGACTTGAACCAAGTCTGACGTCAGAGTCAACTCTCTTTGCAACTTTTAACAGTTGTAGCAGTTAGTTTCTTCAAACGCTCACTGAGACCTCGGCAAGTCCATGCAAAGACTCACTAGAGCTGCTCAGCAAGCTAGAGAGGATCTGCAACTTTTCTTTAATATGTCCCATTTAATGTTTTTGTCTGTTAGAGTCCCCTAGACCGTTAGAGATCAACCTGTTCAAACAGCACAGACCTTATTGTCTGATAGTTTATTACAAGTCAAGCAACATCTTTAATGTTACTTTAATTATCATTAACAGGCAAAAAAAACTAAATTGATTCCAGGATATCCAGCAAAGAAGAAGAACTACAACTGAAAAACGACTACAGTATACAGTAGATAACAATATTAAAGTAAAGGACTCAAACGGAAGCTGATCAGAACATATGGAGCAAGAACTGACTACATTTAGCTCCTGTTTCGTGGTACTTGTTGAACTCTGCCAATTGACGCCCCCAGAAGGCTCTGCTCTTCATGCTGCACATTGTTCTGAGGTGTACTGAGCTACATGCGAGCTACTTGTTGCCCACAGACAGTCCCAGTGCTCCACGAACTTGTTGTTTTGTCAGCTCTCTGGAGCACTGATCTAGAGAGGACTGAGTGCTTGTATTATTAGATAGAGAAAACCACTCAGTGCAGCTTGTGTTTGATATATTTGTCAAAGGTGTTTAGTGTGTGTTTGTGTGCGTGTACGTGTGTCTGCGTGAAGGAGTGCGCTTTTTTTTTCCACCCGTGTCTTTGAAGCCTTTTCTCAAGGTGTTTTAAAAGTGTAAGTATGAAAGTGTCTTAAGGAGTTCTCAAAGAGAGCGGATACCCTTTGATGCTTTGTCCCACAGAGAGAGCCACAGAGGCAAGCTGCACTACAAAAAGGAAAAGATGCTCCTTTCTTCTGTCACTCAGTCACCCTGCTTCCTCGTCGACTAGCAGAAACTCTTTACTGTATTAGTGAGAGGTATCCAAAGTTCACACCCAATACACTGCAGAATAAAACAACCATTTAAGAGGTGTGCTGGCTTTGAGAAAGTTACAGAAGAAGGAGAAAGAAGTGCTGAATGTATGTCATGACTGAGCTGGTGGGAACTGAATCTGAAAACAGGAAAAAGCTGCATGTAGAGATTTTTTTTTTCCCAAACCAGGTGAATTATGATGAAGAGAGAAGGCTGCTGTGAAATACTCTGCACATCATCTAAAGACTCAAATGTGGCAAAAACCGTCCTTTAAGTGTTCTGAACTATGTTTGTATCCGTCCCTAGGAGCTGGATAAGAAAGGCCATGGTACCATCACTACTGAGATCTTGGAGGGGCAGCAGTTCTACTACGCAGAAGACTATCACCAGCAGTACCTGAAGAAGAAACCTAAAGGCTACTGTGGTCTCAAAGGCATTGGTGTCTCCTGCCCCAGGATCACTGGAGAGCAGGATCCCTGATGGGTGTGATGGGAGAATTTTAAGGATTGGATCGGGTCTTTTGGGTCATAATTTTTCATCTTTCCAGTCTTATCAGTCGCACTGGCTGTTTATACATTTACAGTGCATATATCACTACTGCTTTTAGACGATGACATTATCTGTCAAATACAATATCAAGCCTTAAAATGTCTTTTAATGACAGTTTTAACTCTGGAATTTTATAAAATGTAAAATGCAAAGGGAAATTCTTTATCATGCTGTATGTCGGTACAGCAGCTGAGTTTCTGTCGGGCTGCAGTGATGTAGAACGTCCACAAGGGGGTAATGTTTCCCGTTAAAAAACAGTGTAACCGTCACAGAAAGGCTGTTTCCCACCCCGTTTGGGAGAGAACGTTTGTGACTTCTAGCCAAATGAAAGTCTGTCTTCCATAGTTGGTTGATTTCAAGAACATCAAGGTGAACATCTCTCTCTCTCTCGACAGGTGAACACTTTTACATCCGACATTTTTACATCCACCTCAGTGCCATGGTAATAAGGTTAATGAGCTCTACATGCTCATTAGTTGAGTAAAAGAAACACTGTTACTACCTATGCAATCTTGTTTTAGCTTCAAAGGGAATAAGTGGTTTGAGTGACTTTACTTCTGTATCGGTGGACTGTGCCACCTTGACTCTGTCTAATGCCTGCTGGCTGAAATATTAAAGTACATCTTTAATATTTTTTTCTGGGTTTCACTGCTTTTTTATTTGCATTTCAATGATGCATGTGGTTGCGCACCTTTGAATGCGTATGAACATATTTGAAAGATAAGCTACAGTTGCTGCCCCTTTTTGGTGAAAGGGAGACACCATACCGCTGTGGGACAGTCAGATATGAGTCACTGTGATAGGCAGACACACACTCAGATCAGTCATCTAATACAGAATGACACACTGGAGGCACTCATGTATGCATTATGATACACATTCACCATTAGCCTTTCTTCAACTCCCCAAAAACCCACAATATGTGTTAAAACCCTGTTATGAATATCACATCCTGCACCGGTGTGTTTTTATCAATAAAAACATGAGCGCTGACTTAAAAATGAAAATCACTCATCACTGCGTTTCAAAATACAGAGATGATATCTAGAAAAAGCTTTTTGGTCGACCGCAGTAGTGTGATTCAACCCGCTCTCGTTTTTCCCCCTCCCTCTTTTCTATCTCTCTCTCTCACTCTGTGTGTATGTGTGTGTGTGTGTCACATCCTGACACCTGTGTGTAGGTGTGGACCAGGGCACAGGTGCAGGTGCAACCTCTCAGGGCCTATTTTAGTATTGGGGCAGATATTTTTTGCATGTGTCTGCATGCAGCAGCCGTGTGTGTGTGTGTGTGTAAAGCTGCGGCTTGCTTGATCGAACCTTGCAGAGTGGTATGTGGTTGGGCCAGCTAGCTGTCTTCCAGCGCCTGCCTTTATATTTTGCATGCTGTTGTAGGAGGAGATAACCTTTAATAGAGATCTCCATCTCCTTGTTTTTGAAGTGAGGGTGACATGAAAGCTTTAATCACAACCTGAAATCAGGTCTTCCGCCTTCTGCGAGGCTGTCTAGCTTCAACAAAAAAGTGTTTCTGTTTTCTTCTGAGGAGGCCAGCATTAGCAGAAGGAGAAGATAGAAGTATTCTACATAAAATCTGTAGGTTTAATTTAGACTGACATCTAGAAGTCGCTGTGTGTGTGTGTGAGCGAGTGTATGTTTTCAGTGTCTTCCTTTATAATAGATTAAAATGGGGCATGGAAATGCATGGTACTCTCATATACGCATCCATACACAAACACAGTGAGGCAGGGCAGGACAGGAACCAGGCTGTGTGTGCCCTTCAGACAGAGCCTATTGTCCACAGATGGGCCTTTAATAGCCCCACAGCTGTCCACAAAGAGCATACCGCTCCAGCTCACTGCTATGCCTCTCTCTGGCCTTTACTCAGTCACCCTAAAGAGAGAAGAACACTCAGAGGCACACTAATAAATATGCATTTCCTTATTTAAAGTGCTCTTTATGAGACCTTTTTGTGTTATGTTCCTTTTCTTCTTGTCATCTTCTTCACACTTAAATATTTGTAGCTAGCCTTGCGAATCTAAAGAACAGAACAGGTCTGTGATTTGGCTGAGACACAGAGCAAGGTGCTGTTTGTTTATCAAAAGTACTCTGCACCCGTACCCACACATGTACCTACACACACATCTAAACACACATCCCAACCACCACCTCCGTCCTGTACCGCCGCCTAATGCAAAAGGCAGCGCCCACGCAAAAGAAACAAACACACCAAAAAGACACCTTGCAGAGACGTGCACCCACACAAATTTCTTGCACTCTGATTCGCTTTCTTTTTTGTCCTCCTTTCACAGCTTTTCATTTATCCTCCCCCCCCTGACAGCTTTAATAGATCTCACCCTATATATGTACAGCAGCCTGTATGTATACATCATTGATGAGTGCATTGTTGGAGTTCTTGTTTAAATGCAGGGCTGTTAAATGATTTGTTTCCCTGCAACTCTGCATTGTTTGGTGAGCCGCAAAAATAGAACAACAGCAGAGTGGTGGATTCTGGTGCCATCCTACCAGCTGGAGGATTGTTCTACCATCTTGTCTTGTTACTAATTACTTTTCTAGTTTGTGGAGGTAGCAGGCACACAGTTGTTGCTCGGTGTGTGTGGGTGTGCGTATCTTCTGACGGCAGATGGGAAACAAAACACTCTTTTCTATATGGTCTGTGCATTCCTCTCATGATGTTATAAGAGTTGTGTGTAGGTTTTTTTTTTTTTTTTTGCAGATGCCAGATGTGTTTGCATCCCCTCCCTTACTCTCCCTTCCCCTCCCTCTGGTTCCTGCATGGGCGCAGGGTCTCAATCAGAGCATCAGGGCTCCAGGAACCGAAGCACAGCAGTCTCTCTGTGCTGCCCAGAGAAATGCAGCCTTGTCTGGGTCGGTGCATCTGCAGCCTGGGGGCGAGCTGGGGGAAGCGGGTGAACCCTGGTGCCCCTGCATGCTGGTTTCACTCGAGGTCTTCTCCGCCAGCACGGCCTGACCCCTGAACTCTGGGAAGGAAAATCTAGCTTATTCCAAATACATCTACGTGCTCAATTTGTCTTTTTACACAGGTTGATGACGCATACCAACTTTTCTTCACACGAGTAAGTTTGGTGCAACAATACCCTGATTGAAAACAAACAATAAAAAGGCAGGCTCACACATGCAGAGCGGAGCATTCTCACCATCAGATAGAGTGTCACGAGCTTGTTTCTCCTTTCCTCTGGGAATAGTGATGGGTTAAGGGTGGGGGTGGGGGTGGTGTAGGGCAGCACGTGCTCCAGGGCCCGGTTGGCTCGCTAACTGGCCCACTGGTTTTCTGGCTGACGGCCCACACTGTGACACTCTCTGCACCTGGGAGCCTGTGTGTTGTCAGCCATGCTAGCTAACTGGAGCTAGCGCCACATGACACACAGGAAACACAGAAATAACTGCTGAGTGTCTTCAGCGCAGTAACCACTGACTGGGGGTGTGCTGCTGACTGAACACGGGCTGAAGAGAGGGGAGGACAACAGAAGACAGACAGGGACATAGAGGGTCGATGGTGTTAGGTAGTAAGAACAGAAAATGTAAAAAGAAAGTGAAACACAAAGATGCCTAACAAACATTTGCACCTGTGCTGTTTGAGTAAGAAGATTCCACCAGCCTGATAAAAACAAAATGTTCAGTTTTGCAATCACTGACGTATTAAGTCGATCCTTTTCTTCTTTGGTTTTATCATCGAACCACTTCAAAAAATAATTGTGCAACAATAAAAGATTGACATTTCACAGCTGGGACATGTGTGACATTTAAATTTCCAAAACAGCTCTGTCTCATGTCTATTTTCAGGCTTTATCTGATCCGTCCAGCTGCACCTTGAGTCATCAGAGCCGCACCTCGCACAGGTGTCAGTTGAGTTGGAACACCACCTTCGAGCCCTTGATTAGAGCTCAGTGCAGGAAAGTGTTGCGCAACATTTAGTTTTTTCGTGAGGTGATGTGCTGATGTGTCATAATTAGGAGGAAGCGGGACAGAATCGGGACAAACAAACGCTTTTTGCACTGACAGCTACTTTCTGCAGACATGGCAGTTTGAATCCTTTAAAGACGTTTTGTTTCTCAGGGAGGAGGGGGGGTAAAAGCGAGCTTAAAATGGTGATATGATGACGGTATTGTCTGGGTCTGACTGGATAGGTTTCCCATCTTGAAGATGTGAAGGAAATGAGAACATAGAGGGAGAAAAGCAGAGTATGGGGGAGAGATGGTGCTACTGGCTGCACCAGAAGGAAGCTGGGTCTGATGCCTCTCCATGCAGCTGCTCCCAAACACCCACACTCTTCCTGTTGGAGTGTGTGTGTGGTTGTCTTTTGTGTTTCAATCTAGTGTCATACATCCACAGAAGGAAAGAGGAACCTGTTTTGAGCGATGTATAGTCTCCCTATATTTGATTTTGTATCGGTCCGCTGTATTGTGAAACAGATTTTACACCCTGCTCCCTTTAGACAAATCAACCGACTACATTCAAACAGGAAACAATATTTCAGAGTTGACACCTGAAACCTTTGACAAAAGTGGAACTTCAGGTAATCTACCAACGATGATATCTGGACTAGCTAAAGTAGGTTTCTCTGTCAGTCTGAGGCCTTTGCTGCCTATTTCAAAGACACTCTGGCCTCAAAAAACATCCGCTACGCCGGTGGAAATGCTGGCCTGACAGTCAGTGAATGGAAAAGGTTTGAGGTGCGAATGTGGCCACACTGAGGTGTCAGCATGGTGTGTGATCGTGTTCAGGTGACTGAGTGTGTGTTAAGTTGCATGTCTGTGTGTGAACGCTGCGGCTTTTCTAACTTTCCATTACAATGAGATGGTAAAGGACTGTTCACAAGCCTCACTATTGTTGTAACGGACTTGTGGTTGTGCCGTCTGTGCTGTATCGAATTGACCTCTGTCGTGCTTATTTCATACTAAAAGATGATAATGATTGTGAAAATAATGATCGTGAAACTTTTCCAAATCAAGAAAGTCCTTGTTTTTAGTTTGGCCAATACATGAACTCAGTGACAAAATCTTGAATACATAGAATTACAGCCTAGAATTACATCTTAATACCAGGCTTGCATGTTGCTTTTGTAATGTAATAATATCAACCGTTAACAAGCTGGAGCAAGTTTAGATTAGATTTATTTTGTCAGTGATGTAATTTTTGAGTCAAGCTACAAAATCCAAACCCCTATTTGGCTGAAAGATGAGAGTTTATTTAACAGTCAGATAATCAGAAAGTCAACAAATCACTCTGAACTCCTTTCTCATCGCAGAACACTGTCGGCTCAGCTGTGTATCCACAAATGCAGAGCGATGCCAGCGTGCTGACTGATGCAATGTTGCCTAACAAATTGAGACATCGAACTGGATCGGGATGCTGTGCTGACTGGAGTCTGCTACTTAGCATTGTTTTCTTCACATGTGAGTACTGCTGGTGCTGAGCACTGAGGCAGGATACAGTACATCTGCTCTGCACTCCATAATGATGGGGCAACAGCACGTGTTCAGCAACCAAAACTGGGTGATAGACTATTCCATTACAGTGGTGCCAGTTCAAACTGGACTGCTATTATCAGAGGAAATTAGAGTTCAGAGAAAATTACAGAACAGGATTTCCTCTAAAATTTT